CCACATGGCAACTTCTGGGGATAGAGTCACCGTCTGGTGTGCCAACGACTACCTTGGCATGGGGCGCAACCCGTACGTTCTTCGCACCATGCATGAGACGCTGGACAACTATGGTGCCGGTGCCGGCGGGACGAGAAATATTTCCGGCCATAACCAGCACGCCGTTGCTCTGGAGGACGCCCTTGCGAGACTCCACAGGAAAGAGTCTGCCTTGGTGTTCAGCTCTTGCTATGTCGCCAATGATGCTACTTTGGCCACCCTGGGATCCAAGTTACCGGACTGTGTCATCCTTTCTGACAGCCTGAACCATGCCTCGATGATCCAGGGCATTCGCCATTCTGGAGCTAAGAAGATGGTGTTCAAACACAATGATCTTCAGGATCTGGAGAACAAGCTGGCTTCTTTGCCTCCGTCTACACCGAAGATCATTGCTTTCGAGTCTGTCTACAGTATGTGTGGGTCGATTGCTCCTATCGAAGAAATCTGTGACCTCGCCGAGAAGTACGGTGCGATCACTTTCCTCGACGAGGTTCACGCCGTGGGCATGTATGGGCCGCACGGTGCTGGTGTCGCTGAGCACTTGGACTACGATGTGCATGCTTCCGCCCCTGAGAACATCAAGGGTACCGTAATGGACCGGATTGATATCATTACCGGTACTCTTGGTAAAGCGTATGGTTGCGTTGGTGGTTATATCGCAGGATCGGCCCGGTTTGTCGATACAATCCGCTCCCTCGCTCCCGGTTTCATCTTCACAACCTCTCTCCCTCCTGCCACGATGGCTGGTGCAGCTACCTCGATCAAGTACCAAGCTGGATATGGTCGCGACCGCACCCTCCAGCAGCTCCATACCCGCGCCGTCAAAGCTGAACTCAACGCAAGCGATATTCCTGTCATACCTAATCCCTCTCACATTATCCCTATCCTCGTCGGTGATGCAGAAGTTGCCAAGCGCGCCTCTGACATGCTCTTGGAGGATTATGGCATCTACGTCCAAGCTATCAATTACCCCACCGTCCCTCGTGGCGAAGAGAGGCTGAGAGTCACGCCTACTCCAGGCCACATCAAACCTCTCCGGGACCATCTTGTCGCTTCACTCAAGCAAGTCTGGGAACGCTTGGGTATTCGCAAGACTAGCGATTGGAAGAAAGTTGGTGGATTTTTGGGCGTTGGGGACGAAGCTGCCGTAAAGGACGCCAAAAATCAACCCATGTGGACTGATGAGCAGCTTGGTCTCGCCCAGGGCGAGGACGTCGAAGCTGCTTTGCGGCGAGAGCTTCAGGCCGAGACTATCGATAAGCAGCATATGCTCAACGAGTTGGCTGAGCCGGTTGGTATGTCCACCCCTGTAGCTCCAGCCGTGAAGGTGACTGCCTAAAGAGAATTTCGGGAATTCAACTGTTCTTTGACTTTGATTTGGCGGACGGGTAATACCTTGGGTTTCATCTATACATTCCTTTACACAATTTCAGATGTGACAATTTACCCACATATTCCAACAAATCCGGTCAAATATCAGATATCTTTTATTTTTGCAGCTTCTCCCTGTGAAGTATTGGCCTATTTTTCCCTTTGGCTTGTATTCACGCGCCTTTCTTTTATTGTTCACAACGTGGATTTAATCCACCTGGGAATTCTCCACATATGGCCCTCCAAAATTCTCATTGTCTTGGAGATTTTGAAGGCATCCTTTTTGGAATAACTAATGTAAATAATGCACAAGTGCTCTTTGATAGGGCCAAATAAACATTATTCGATCTTTTGATATAAGTTTTACTCTTTCTTTGGGTACTCATCGACGTAGTTAACACAGTAAAGACAAGCTCTTAATTTGGGTGCGTATACTCCATACATCCAGGCTGTAAATCCTAAATCTCGCTCTCACAAAAATATGCTATCCCCATCGCGATTTCACCTTCTGCCACCACGGCTCACTTTGGGAAACTCCACCGGTATCCTCAGTCTCGCAATTCGCTTCATTGCAGCCTCCGTCTTTCCTTTCTTAATACCCCATTTCGCATATTCACTCTCCCGTGGCTTGTCGATCCGACAGCCCAATTCCTTAAAATACTGCAACGCAGTCTGGTTCTCCAGACTCAAATCATCGCGCAGATCCGCAGGATCAGTGGCCAACTCATTCGGAGCATGCGGCGCCCCCGACGCCGGCGGGATGTGCAGGGTCAGAGCACAGATCGTGGTGAGCAGGAAGGTGATATCGTTCCGCGCCAAGATCGCACCCTGGGGCACGAACTTCCTGCGCAGCGAATCGATCAGCGAATCCGTGACGAACTGCGGCGCCGTGCTGTTCTTCGGATTGGTCGCCTCGGAGAGCTTGCGGCGCAGGTCTTCGCGGAGAGGGAGCTTCTTGCTGCCGGGGCTAGCCTTGTCGGCGCCGCGGGTGGGCTTGAGGCTGCCGGCGAATTCGATAAGGAGGAGGATGAATCGGAGGAGTTGTAGCTGCGTTTTGTCGCCGGATTTGCCCACCGCCTCGACGCGACGGGAGACGAAGCGGGATCTGGTGAGGATTGCTTCGGATTTCGCGAGTGAGTTCTGCCAGTCGCGGATTGGCATGGAGTGCAGTGTCGAGAGGCCGCCGGGGATTAAAGAGTCGAGAGAGTATACGTCTGATGGATGCTGTGCGGACAGGTTCGGTTGTGGAAGCGGTTTGGCGGCTTGGATTTCTTGCTGAGCTGTCTTTTCGGCGGGGACGGTGGATATTTCGTCCTTTGGCATCGAGGAGAGCAAGGCGGATTCTGCGGCGTTGGGCGCTCCGCCCGGCGCGTTGGAGAGTAGGGCATTTTCGGCGATCGATTGTATGGCCTTGCGGGATTGCTTAGTGCCAAAGGCTTCTGCCAGGGCAGATCGTTTGGAGAATGCGGTTTTCTAGAGCGGAAAAGATTTCCCCTGTTAGCGATCCTGGTCTGGAGATGAGAGGTGGATAGGAAACTTGAAAAAAAAAAAAAAAAAAAAAAAAAAGGACTTACGACTTCTTCATCAGATTCCTCTTCTTCGTCAGGAACCGCCTCGCGCAGAGAGCTTCTCACAGTGACCTTTCTGGCCTCAACCAATTGCAACGCATTTCGTTTGGGATCGTAGATGGCCACATAATGATTCCACAACGAATCCAATTGATCCACACCTTCCCTCGCAGTAAAATCCAGCTTCGGATGCGAAGACGAATGCAGGAGTAATTCGGAAGAAATGACATCAGAATTGGTAGTAGCCGTGGTGGAAGCACGCTTTGCACGCGGTTTGGTGTAGGCCTGGAGAGAAAGAGACTCAGGGAGACGAATTCCCGGCGTAGAAGCTAGAAATGGCATTTAGCATCAAGTCTTCTTCTTTCTATCCTTAAGATACCTCTGGTTTAAGCTGCAAGGAAACATATTCGACATACCAATCACTGGAACCGGTCCAGCGTCGTTCTCAATGAACTTGACCTTTAGAGGAGGCATGACGGACTCGATAGCCGGTTTTTTGCTAGGCCGGTCATGTTTTTCTGAGGCGCGCTTTCTTTTCTTTTCGGGGGTTCCGGAGCCCATTTTTTCAGATACTACAAAGAGGAATTAACTGCTATGGTTGCGCAGGATTGGAGTTCTATCAGACTCGCAATTGCGCTGCAGCTTGAACTAGAAATTGGAGAAGTTTTTCGGAAGATTAGATTTCCCGGCGTCGCGCTCCACTGCCGACCTTTTTCAACACAACCGAAACCAAGAACGAAAATAAGAGAAATAACAAGAATTAAATGATTGCTGAAGGTTTCTTTTGATTTACTGAAGGAATGATATCAAACGACACAAAGAAATAGTACTCCGTAGTGAGTTTTCGGTTTTGCTTTTGAAGACTGTCCACTTTCATTCCGAGGTCAATCCGCCCTTATCGGCAAGCTATTTTGTAAATACATAAAAGCCATCGCACAGAAAGACACCAGATCCAGCAGGACAATTAGTAAACTCTTCAAGGTACAGCCCCGTAGTTCGGATATTTCGCCTTTTTTTTGACTAGTCTCCCATGATAATAAAAAGTCTCGAAGTAAACTCCTTTCCCCTGTTTCCCTCAAAAACCGCAGCCTCGAATAGTTAACACACAAAGAGAATCGTCATATTACCGATCGTTTTCGTAGCACGTTGTAGAGCTCATGACAGGACGCAAGAGTCGTCAATACAATTAGAAAGGGGCGCTCCGAATCCGACCGAAAGAAAAATTTTCTTCTTCGAGAATGCAACTTTAGGCAGTCCAAACCGTCGTGGTTAATTCTTTTCTTTTTTTTTCCTTGTTGATTTAGTCCGCGAGGGATTGAGAGAGAAGGATGCTAGAAAGCCATGACGGATGCATCGCGTGACTCGATAGTCATTGAAGAACAGGCATTGTTTTCAGCGTTCGAGGTCTTCGTCACGGAACGACTAAGACAGAGCCGTGAAGATGTTTACTTGCTGCAGGAAGCAGTCAGTATAAGGCCTCTCATTCTAGACGAGGTGATGGTGATTGATATTTGAGAAAAACTAACCTTCTAGCCCGGACCTTTCTTCTCTTACGCTTCAAGCGTCGAACGCGCTTCTTTCTCCACTTAGCTCTCATCTTCGTAAAGTATCAGAGACTGTGAAGTAGAGCAGGTTAGATACAATCAATGAAGCCACATGCTGAGGGGGGAACAGGATGCTGCTAACTTACACTTCGTCGATGAGGGGATGGTTGGAAGAAGGAAGAAGTTGAGAGCAGTGGAGAGAAGCTTTGTAGCCGGCCGTGTTGTGGGATGCTGACTAAGGCCGCAAGCGCGCTAAGGGCTAGGCAAGTCGGAAGCGAAAATTTACACCATCGAATTATGTAACGCACTTGGCGGGACTGACTCACGACTCGGGCGTCACTTTGTCGAAAGCAACAGGTAAGGAGCCCGCTGTTTTGTGATAACAGTTCCGACACTTCTTGTGAAAGAAGCATACAAATTTTATGTGTTTGGGAACAAGTGCATATGATTACAGTTTTGGAAAAGGATCGTTTGAATGGTGTTCTTGATTTAAAATCTCTCTTGTATTGTCTTAACTTGATATCATAAGGCGCCGAACGAACATCTGTGGAAATACTTCAACTCCACCCCGAAATTGTTAAAAAAAAAAAGCATTCATCATGAGAACGCAAAAAACAAAGAAACATAGCACCAATTCAAGAAAAAAAATCATTAAGCTGCAGCTGCCATCGTGGGAGAAATAGGAGTCTCGAGAACTGGAGCAACTGATTCAGGGGTGGACTGAGTTCCAATGGTGGTTTGGACGCCAACACGTTCATTGCCCAAGAGATCAGCAAGGAGCGGGCTCGGGCGGCTATCCCGTCCAGGTTGGAACGCAGCCTGGCTTTGCTTGTACTTCTGAACGCTGTCAAGATAGATATCAAACAGATAGGAAGAATCCAGAGGTCCTCCCTTCGCCTCGGGATGGAACTGGGTGCTAAAGATTGGACGAGTCTTGTGGATCATGCCTATTTCAACGTTAGAACAATCTCTTATTTTTCTTAAAGTTAAAGCGGGACTTAATAACGTACCCTCGTTGCTAGAATCGTTAAGATTGACAAAGTACGGTTTCCAGTCGCTAGGGAGGGTGGAAGCGTCAACAGCGTAGCCGTGATTCTGGCTGGTGATGTGGCAGCGGCCAGTGGTCAGATCCAAAGCCGGGATGTTGTGTGCCCGATTTCCGTACTTCAACTTAATCGTCCGAGCACCAGCAGCAAGTGCGAGGAGCTGATGACCGAGACAGATACCCATGATTGGCAGCTGAGACACTTCCATCAACTTGCGAAGATTGTGGACTGTCTTCTGGCAGTGGGTTGGGTCGCCAGGGCCGTTGGAGATGAAAACACCATCGAAATGATGTGCGACTTTTTGGATCGGGAAGTCATATGGGAAAACGGTGATACTTGCACCCCTGTGGACAAGGCTACGAAGAATATTCTCCTTGACTCCGCAATCAATGACAGCGACATGTGCGTTGCTGTTTCCAGGGTTGATATGGAACGGAGCCTTGGTGCTAACTTTGGCGACTAAGTTGATCTGCTCAGGATCAACAAATGCTTCGTCCTGATCGGCATCGTACTCTTCGCCAACGGAAATTTTAGCAAGAGAAGAACCCTGCTCTCGAAGATAGGTCACAATGGCGCGGGTGTCAACACCGGAAATAGCAGGAACGCCTTCTCTGATACACCATTCGCTCAAGCTCTCGACGGCGGTCCAATGACTGTACTTTTCAGCGACATCTGCGACAACAACGCCAACTGCCTGAAGGCTGGGGGACTCAAAATATTTCAGCAAGCCGTTCTCATCCTTCTCCGCAGACGGGACACCGTAGTTCCCGATCAGAGGCTGTGTGAAAACGAGAATCTGACCGCGGTAAGAAGGGTCACTAAGAGATTCGGGGTAGCCGACCAGCGAGGTGGTAAAGACGGCCTCGCCAGAGATGTTCTTTTTCGCTCCAAAGGACTTTCCGTGGAATACAGGACCATCTCGGATCGTGAAAGTGGCACGTTCAGGAGCAAAAATTGCACTGTTAGGCTTTGGGGTGCCCTTTGCAACTGAGGCCATGAATCGAGCCTGGAGGACCTGGGGCTTCATGGCCCAGTTGGCCCGTGGTGGAAATGATTTCAAAGCTTTTGAAAACATGATTGTGTGAGGATTGTTGTGAAAAATATGGATGTAAAAGTTGGCTCGATGAAAGATGACTCAGTTCACAGAGGCTTTCCAAAGATGATCTAGTTTGGGTTAGCACATGCCGAGAGAGGTAGCGGCAGGAGAGATCCAGTCATACCCGAGATGTAGTCCTAGAGTGAAGAGCAAGTGTTAGCCAACGAATGTTCCATTAAGCTCGCCATCAAAGAAGTAGTGAGCCCCTTAAAGACAAAGGAAGTGCTATCTCACCTGGGAAGTGAATTCAGAGGGTATCACGCGCATAAGCACCAACAGTGCTGTTCAGCACTGAATCAGTAATCTATTAAATGGAGGATATGGGTAAATTTGAAGCTGCTGGGACTGATTGTGAGGCTAGGGCGGCTGGTCGGCTGGTTTTGACTATGAGTGAACAGAGGAGAGGAGAAGAAAGGGACGGTGAAGGCGAGAAAATCCGAATTAAAGACCCAAAAAACTAAACAAATTTTTCCGGTTGATATTCCGATTGACCAATCACAGCTCAAATATTTCACAAAACATTATGTATTGCTTTTGTAAATACAACATCATGTCCGACACTTAACACGAATATGACTTGTAACGTATTGAAAACCCGTTTGACAGGAATGCCCTGGATCGGCGGAGCAAGCCAGCCACGTCCTTGATTTTCGAGGGCGAAAACCGGCGGCACCATTGACTCCACTAGACCGCTTCTCAGGTGAAAAGGAGGCGGCATGATTGTGACAACAGGTGCATATACTCCGTAAATGGGGTTGGCTCTAGGACGAATTTCAATCAACTTCCGTTAATACCGCGGGGTCAAGATCGATATCGGCACGTATCCCTGTCGAAGCTCCAAGCTGGCTGGTCCAAGCTGGCGTGCAAGACAGGGACCCTTGACAGACACACACAAACGGCCATTGCTTCTCTTGCCATCAGTCCTCCAACGCCTGTCAACCATCAGCACGAAAGCGATGCGCTGAGGTCGGCCACCCCATGGATTTTCCCTCAGGGGACGGATGGGCGCGCTATATCCACAGATATAGTTGCGGTTTATTTCTTTTTTCCTATGTCATCCATTATTGATCATCAACCAGGGGTTGTGCTATGTGATTTCCAAGGTTTGATGCATCTATGTTGTAAAGCCCTATTAGCAGAACCCTCTATTAGAGTGGTCAGGGTGTGTCTGCAAAGACTATGTTGCCATAGCCTTGCTGAGCTCTCTTGCAGGCGGAGCACTCCTGTCCTGGTGGTGGCTGGGCCCCAGCTCAAGTCACAAGGATTTCCTCACAGAGCTGGGCGCGAACAGCCAACTGGTTTGGATTATCCAAACCAGCAATAAGCACGGGCCTTTGGATAGGCTCGCAACACCATGCCCTTTCACGGGCGGACAATGCTTGTGGCTCTGTGTGGGGTGGAAGGCCTGGGAGGACCACTGGATTGGCCCGCGAAGACCCAGTGAAGAAGGCAGCCAGGAGTAACTGGTTGAAGGTGGTCTGGGACCACCATTGTTGATCTCGCGCGGGGGGGCGCGGGGGGCGCTGGGCGGTCCCAAGCACCCCGTGGGACCATGGCACCCACAAATCCTGCCGGGGCAGGGGGAACAGCAACCACAGCCTAGAGAGGTTAACCATGAACTGAAATATGATAGAGGATACTCACATTACTGGCTGGGGCCGGCGCAACAACAACCGCCCCCGGCGGGGGGGGGCGGGCAGCAATGCCCTAGAACTGTCAGTCGCGAGCACTTCCCAACTTCTCAAGACTACTCACCGAAGGCCCAAACATCTCTACCGCGAAGGGGTGGGGGGTAGGCGTCCTCCCGAGGGAGGAAAGAGGAGACGAGTCGCGAGAGGGGGGTGAAGGGGACCGCGAACTGGCATGAACTACTAGCAAGCATCAGTCTCATCCGCGAACCAAACCCCACGCGAAGGCAAAACCCTATGACCACGCGAAGCAAAGGCACAATCATGGGTGAACTCACCAACTTGTGGCCTTGTGGTCAAGCGAGCAGAATGATGGGGAGTAGCCATATTGATTCTTCCAAATCATCAGACACCTCCCGCGAGCCTGCCTCCCACACGAAGCAGTGCTTAAATGGTTCACTTACCTAGTGTAAAGGTGATATAGACTAGAGAAGGAAGAGAAGAAAAAAGAAGAGAAAGAGAAAGTGAGAGAAAGCTCTCTCTTAAGCTAGTGCTCATTATCTAATAGTGACACGGGGCTAGTGAGAACAATAGAGGCACTCTACACATTGTTGTGTTATTGAACTCTGTTGTGTTGTTGAACTAGAGTTGTGTTGATATCACATCTCTAGTGAGGCTGTACGCTTTTCCTTATGAGGAAATTTTTATTTTTCCCAAGAGGTTTTTTGTTTTCTACTCATGAAGGTTTTTAATGAGACAGCCGCCTTGAGGGACCAAGGAGCAATGCCAATGTTATTTTCATGGATGGGATGTTGGCTGTGTTGTAACACATCCGTTCTGGCTAACTATGCTGGCTGAGTACCGGACATCGCTTTGTCATCTGCTCACTACCCACACCTTCTACTATGAACGTGGACATTGCGAGTGATAGCGACCCTGAGCGCCGTCCCTGATCTTCACGCGCCGTTATTGTCTTGCGGCTCGAATCCAAAAGATCAGAGTAGCGGACTCTGCTCGCTCCAGGGTCGTGCGCATCCGGTGCGCCCTGCTCTCCCGGTCGTTGCACGATCAGAAGTGCACTTCGAAGCGACTATCAGCGGCGATGAGGTCGATCGCGTCGCACACGTGCCTTGCCAATCGAGCAGCAAGAAAGGGTGATCTGGGGGCACTTCCCCCTTCGAGCCTAGCGCCAGATTGGGGTATATAAAGCTCCCTTCTGCCCGCTGCCTCGTCTCTTCTCTTCTCTTCTTTTCTTTCTCTCCTCATCCTTCTTTTTCTTTTTTCTGCGTTCGGGTCAACAGACTCTGCTTTTTGCCTGTCTCTTCACCTTTCCTTGCTTGTTCTGTTTGAACAAGCTTCACTGCTCACTTTCTCATCTCCTCTCTTCACTTTGTTCCTCATGTGAACAAGCTCCTCTTCTTACATTTTCTCTCCCCATCTTGTTCCCTTTGAACAAACTCCTTCTAGCTCTTCTCTCTCTCTCTCTCTCTCTCTCTCTCTCCCCCCCTCCCCCCCTCTCTCTCTTTTTCTCTTTCTTTCTTTCTTTCTTTCCCTTCTCTCTTTTTGCTTAACTTGTCCATGACACCATGAACAAGTTTGTTGTTTTCCTTCTGTTCCGAGCTTGCTCGTTGCATTGTGAGCAAGCCTTTTTTTTTTTCCTTTTCATTGCCTTTCTCTCCTTTCTTTTTTCCTCTTTCCCTCCTGGGTTGTTCATGGGGCAACATGAACAACCCAGGAGGGAAATTGAGTCTGCATGGGGACCTCTGCATAAATCACACAGGCTCTCCCATGTAACCCCAGTAGCACTCCTTACTGAAAGGAACTGCCAAGAAGATCAGAGCTTCATGTTACGTACTGTACAATAGGTGTTCAACTCTTAAGTAGTTACAGCTAATGGAAATTCCTATCGATCATTCAATCTTGCCTGAAGAGACTGTAAACAACACACAGCTATGCTTCTTGAGGCTGCATCGGACATAAGAATTCGGTTAGCTGCCCCTCTCCCCTTCATATACATCTTAGAGCTCAAGAATCTAACTTGTTATATATGTATATATATATACACTTGCATTGCCATTTTTTGAAAATTGAATTCTCCCGAAAAGAAATCCGACGACTTCCGCAGTTTCTTATACCTAGTCAACGAATCTCCGTCGACAGGGATCTCAATACGTTTTTATCGTATTATCAAGGATTCGGTAGGTCCAGCGATTCCCACACAAGGTTTCCTCTTAAGACTATATCTTCTATTCGAAGGCCTTTCTAATAATATTTTACTTTCTGCTTTTAGATACCTTTGAATACATGTGTCCTATGCACTTGGCTGCCTTGACGGAATTGTTCATGCGCCACCAGGCCAGTCTCCGAGACCTGCGCCTCCCTGAAGGATGGGGTATATTCAAGGATGGGCTCCCATTTATGGGTGTTCTGAAAGCGTCTTCCTGATCACCTAGGCGGGTCACGCCTTTGCCTAGCCAAATGTCGACTTGATGGTCTGATTGAGAAAATGTGGATATAGCGAACTTGTGTTGCCGAGCTGGAACCATTCTCGCATGATGAAGGCTATTTCCTAATTGATTTGGGAGGTTCCACTTAGGATGGAATAGTTTTAACTTTACAAGTGAATCAATTAAATTTATTTAGAAACCATCCCTCTCGCTAGATGACCATGTCATCGTTTCATTTCGCTGCAATTTCATCCCGCACCCTTTTGACTCTGCCTTTCAGGCGTCCGGCTTCGTTGCTCCTTGCCTCTTCCGTGGAGAAGACCGGGTCCCAGAAGATCCATGGTTCGCAATTTGATGGCCTAGGCTGTCGCAAGTCTCGTAGTATGGAGACCTGGCCGATAAGCGAAGGTAGACACATTGTCGTTCTGGGTTTCACGCGCGCCAGAATGTAGATGGATGGGTATACGTGGCCATAGCCAACCTTTGGGCGGCTGATAGTGCAGTAGATGGAAAAAAATAATATGGTCAAAGCTTTCATTAGCAAAGACAATTCACCTCCAAGCCCATCGTAGAAAGGCTCCAACATAGTGTTGTTGTTGCTGTTGCTCTCGTAGGTAAGTGCTCGTCTAAAACCATCAAGGATTTCGCGATGTTGCAAGTTGGCGCCAGGATTCCACAGGGGCCGTGGAAGGGAAAATAATCAGTAATCAACTGGTCTATGTCAGGCAATATCGGTGTACGCGTTAGTTATCAGCATTGCATTTTCGCGGCGTGGCGGTTAGAGAGATACCAACGGATCGGAAATAAGCATTGATGGAAGAAATCAAGGCATGCATTCGAGTTCGATAATCCTTGTCACGAACATTTTTACAAGAGACAGAAAGTCGCTGCATAGCAGCAATCGTGTGGCGAAGAGCCAGTGGAGTCAATTCGCACGTCTTATCATTTTTCTGGCAGCGCGAACATTTCGCCCATTTATTGGGCTTCGTACAAACAATAGAAGGCTCGTCGCCGTTTGGTAATTCTGACCGTAGTACTGGGTTGATAATTCCGATAGCTTCATAGGAACAATTTTATATGCTGGTAAAGTAATATCCTGAGAAATCCTGAGGTGTATATAAAACCAAGCAAACCACGAAAGCACCAGGTGACTCGAGAGTCATGACTTGATGGATTATAGTCCCACTTGCCCGACGTTGGTATGCTCAATGAATTGCAATATTGATTATGGGTTCACAATTCTTTGTCTTGCATTAGGTTGTTCCTGAAACCTCATTTTTTTCATGGTTGCAGTGGCCTGATTATTGCATCTCCAAAGGCATAGTCTGTGTATCTTGAAAGAATCATAACAAAATGTCATTGGCCTGAGATTCTTGCATATGGCCTGGCTGGTGTTGTTGCTGTTGAGATATGTATTTATGAAAAGATTAAGAATCTCAGAGCAGCTGGCTCCCTGAAAATTGAGCAATGTATATGACATTCTTAGAGAAAGAAGAGTAAAAAGGGAGGTGAGAAAGCAGAGTGCTTATATAGCCATCCACAGTATCGCTTCTCACCTAAGCGGCCTAAGTAATGTAGTGAATTCACTGCTATAAAGTAGATCACTAGATGCTATAGTGAAAAGCATTAGCATGCCGAGCCTGATGCTGCCATTAAGGACCGGAAGGCATTCACTGGGCTATCAGCTTTTAACTTATGGCAGTCGACAGTCATTAAGCCTGAGTAATTGAATTCAAACCACCACATACGGAAGAGGCTTTATAACCACAACTAACTGGGGGAAGTTGAATAAGAATGACAGACGAAAATGTCCAAGAATTTGAAATTATTAACTAATTGAAGCCGAATATGTATAAAGAAATAGCGAAAGGTAACCAAGCATCATCCTCATGTAAAAGAGATACCAAGAACCATAGTCACAAAGCTGAGCAAGCCCACCGAGAAACCAGCTCTGGCACCTGCACCAGTAGCAGTAGCTGACGGTGCTGTACCGGTCCCAGTTGGAGTTGCACCATCTTCAATCAAAATGTAATTCCTGATCAGGGCATCTCCGCTTCTAATCTTCTCGACCTGCTCTCTGGTACATGTGGAAAGTTCGAGGATATAACACTGAGGGGCGGGATCCGGAGGTGGATTATTCTTTATATGGAAGGTTGACTCTGTGCCGGAGGTACCATAGTCTCTTCTCTGGGCCGTATCAATTGTGCCAGTTGCAATGTCTTTATTGAATTGGATACGCTGGAACACCTGGTACGATGCTTCTGGCTGATAAGCGGGGACCTCGTGGCCAGCTTGGTAAATTCTCGAAAACGAGAAATTGCCATACTGCCGAACTTGTCCTCCAACGAAGGAAGAATTTACCTGGATATCTGTATACCCAGCGGACCTGAACATGTCCGATTCAGAATAGTCAATCGCAAGACTGACCTCCTCGCCTCCGATCCAATTGCATATATAGTCTCGATCTCCATAGACCAAAGCAACCTTGACCCCTGAATCTAGAAGATAAGCAATATCTTCAAGATAACCACGGACATCGTTTCTTGGATAGTCTCCAGTCGCAGAGAACCCGCTGTAAACAGCAGTGGATGATACTGTAAAATTAACGGGAATACCCATGGCAGCTTGCACATGCGCCTGGCTCAGGTATCCCAGGTAATAATTTGGCGGGAAGGGATCGGCACTGGGGTGACCGATGTCGTAAACTCCTCTATCGCCATATAGAATATATAGCAGCTCGACGTGCTCACCGCAGTATTGTTCTGTTCTCATACAGGCCTCGTTAACCGTTTGGTTATTTCCGTACATATATGGGTCGCCTTCAGCAGAGAGTTGTCGACAGTTATTGATCATATCGCGACAGCCTCCGGGTTTCTCCCAATCTTCAAGCCCAGTATTGAAAACAGTTTCGTTGATAGCTTGGATTCCATAGGTATTGTTGTAGGCGTAATGGAGGTAGGACGGCGCTTGGATAAGCAGATCGACACAGCCGTTGATAATGCCGAGAGTGTCCAGATTAATGAGGTGCATTTCTCCATCTCTTGTGATAGTCCCATTCCTAATCTTCTCATTTTGCTCTTGGAAGAAGGCAGCAAAAGATGGACCGTACCGACCTCCATAGGACTCAGTCCAGATACTCACCCTGTCGTCATTCGGCCTATACTCTGGGAATTCCTGGAACCACACCTGGGCAAAATGCCACAGAGAACGAGCAGCGTTCATGGTAGAGTTTGCAGAGTTACGCGAGTTTTGAGAACTCGTGGTGCCAACGAAGAATGTATTGTTCTGCTCAGGCACTCCCTGAGAAAAATCTGCAACTTGCCATTCACTCTCCTCAGCGACGGTATTGCGGGTGACGTTTGTTAACGTGTCATAGCTGAAACCAACTTGATTCGGCTGATCAATGTACAGCATATTCACCTCGTTATTCCACGACCAAGGATTCAAATAAGTCGAATTAGAATCATCATTGACGAAGCATGGGCCGTTCTCTTGGAACAGGCCGATCATGGAAGACGAACCAGGGCCGCCGTTCATCCATATCGACAATGGGGCGTTTGCCGGATCTTTGCGGGACTCGAAGAACCAGAAAAAAGTATTGATAGCGTAGTCTTGGTCGACATTGACGTCGTCCAATGTATGGGGTGGTAGGTGGACATATCCGGTATAAGACCTGACTCCCTCAGTCGTCTCACAGATATCGTTCTAAATTCGCTTTGGTCAGAATTGGACGGTAAATCGCTCCAATAAGAGCAGTGGGATGCTAGACATACTTCTTTATAGGATATCTTAATATCTTCATCGTACCTGGAGTTCACCACCCTGACACCTTCTGGCGTTGGTGGGAAATACTTCCCAGCAACAGTCCGAACGAGCAGGATAGGAAGCGAAAGGCGCGTCGACACGCGCATTCTGGCCGGTCTTTGGGCCCTTCTTCGAACAAAATCTCCTTTCAGACGATGTAACACGAAAGCGCCAATATATAGCACACTTAAAAAATAAAGAAGTGTTGGGGGGAAAGACACAATCGATCGAAACAACTAAACTCCTGGGGAATGAAGACTTATATTTAAGTCGCGGGAAACGCATACTTCTGCTGCTGCTCGGTGCGGAACAGACTTGCCGATCCATGGGACATATAACCCCAGGGATACGGAGTAATCCGCTTTTTACATTCCATACGGAATACAGGGCTTGCATACCGATGCGGACGAAGAACACAAACAAGCTCAAGTAGCACAAGTGTGGAGGTAGCCCTGCACCAGCCACTATGCCTTCATATGAAGGGCAATGAGAATTGATAGATCATGAGGGTAAACAAGTTGCCATTCCCGTCTAGGAAAAGCTTCATAAAGCTTGACCCCGCCTTAGGGTGGCATTCAGCTTCTGATATGGAGAATAAGACATTAAACTCTATCTTGCACCCCTGTGCGACGGTGTTGGACAACAGGGATTCGAGATGCGTCCATGGAAATTTTGCGGGTGTGTTCAATCCCGTGTTGAGGAGGCGGGCTGACATACACTTTTTGCTCTTTAGCGAGTAAGAAACAAGGTGGAATATCGGTTTCCCAATCCATGTATCAACGTGAATGCCTATTTGCTTTGAATTTTTTTAACGGCTTCCCAGTGTCGCGCATATTCGTATACCCCTGCCTGCGGGGAACTTTACCCCGGTTGGTTGATGGCAAGGGTTTGACCTGTTAGAATTGATTTGGACGGGAATGGGGGCAAAGGGTTACCCGGTCGCAAGGACGCAACATAAACAAGGGATCCAAAGGAAAATCGGAATCCCAGAGACAATTGTCTCGTAAGTCCGCCCAGAGAAAGCTCGGGCTGTGCTCTTGGTACGGGGTATCGTGGAAAATATTTTGAAACGCATCAAATTTAACTAACACCAGAAACAAAGTTGAGACACCAGCTCCATGCTTAATAGCGGATCCAAGAGTCGGGGTTGAAAATAATTCTAATGACTTTCCAATCACGACATACCAACGCAAAATAAATACTTAATCCTGATCTGAGCCACATCATAAACAATGTACTCGTTGTAATACAAACTCCGATTCTGACCATCATCGCATGAGCGAGGAGCTTCCGTCGTATCTGGCATCAGCACTCCAGCAAGGTCCTCATGCACGGAACCAGCATCTCTCCAGCCATATGGAACAGTGCGACCCATGCCTAGTGTTGCCAATTTATTTTCATCCTTTGCACGGTCGCCCGCGTGGTAATCGGAGTGTGTCAGTTCCAACATCGGATCACCAAGTTCCACGTCACAGAGAAGTAGGAGACCTGTATTGCCACTGTTGTGATGGCAGCAGTAGTTGGCCGATTTACTGGAAATATCTGCAAAGTAAACGCCTTTGCCGAACATATAGCCTGTGACCGGCGCCTCCGGAGGAGCAATGCGCAGCCCTTGGCTCAAGATACCACCATAGTTGGTTGTACGTGAGCCATGCCACAAGAGCCGCCGATTGCTGTTTTTGATATTAGCATAGGGTGAATTCAGGAAACGATCATTCTCGTCCTTGCGTTCAATCCGGAAAATGTATTTTAGCTGCGTAAATTAGCCTTCTACCCGAATAGGATCCCAAGGGACGCGCAGCGATGGGTGTCTTACGTTGTACTTAATGTAGTGAGTATCACCGTGTGTCTTAATCAGATAATCCTCGAGCTGTCTGTATTCTGTTCCCTCAGGATCCACTAATTTCGTCAAAGTTAGCATTTCAAGCATGCTTAGCGAAAGGAGCTGCAAATCTTACAAGGTGTCATTTCCTGCAGGCCCAACCCAGCAAATTGTTGATCAAGCGGATGAATAGGGTCGGCCGCGTCGCTCTTCTTCGAGCCTTTCAGGATTTCGTTTGCAATCTCCATATCTGTCAATGCCTCAAGAAGTGCAATCTCCTTTTTGATCATCCGCTCGTTGTTGATTAATGGAATACGGCCGCGGCCAAGAGCGTGCGGTATGACGGTAAAGTACTGGTTATTGATGATTTCGAGCGCCGTTCCATGAAACTGTCCGTTATTCACCATATCTGACAGGTCCTTCAGGAGCTCGAATCCCTTTTGGAGCGTCCGTTTGCTGAGTTTTCCAAGAGGGAGTTTGTTGGCATCGTAATCCAAGGTAGCCATAGCGTTCGCCCAATACGACTGATTGAAGATAAGGGAGACAACGTGCTGTATCGGCTCTGACAACGTGCACTCTGCCATCTTCACTTCGACCTCTTCCTCTTCTTCGTCTTCCTTCTTAACCTTTTCCTCTTTCTCATCCTCGGACTCGACCTCATAATCACGCTCAAGGAACATGTATTTACCAGCCTTTGGGCTATCGAATCTATTTTTCCAAGAAAGGCCGGACTTATCTTTGAACTTTTTCCCAAAGGTCGATATGGCTGCTTCCAAGCTCTGGTCTTTGTAAAAAGACGACTGACCAAACTCTCCCACTCTTCCCCAGCGCATCCATGTCGTATATTGGCCACTCATATCGTTTGGCTCAAGGATCTGAATAAAGTAGAACTTGTTGTTGTTGTTCATGCGGTTTGTCTGATTCAGCGCTGCGTCGTATATAAGACCGTCCGGATCAACGTAAACATGATAGTTCTCTGTTAGTCGCTCGTCAGTTCAATATCCCATTCCATATGGGTCAAGTGCAAATCATACGTCTATTTGAGAAACCAGAATCAACAGGGATATCTATCTTCCTCTGAGTCTCTGCTTTTGTCTCTTTTTTCTTCTTTGCCGGAGGTTCTGTGTCGGCCTGTGCAGTGTCTGTGATAGTACCACCAGTAGTGGAGTCTAAGGCGCGCTTGTTATTCTTCTTTGGCGCTTTTGCTTGGGATTTTGTCTGATGCTGAGGCTGAGGCTGAGACTGAGGTTGTGGTTGAGTTTGTGATTGAGCTTGGGCCTGCGAATTGCGGGCGGAACGCCTCGGATTAGTGGCAGCCGTGGCATCAGCGGTACCATTTGGTGCGGAAGTCGCAGCAGCCTGGGTCTTATTCAGCGTGGACCAGAGATATTCGGATTCCTTTTTGCATTTTTTGGACGAAACCGACTCGAATAGCCAGGCCGATGAAACGATGCTGATTCCAGTGATGGAGGAGGCCTGTTTATCTAATTTTGGTTTTTCATTAGCTACTTGCTGGCTCTTAATTGCAATAGTCTGTATGGGGCAAACTGCTGTAGATATGCGCGCATCTAAAAATGGAGCAGCAGCTTCCTTTTCGTTGCTTGACATTTTTTTCTTTTTTTTTTTTTGGGGGGGGGGGGGGGGGCCTGGTCGGGAACCTACTTTTGGTGCCATTGTTTTCGAACTCCTTCTGGGTGCAGACAAGATGAGTGCAGTCGTCCGTCACCTTCGCGCTAAATGTTCCGCCATTGGTCTCAATTAAATTCTTTAGGTCGGCTATATCGACGCCATCAAGAGATTTAGCAATTCGAACACCAAGCAGCTCCGGTTCGAAGCAATCCGCCGGTACTGACCCTGCTTATAACCTGGAAAGGTGCCGCTCAGGACCACGGTTTTATTCTTGAAGACCGCAGGCATGACGTGACGTCAACTCAGAACAACTGCAGATTGAATTGTAAGATAGCTCGCGTAAGAAGGCTGGAAAGATGCAATGCGTTTAATAACCAAAACACAACTCAATTGGGGGGAATAGAGGCAGCGAAGGGGCATGGCAAACGACTGAAGAGGTGCTGGGAAGACGAAGAGCACGAAGCGAGGGGAGGGCGGTCGTCTCTGTCTTTTTAAACCCGTTGCGCAGCGCACAGTTGGAGCTCGTTTCCCGAACGGTCAACAGCAGGCTGCCACGGGCGATGATTGGCTGGCTGGGACGGATGGCTGGCTGCGACCCACACTTACATAAGCTGCCCCTGGATGCCAAGATGCCGAGGCTCCGTTGGTCTTATGTCAGCTACCGTATCAGGACTAGCGCAAGCGTGGCGTTCCCCGCAGTTCAGGCAGCGCCAGGCAGAGCCGCATCCACCGTGTCACCGCCGCCAGGCAGACGCACGCCAGCACGGACAGTCCAGCTCTGGCGGGAGTCGAGGGCTGCTGGGCGACAGCCACATCATCCCAAACAACATCGCGGCGTCAATGGTGCCAGACCAAGTGGCAGAGCAGGACAGCTCAAGCCAGACTAGCAGCCAAAAAGGGAGAAGTGCATCTTGTGGTCAAACTGTTGGAATCCCGGCTTCTGTGATTGCGCCAGCCAATGGGTTACAAAGTCTGGCCAATCCTTCTTCCGCGTGGATCTCAACAGAGAAAGCCTGGTATCTGCCAACAGAGACATTCCCTCTGAGCATTTTGTCCAGAATGGAGATCTTCTGGATCAACTCCAGCCATCGTGGACATCGCTGCGTCAGCCGCAATTATATCGGGCCGGCCAAAACCTTAAAATCGGGGCCGTGTACATACCCAGGGCGCGCTGGAAAGCTCAAGGGGCGCTGCTGTGTCTCTGAGCTTTTTCAAGCTCTAGTTCCATCACATGAGCGGAAAGCGCTTCTCTATCCTCAGTTCTCAGACTAGGGCCGACCTGATCAGGTCCTCCCATGAGCACTGGTTTCGCTGCACATCTGTCCGCTGGTTATCCGACGAGCTGCTCCAACTCGAAAGGTGGTATGTCAAGTTCAGTGTTGAGGTACTTCAGAATACTGCCAGCCATACTCCGTATACTTAGCGCTTCATGATTTCGCGTGACGAAGCTACTCGAAAGGTTTTATAACAAGGTCTTCTCTATTAAGACGGAGCAGAGTGATGAGGAGCTTCTTGCCAGGATTCTAAATCCTATGTCGCTAGCGAAGTTGCTACATTTGACTTTGTATGTTGTGTCTTGTCTTCTGCTTGGTTATACTAGTTTTCTGAGCTTCGCAATGTCCTTGATATACCTGTTCCTGAGGTTGTAGCTTGGAGCTCACCGTCGTTGCGTCATATGTTTTTAGGTGCTGCGAGTATTATCATCACTAGGCTACAGATCAGTTTCTGCTCGGTCCCGGCGCATCGTGGGATAGAGGCGAGCGACTTCTCTCACAAGCTTCACTGGCGAGAGATAGTACGCGATAGATACGGCAGAGAAATAGAGATTGACAGTGATAACACACCACTGAACTCCCTCCTTTTTTCAAACCTCTCAAGTTGACACGTTTAGCGAGAGCAACCACTAGGTATAGCGGGGGTGGCCGTATGAATTGGCGACCGAGACAAACCACTTTGTTTAGGATACAAAGTTAGGAAGTAAGAAAAGCTAATAAAACAGAAGCACCACGTAACCTCCCATTATGGTGAGATCCTATCTTCACCTCGTCACAACGGCCTGTGCCCGCCAGTGGTCTTAATATCCTGGAAAGCCTTGCATCTATCTTTGGCATTCGGTAGCATAAATCTCCGCTCCTACGTGCATCAGATCATGGGATACTGCAAATAAGGCAAACAGGTTCCGTGCTACGCATAAATACTGCATAGCTATCAGTAAACGTTAATCAATAGATGCTGGTTTCTTGCCTCTGTAAGCTTAATAACTTTGGAGGCTATCGCTGGTATAACTTGACGGAATTCACCGCAGAATGAAATAAATCTCAATTCCTCAGCAGTGGCCGATCGCGCTAGCCTGTTGGTTAGGAATATATCTGAGTTGGTGGAAAAGGCGAACATCATTTCTGGATGTTTCGCATTCCTAGTATCTTCCTAGCATGGAGTATATAACAACCAAAAAAGGGTAGAGGTAAGCTCTTCTTTCAAAGACATGAACTGATAATTAGTTAACTAGCTGTACAAATCACCAAACAACCCGCAAAGCCGCGCCACCATCATCCGGTTCCGATAGATCCTGCAAATCCCAACTTCCATATTTAATGCAAACATTGAAGAAAAGAAAAAGAAAAAGCACAAACCACAGAGCTTTTGCACACGAAGAATCGTTAAGAAAGGAAAAAGAGGCAAAAATGGCCTAAATAACCGTAAATGCTGGGACGACCGAAAGCTGGCTGCGATCGCGTATCCGAGAATCGAAGGAGCATTAAAAATCTTTCAAATATAAAGTGAAGAAGGTAGAATACACGACGCTTATTAATGCGCCTTTTCTAGCGTTGAGTCTTGGACCAGCTCTTCAGTCCTGGACGGCGACGCAGGTGCAGAATGGAAATCATCACGTTCTGTTGACCGACCACGGTCGTCCTCCGCGGGTGATTGCGATTCGCCGGACCGAAGCTGCCTTAATCGGTTTTGAATATCGGCAATGCTTGTCTCCTCGTCGACCGGAGAAATGGATGACAGCGTGGCAGAGTCATCGATCTCTGAGCGACTCGAAACTGGAGAGACGACACGTTCAGGGTTGCGCGGGGGTAGAATAGGAGGGACACGCTTAGGTATAGTGACGAGCCGCGCCTTTGCGAACGACGCTGGTGCTGATGCGCTAACAATGGGCACGTTGTGGTCGGATAAATTGACTCGCCGTACCGGAACATGCTTGACATCTTCGTGTTTGAAATGTGTGGTTTCATAGTCGAGCTCCTCCGCTTCGGCAGCCTTGACGGCTCGAGGAAAGGTATAGCTTGTGACGCTCCGAGGAGGACTTGTACTCGTAGGGGAGTAGCCGCTCTGTTCGAAATAAGAATCGTCGGTCTGAGTCCCTCGATCAGCGCTTCCAAAGCTCCCTAGGCTGTTGCGGACGCTGGATCTTCTTGAACCTGAAGCGCTGAATCTCGCAGATTTCGGGCTGAGAGAAATTGGCCGGTAGTCAAAGGCGTCCAATTTCGGGATTTGACGAGTACCAGCTTCTCTGATAAGGATGCCTTCTCTCTCCAAGGCTTTGACGCCATAGGGGTCTGGGTCATCGGCATCTGGGATACCGAACGTTCCTGTTAAATCAATATCACCAGGAGTGTCACCAGAAGGCAGCATATCTTCGTTGACGTCACCATCGCCCTGGGCCGCTTTCAGTGTCTGCATCAACGTTTTAATTGACGACGGGGGCCTTTTAGTTTTGCCTGCCAATATATCGCTGACGGATATTCTCTCGCCGTAAAATCGCTCGTTTTCGTCACATCGATCAATCACAATGGTTCCTTCTATTTGGACACCGGCATAAAACCCCCGACCTTTTATATACGTCCAAACTGGAGCTTGTCGTTTGTGGACCTCAGTCTCCAGATTACCACCTGCGCCAATCGGACCAGCTGAGGCAGCCACCTCGCCACCGAGTGTGCAGCGGACGGCTTTGAAGGCTTCCAGGGCCTCATAGGTATTTATTACCACTACGCAATCGTAGATATCCACTCCGGCAAGGAACCCTAGCCCAGCTGTATGCGTCATAATTCCGGACGGGGGACTCCATTCTCCCGTCTCTTTGATTCTTCCGAGTAGAACGCCGCTGCCTCCAGATCCACTAACCCAGAGACCCGTTCTCATGGTTGTAAAGATAGCCAATCCCTTTGCTTGCTTGATGACCGACGCCGGGATCTTTTTCACTACCCTTTGTTTCCCTCGCGGGATCCCCTCGGTGGGTTTTGTACCATTTCCACTGTCTATTTCCGCATAGAAACCATCTTTGCAGAAACTTCGCAGGATCCGCGCGGCCTTCTCGCTCTCTAGATCTAGAGTCGTCGGCCAGAAGGCTTCGGCGCCCAGTTTATTCGACAAGCGGTTTATCGGACGTCCAAGTTTGTCAAGAGTGTGCCATGCCTTATCGAATCCTCGTTTGGAGTAGACTTTGGCCTTTTCCCATTTTCGTTGCGTCGGCGGCGCCATTCTGTGATGGTTATATCCTTTATCGATATCTCATCGAGCTCTTGGTAGGGCCATAGGTCGCGAAGAGGCAATCAGACATCTCAAAATGTGTCAACAGAGCGAAAGAAGTGCAGAATCCGCAAGAAGTTCGCCCAATCAATGATTTGATCCGTGCTTTGCGACATGCATTATTCTTGAAGCGATCGACAAAAAAGCAAGTTTGGAGGCTTGACGAGAGAGGCAAAGAAGGTAAAAGAAAAGTATTGAAGGAAAAACAAAAAGATGGATCCCGATGGCTTGGACTTTTCTAGACGAGGAGTCCTTTCGAAATAAACCGCCTGGCGGCTTTCTCCCTGCAAACTGGACGCTATCTATGTACTACCGACTGGATGCAGAGCGTGGCCAGGATGATGATAGACCAAAGCACCATGTGCCAGGGGCCCTTCATTGTTCCAACCCATGCTACTACCCTCCCCCAATTGCCTCCTATTAAACCTAGTAAATGGCACACAGGATTTTCCGGGCACGGAGGTTATGCGTCATTGCTTCCACTGCCGAAAGTATGTACATGTGTGGACGCATGTATCTAATACATCATCAGCGGGCAGAACCACGGGCAGGGATGGGGGTATCGAATACCGCGTCGGCTGATTCGGTCGAAGCGCGGTCGATCCGCTCTCGAACGTTGGTGGCGTCGGCGCATGAGGGAAACAAGCATTCAAAGGGTTGGTCATGCAGGACCAGATGTCGAGGCGGATGTCCCGTGCCAATTGAAGCCTATCAGCAGTAGTTTCATTTCTGTCGAAGATATGTTTGACAGGTCCGAAGTACATACCCTAAGAGAAACACGCTGGTCAATTTCCCCGCGACGCAGCCCTGGTCAACTGTGAAACATACTTGGACCCCAATATTGCGCTGGCATGTCACAGATGTTGGCATTAGGGCCGGCTGGCGATCATCTTGGCAGTCCGGTCCTTGGGTGCTTGTTTTCATGTGTTCAGCCCAGTGACTTCTTTTCCCTTTCTTTTCTTTTCTTTTTCTTTTTCTTTTTCTTTTTGGTTTTCTCCTATGGATGGCCTTCTTTGTCTTCATGCGCCCATGGCTTTCGACAGCACGCAAACACTGTGCCACTCGGTTCCAAGCACTCCTTAAATCTCACGCTGCATGAATATTTATGTAGGTCTCTGCTCACGGAGGAAACATTAGTTGTTTGCAATTGATATAGGCCCTTGGTGTTCCACATAGTGCAACAGAGAAAATACTATCCATACATCTTACAAAAGATTTTCACATGCTCTTCTCTCTTTTATCAATGTTTTTGGGGGATTTGGCACTTGGGTTATTGTGTTGTAGAGGTATCTATATTTTGTGCCATGTTAAACAGTCTCAAGGGAAAAGCAAAGCAAAACGAGAACGCTTCTACAGTGTCTTCCCATATATCACATACAGAAAAAAAAGAAAATTTCCCTCCAGAAAACTAAAAACCAAAAGGCTGTAAAATCACAGTGGCGCTTGAGGACTTTACAGAGCACCAAGCTCCTTCAGACGGCCGATAAGACCATCGACATCTTCGACCTTTCCGCCGCCTTGTCTCGCCGGGGGTTCTACCAAACGCATAAGCCTTTTGATGATCTGCAGAAAATGAGATATGGCGTGTATAGTCGCCAGAGGTTGGAGGATAGGGGGACCTATGAATCTTACCTGTAACCTTTAGCGTCTTCAATCTCTTGGTGTTTTCGACACCAAAGTCAGCCAAGGTCTTCTTTTCCAATGGCTTCTTCTTGGCCTTCATAATGTTTGGCAAGCTGGCGTATCTCGGCTCGTTCAGTCTCAAGTCTGTCGTGATGATCATGGGCAATTTCGCCTTTAATGTTTCCACACCACCGTCCACTTCTCTTGTAACCTCAATCGAGCCCTCAGCGTCCTTCACGGTGACTTTGCTCGCTTGCGTGGCTTGAGGCCAACCCAACAGCCCGGCGAGCATCTGGCCAGTCTGGCCTTGGTCTCCATCAATGGCTTGTTTCCCCAAGAAGACCAGATTGATGTTTTCCTTCTCAACAACGCTCTTCAGCAGCTTTGCAACTGTCAATGGCTCCAAGCCACCTTCGTCACCTTTGCCCTCCGGAACGTCTACCAAGAGACCTCGATCGGCACCCATGGCCATTGCGGTGCGGAGAGTATCTTGACATTTCGGCCCACCAGCGGAGAGAGCGAGGATATCTGCAACGTTCATAGGACCCTTGCGTTCGCGCAGGCGGACGGCCTCTTCTACCGAAAGTTCATCGAAAGGATTAAGGGAGTGCTTGACGCCGGCGGTTTCCACACCGGTTTGGGTTTTGTTAATGCGGGGTTTGATCTAGGGACGTGAAAGGGGAAGATCAGCCTTTGGAAGACGGAAAAAAAGATCATAAACGGTCCATTGGTCGAACTGCAGCTGCAGCCGTTCTGGATGCCAACAAATAAGGACAGTAAGCGGGCATGGCACAGGCGAATGTCCCAATGGCGTCCATCCAAGGTGCGAAAGTCACAATGAAGAAATTGAAGCCGGGAAACCCACCGCAAAATCGATCACCCTCTTAATAGGCACTAATATCCGTAGTCCACTGGCCATTGTGAAAGTGCGTAACTCGATCCTCCAGCGTACAATGGGCTGGCCTTTACGTTCCTTGAGGAGATGTCTCTGTGTTTGTCCAGCCTCTCGAGTCGATTCCTACCGACAACCCTTCGGATCGGAAAGCCGTCGCCAAGCTATGACCGTAATGGAGCAATGAAATTCCTTTGCCAAGCCTCAACGGCACCTCTCCGACTCTACCCACACGTGCACCTAAGCTCGGTTGCCGAAGCTTTCCGAAAAGCCGACAGTCGGACCCGAGCTTCCTGTCAGCTCCAAACAGTATCAGATGGGTGATTTTGAGATGGTTGACGGATGGGACGAATACAAATGAGCATGATATCCAAACGATGTGCTTGACAATGATCGTTCGCATGGTCGCTGGTCAGGCCTATCTCTTTCGCGCTGTAACTACGCGCCGCGATGACCGGTGAGCCTGACTGCTGATTTGGACTGTTCGATATATCCTTTGGCCCGAAGCTTGGGACTATGGGACTATTTCATGCAAAAAGGCGCTTTCACTATAGAGTATCCTCCATTCACCATGTTTCTTGTTTATACCGTCCAACCCTCTCCATATCTATAAGATACTTTTCCGCCTCCTCTCGACTGCTCCCACGCGTCTCAAAAGTCTCAATTAGTGCTTCTCTCACCGCCTGCGGCATCCGGCCAGACGACCCACAGATGAAGACCGCCCCTTGCATATCATGCAACACCCTGAAGAACGCATCTTTGTTTTGCCGGATGGCATCCTGAACATAGAACTTGTGCTTTTGATCCCTAGAAAACGCCGTGAAAACGGTAAGGTCAAGCGTTTCCTTCAGTTTGTTCCACTCTTCTTGGAAAAAGAAGTCAGCAGCTCGGTTGCGGCCGCCGTAGAGAAGGATAACTGGCCCAACTGGTGAAGGAACGTTTGGACCGTGCTTGTTGCGATATGCCTCCACGAGAGCAGCCTTTTCCCAAAGGAGTGATCGAATAGGAGCCACACCCGTTCCCGGTCCTATTACCACTGAAGGCTCTAGGAGTTGTTCCACGGATGGACTTAGACCACCTCTATGGAGCTGAACCTTCATGGTGCTACCTGGCTGAAGTACGGCAAGATATCTTGTACATACACCCTCACGGATCTTTTTTATAACCGTCTGGTACTTGACTATGGCCACCAATAGCTCGAATTTTGTTTTCCCCTCTACTGTTTTCTTTAATCTACCACCGCTAGCAATGCTGAACTGGCGCCCGCGTAGAATGGGAAAAACGTTGCATACCTGCTGCCAAGGTACTTTGACGGTGTCGAATTCATACAGCACTTCCAAAATGCTCCGTCTCGACCGCGTCGCATAATCATAATATTCGTCAATATACTCCGGGTTAGTGAATTCTAGAAGGCGTTCTTTCTGCATTGTATCGTCTGTGAAATGGGATATCTGCGAGAAAAATGATCGACGTGGAATTGCCATGATATCTAAATAGTTTGTCAATAGCTCGCGAAGTGTAAACCCAGGTGAGTTTTGCAAGAACGATATAGGAGGAGACGATGACGGAAGCGAGGACTTGCTTGCCGGGGTGAAACACAGTGGAATGTCGGCGTCGGCTTCCCATCCCATAAGGGATAGGAGAGTGTTAACATCCTTAGCAAAATTCTTGGGAGTTATGTGGAGAATGTCGCCTGGAATGTATTGCATCGACTCGGGGACCGTTAGGGTCAAATGTCGAACATCTTGCCAGTGGCTTTCTGGAGTAACCCGGATATTGTCAATTAACGTTGCAGTGATGGAATTGGGAATCGGTCGTGTATCATGATCCCGCGGTTGTAGAGCAGGATATTGGACTATCTGTTCCTTTCCGGTTCCGTTATTTTTCTCGGGTTGAGAAGAATTGCCATTGGTCATTTGGTGTTCCTTGCCAGTACCTTGGCCCCAAGGAGCCAGAGCCCATTTCGGCGGTAATCGAACATCATCAGGTATAGGATGCTGTCCGGGCTTCAAAGGAAATTTATCCAACAAAAACTTTTTCAGGCTCTGGGCCCAAGGAACAAAAGTGCCATCAATGCTAGAAGAGAGCGACTGGTTAGCATATGCCGCGAGATGATGATTAACAAACGGGAGTCATACCCTTCGGGATGCTGCTCATCTGCTTCACCGCTTGGAAATATCTCGTTTGCCCCTAGCTGCAGGAGCCTCTTATGCATTTTTCTGGCCGCCCAATTGAACCTGTCCCTCTGGTCAGATACTGAGGGTTCACTCTGGTTCATTCTGTGGAAAGCATACTTCGGGTAGGAGCTGTCTCCAAGCCCGAAGAGGGCAAAATTGACATGCTGCAGGTACGTTGGCAAGAGCCTTTTCAGCAGCAAAGACCGCCAGAACGTCTTTCCATTGGCGGGGACATCACCTTGTCCTGTTGTCGAGACGGCAAAAATAGTCAAAGAGTGCCCATTCAGGGATTCCTAGTACTACTATAAGCATATATCCATGTTTATAGTCGCAAATGCACAGCTTGTTAGCTTACTGCTTCAATTGCATCCAGTTCTGACACATGTGTCTCAAAATGCAGACGCTCCGTTAAGCGGCCCAGCTCTTCTGCTATCTCTTGCGAATTTCCCGTTTCGGAGGCGTAGACAACCAAAGCAGTCCTTGGAACGCTATTTTTACTGCTGGCCATCTCATCAATTTCGTCTGTGAAGGCCCCCTTTTGAGTTCTAATGCCCCGCAATACATGAATCGACTCTCCATTTTGCGACAGAAGTTTGAGCGGGACCGATCTCGGACGATGACATCATCAGGTGCCAAGACACAGCAATAATGCAAACTGTGCAAATCCCCCCAAAATAGCTTCTCAAGGAGTGGAAAAATGCCATTACGTGCTTCTACTTAGGTGTGCTTCGATAGCGTCTGGCCTTCAATACATTGTCAATTAATAACCATGGCATTTTAATGATCATAAATAATGTATATATAGTTTATCACAGCTACTGTGAGAATTCGTGATAAGGGTATCAAATATTGTTAGTACACATCACCATCACCTCCATCGCCGTCACCATAGTCATCCACTTCATCGCCAGCATCGAAGTACTGCTCTGCGTTGTAATCCCCGCCCATATCCTCCTCATCTTCTTCAAAGTCATCGTCCACGATCTCTTCTTCGCCTTCGCCCTCGTCTTCTAACACAGCCTCATCATCCGTATCTCCTCGCCTATCAACATCCGATCCTTCATCACCCTCTTCATCAACAGCCCGCCGCTTACGGGCCGCGTCCACAGCCTCCTCTTCCTCGTCATCTTCAAATCCCCGTTTCTGACCTACCCGTGAAAGCGCCCCGAAGCCGCTGCCCATTCCCCCAGGCAAGCCGACAAATTTCGGATCAAGCGTGGACCACAATTCTTTTGGGAAGAGATTCATTTCTGCAAAGAAGCCCGCCATCAGTATTTAGTCAACCAACAAAGTAGTGATCAAGTACCTACCAAATGGTACCGCACTGAGTTTGGGCAGCGTCCGCGCTTTTTTCAGATACCGCTGCCCATATGTTGCCATCCCCTGAAAAGGGTCAAACTGTGCCCGTTGAGGCTGGCCTCCCTTTCCATATGAGGGAGGGCCGCTGAGCACTACATAAAAGGGTCCATCGTGAATAGCCTCTCGTAGTTTTCGGTAGTAATCGACTTGTGAGTCTTCTAATGGCGTTAGAGGTTTTGCGCGGGGTACTTTGTATTTCTAGGGTGGGAGAGTCAGCAAGAGACGGGAAAAAAGGCGAGTGAAAGGTTGCGTTTGATTACAGGGAACAATGGCGTGGGCGCGGTATCCGCCTCCGCTCCAGGTTCGGATTGCCATGAAAACTCTGCTCCAGGCAATCTTCTGCCTCGAGCTCCTCCACCGCCGCGACGGGACATGCCAGCTAGCTGCACAGATAAAAGAAATTTAACGGGCCGGAGTTAAGCGCGCAGAGATGGGCTAGGAAGCCAGGATTACTTCATTATCACAGATTCCCTAGGAACATCAGCAAAGGTTCGGGAAGGCTGGCATTGATGATATGGCATTCAAAGCATTTTTCAAGATGCTTTTGGAAAAAAGATCATGGCTCGCTCGGGATAATTGCTCTGCGGTCATCACGCTGACTAAGCCGGAGGAGGGAGAACTTTATGGCCGACATAAGCCAAGCCGAGGTCCATGCCGCGCGACTGCTCGCACACAGGAAAGAGTATGGAAAGAGTATGGAGGTAGGCTTGCTTGTGCTCATTACGGAGTACCTGTCATGCAATGTAGGGCTTTAAAAAAGAAATATATACATAGGCTATTAAAGCGATTAATACTATCACTTTAATTCAGCGCCAGAGTTTCCCATCCGAGCATTGCGTAAAACTATCATTCATATCCTCGTTATAGTTCCAGTGCATCAACCCGGCTGCCAATCTGGCTTGTATTACCCCATGGTCCCTGGGCTACACGCCGCTTCATAGTTCGTATAACATCCTCAACACCATTGGTACTTCCGCCGATTCGTTCAATAGACGACTCGAGCGCAACGAGTGCATCATACTTGGCAGTAGCGATTCTCCACACAGCACTCTCCGTGTCTCCTCTTCCCCCGGCAACAAAGTTCGCATGCGTCTGCGGGTCTTTAAAAAGGTAAGGTAGAACAACAGTTAAAGCTGGAGGAACGAGTAGCGCCCAAGCTCCATGCAACGGAAGATTTCCTTGGGACGCTGGCCCAAGCCGCTCGACCTCGTCTTCAGTTGGAATAGCAAACCGAGCAGTAGTGATGCCTTCCGAGGTCGAGCCTTGTTTGATCACGTCCCAGTTCGCTGTTGCGACTGCTTTTATGAATGCGATTGCAGCCAAAGCTGTGTCAGTCATCGCCACTGTCTCGGCGGCCGCCACGACGTTGTTCCAGATGGCCGTGTGCTGATTTAGGTATTGGAAATAGAGCGTCCTTGCAGCCGCTGCCTCTGCACGGGAACTGGTTGGATTGTGGCTTAAATCCTCTTGTTGCTCTGCATCGCTATCAACCTTGCGACCTAACGGTCCGTGAAATATTCTTCCCAGTGCACCCAGGGTGTCCTTATGTAGTGGCTTTGAAGGAATGGAAAATAGTGGGTTTAAAGATCGTTTCCCAGCCTCCAGTAACATAACTCGGGGCAGTGACGCTAGAATATTAAGTTCACCGCTTGGAACTGCTCCGTGGGCCCATTGAACTGATGGCATATCAAAAGATTGGAGTGTTCGGGTAAGGATTTTATCCAGAAAGCTTTGTTGATTTTGCAACAAGTGATTCGGGTAGAGTTGGGCATACTGGGAAACGTACGCCATTATTGGACCAGAAAGATAAGCAGCTTCTGCGGGATCCAGGGTAGAGGGCTCCACAAAGTATTTCATGATTCTGTCATGTAGGCCAGAGCTGACCAGGAAATCCAGGGATGGAGAAGAGAATATTGGGTGAGACACTTGAGCGGTGCTGCAACGCTGTTGGAAACCAGGAGCGTCGATTTTTAGGAGATCCTCGAGGAAATGGATGAGCGTCATGTGCAGCAGAACATCTTCGGTGTCCACCATTTGGCAGGCTGCAAAATCTAACAAATTCTTGCATTTAAACCCAAGCTCAACATCTGGGAAATGTGATGCCGTAACCGCCTGCCAATCCAGCGACCCTACTCTAGTCACAAAATCCATCAATCTTCCCTGAGCCACTGACTTTTGCCGCTTGCTCGGCTGCCCGGGTTGTCCGTCATTATCAAGACAGCATATTGAGAAGAGTAGGTTGTACACGTTTCTGTCTCCAAATAGTCTTCTCCACACCAGGCCCAGGCCACCAGAATTACTACTTTCCATGTTTCCATTTATCCACGGCTGATTTGGGTGATCGATCCGGAGGAGACACCATAGAACATCGAAGGCCGCCTCCGCAACAGCAGTGGTGGTGCTTGTGAGCCATATCTCCACTAAGGATGTCACTAGAGCTGAATCGCCTGCAACAACTGCCGCATCGCTAACGGACTCGCTAGCTTTGCGGAGGAGCGATAAAGCAAGGAGGTTAACCGGGTGTGAAGGTGCCTTGATACCGGCAAGAATATCGAGGGGAGGTTCGATGGACCGGATCTGTGAATAGTTTAGGTACGTCGCTGCTTTCGTGGCCAAATTGGTTAGCGGAGTCGGATCTTCTTGAATATTGGGGAGGAGGTTGGAGATCTGGACCAGGAGTGCCGCTGACACTTTTGGATCAGTGCTAGCGAACAGCTCCGCTTGAAGCTTCTCGATTAAACGGACATCTAGGCGAGTAGAGGGATCCGAATATATCTGATCGAGGTGATCCCTGAGCTGATCGTACGTCATGGGAGTACCCATTTTTTTTTTTTCCCTTGTTCGGGCTCGAAATGAGCCTATGGAAGAAGACAAATCCGACGTGGATGAGAGTGAGAGCAAAACAAGACCGGGTTCCATGATGATGACGAGGTGGAGGAGCTTGGTTGCCCCACGAGCAAACAAGACAAACAACCTACGCAGTCAATTGCTCCCTTGCAAAGTGACCTTCAGCGGAGCGCTTGACGATGATCATTGTTTTGAGCGTTTCTCATCTGCTATGACTGGCAAAGTTTACAATGGAGAGAATCCCTAATCCTCTCATTTCCCAAAAGTCTTCGGATTCGGGACTCCACGCCTATCTTCATCCCCTCGTTCTCCTCAACATCTCAGACCATATCACCCGCCATGCAGTCAGACAACAGCGCGGTCCAATTGTGGGAGCTCTTCTCGGTCAACAAAAGGGTCGATCGATTAGCTTAGAACATGTTTTTGAATGCAACACTGTGATAGAGCCAAACGGAGATGTATTTTTGCATCAGGCCTGGTTCTCAGAGCGCCTTCAACAATGTACGTAATTGGAATTCCCCCGAGGTCTCTTGAAAGCATACTGGAACTAATGGCGATATTGATTGTTAGTTAAGGATGTTCATAAGTCTCCTGCATTGGATTTAGTTGGATGGTTTACGATAACGCTGCCGACGGGTCCAACACCGGCGCAATTACCACTTCACCATCAGATCCTCGAACAATACAATGAAGCAGCGATACTATTAGCATTCCATGCCTCGGAGTTACAAGACACGTCCTCTACCATAGGAAAACTGCCACTTACAATATACGAGTCCGTCTACGAAGAAGAGACCATGAGCGATGGCGATAGGTCGATGGAAATTGACGGTCAGGCCCGCCAGCTAGCACTTCGATTTAGAGAGCTCCCGTATTCGATTGAAACCGAAGAAGCTGAAATGATCAGCGTTGATTTTGTTGCCAGCGGTGGCGGTAACGCCGCTGCCATTGATTCAGAGGTGCCGAGTGAAACCAAGGCCAAGATGAAAGATGAGAGGAAAGAAAGGCAGCCAAAAAAGGAGGCACCGGAAGTATCCCCGCTCTCACGCGAGGATGAAGACCGTATGCGCAATTCCAATGTGGAAATAATTTATCTTATTTTCCAGCTGACCAAAGTTATAGTAATTGCGAACCTCACCGTCCGTTTGGGAGCTGTTAGAACACTCGAATCCCGTCTCCGTCTGATCAAAGCATACCTTCAATCCGCACAGTCTTCAACTTCTAGCGTGATCCCTTCCCCTTCCTCTCCTCCACTTTCCAATTCTATCCTTCGAAGTATCTATTCACTCATATCCCACCTGACTCTCCTAAATCCACAAGATTCAGACTCTATCTCTGTTGAGTCCCTCGCCCAGGCCAATGATGTCGCACTGGTTGCTTTATTATGTTCTATGGGTGAAAGCATCCGGGGATTACGTGAAGTTGGCAAAAAGTTTGCTGTTGCGCGCGCTATGAAACATAGTATGGCTGCACAACATGGTATGGAATCACAGATGAGAGGTGCTATGTGGTGAATTAGGTTAATTTGTGCTTATACTTTACCTCCATATTGGTTATTGATTTGGATTGCTAGTGGAGAATGGCGTTTATTCTCCTCTAGCCAGGCGCATGAAGGATATAAGTGAAGCGATGCTTCGGGAATGAACCCGCTAATGAAAATTTACGAATCTTAGAGAGGTTGGTTAGACATGAATAAAAAAATTGACAAGTCCCGAGCCAGTCAGGTTTATTTGTGTATCTACCGAGTTTTCTCTGCAACCCTGAGAGCATATCTGTAAATAAATATTATCGGGTCACAATATACATAAAGACAATGGTATCATTAAGAAGGGATAAAAAGTTGCTCCCGCCCTAGAATCTTCGCAGTCAAATTAACCTGAGCACATGTACCAACGTATTTAAACATAGCATTGTGTTCTGCTTTTTTCCGGTGTATCACTCATTGTGATCCAGTACGTTTCAATGTGTGTGGTGGATAATCCGTAACAGGGTTATCCTGAGCATTCGCGAGTAACTCGTCCCTTTCACCGCCATAAGAGTCATACTGTCGACTCGCCGGTTGCATCATCATCATCTCATCGCCCGATTGCGCTCCCAGGTACGCTGTACCTTGCTCCTGCATCCTTACTGCCGGTGTCTTGACGGTGAACGAACTTCCTGGTTGGCCCTGATAGCTCGGATCAAACTGTCGATGTTTTCTCCCCACGAAGAGCCATCGAGCACTTCTTCCGATTGCTTTGATAAGATCCCAAGGGTTAAATGCATCTATAAGTGCTTTGATCCCGAGGAACCCACCTTGGTAGGATTCCATGCGTGGTGCATCGAAGTCGTCCTCAGGAGCGTTCGTATGTTTTGAATTGATGAGACTGTATTGCTTCCAAGGGAAGGCCCAGAGATGGAGAATAGCGAATGCAGCCATTTCAACACAAAGTAGGGTAGAAGGGATACCAAGTTTGATGTCTGGCAATCCCATTTGACTCGAAGTCTTGATTGCGCCGGACGAGGTGAGGAAGGATATTGTAATCTGAAATGGAAAGGTCAGACAACTTTATTCGAAGACCACAGGGTCAGCTGCCCGTCAAAACCCACCTCCTGCCAGAATGAAAGAAAAATGACGAGTTTAATGGCAAGGATCTTCATAAAAGGAGAATGTGGTGTAAGGTCCTCCTTCAGTTGAATGTAAAACTGGATCAGACAGTACATGGCAACTGTGACACAGATAACTTCGATGACCATGACCTAACATACGAATTAGCATCATTTTTCTTGTAGACCTCAATAAAAACAAACCCATAAATGCGCAAAAGCAGGGCTTAACGACTCTGCACAGTAAACATGGAACTTTTGCGTCACAACAGCGACGATAGTCATAGCCACTCGTATAAAGCAATACTGGAATACTCCTGTCCAGATAATCTGTCGTAAAAACCGTATCAGCTTTCGTAGGAGATTGCAGCATTCAACGGTGTCCACTCTACATTGAACCATGTCAACCCACTCCTGGGAGTCCTCCAAATGCCTCTTTCACCGCCGCAGCATTTCTGAAACCAGTCCAATGGCCAGTACCACGGCTTTGGAACGATACCTCGAAAATATTCTTTCTGCTTGTGCAGGTCGTCGGCGATATAGTGGCACATAAGAGAGAAAAAAGCAGAGATGGCAAAGGCCTCGTAGCAATCTCGGAGAACCTGAAAGTATACGGTGTGCCGGTAGTGGTAGAAAGAGAGGAAGGATACTACGGCGTAAATAGGAACCATAAACAGAATTCGAATGATGCTGGGAAGAGGTGAACGTTATTAGCAATCCGATCTATAAAATCTTCAGTCCACAATCGAAACCAAACGCACTGTCTTTGTTCTTGAGGCCGGAGGTAGTGTACGGCATGTTGGAAGACGAGGTAAACGGATACAAGCACGGCGATCAGGGAGAACGTGGCAGATATTATGAGGCCAAGCTGATGGAAAGTGATGCCCCCATCCCAAAGAGGGACCTCGGAGACTGTAAGATCATTAGCAATGGTAGAATGTGCTCTAGGGGAATTACAATCCACCTCGCTCCGCCTGCAGCGTCTCGTTGCACACCGGCCACCCCATTGATGCATATGTTTCATCAAGTACCCGTCTTCGCCAGTGACCAAAATGACGGTGCTGGACACGCTCGGTCAGGACAAAGCAATTCAATATTGCTGTTAAAATCTGATACCCAAGCAGCCCGTATTGAATTTCGAGCCTGACTTTCAGCAATCCTCTCTCCGTACTGGGTATTCCGTAGCTGGCGCTGAGTCGAGGCTATTGGGTGTGGATCTCAATTTTCGCTCAAGCGCCCTCTACGTCAGTGCACAGACGCCGTTGAAACACAGCTTGTTTGCCCTGCAAAAAGTAACCCTAAATATAAATAGAAAACAGTTATTTCTTGCTTCTGGAATAGCAGGGGCTGTGCTATTCTTTGTCTTCACACCATCTCTGCTTCAGAGAGACCATGAGACCACTTCCCCAGGTCCTCAGCCGGGGGGATCCATTTGTGTGGTAAGGGTATGAAGGTTGATTCGCCCTCATCTAACTGCTCTGCAACGCTCCTCCTGCAAAGTGAGCTTAGTTATTCTAATGTGTACATACAAAGTAATTATTTAGTGCCCAACTTCAATTTTAAATAGTTAGTTCTGCTATCCGCTACCAAACTATGACCAGACGGCTATCAGAGCATCTTCCGGTGAGGACCAGAAACCAAGCACGACAAGCTTTTTTTGCTAAGAAATTTCCAGGGTGTTTTGACTTGGCACGGTTTTGGCCATCCACCGCCTACAACAGAGAAAGCTGGTATTTGACTTTGGTAAGCGGATATCAAAATCAAACGCAGGCCTAGGTACTCGTGAATTTGAAACATTTAGGTTGATCAGCAGGTTGCGCTTGCGCCTACGTTGGACGTGCGCCGCTTTGCTCTGCGTAGATGGCTTGAGATGAACTGAATAAGCCGATCCAGATAGCTTGAATGTAAAGAGCAGCCATGCACGATATGCCCACCATGGGGCCTTCAATTTGGACGTAGCAAAGCTCTAGAGACCTTCGTAGTTGCTGTGATGCCTTCAAGCAACAACAGAGCTTTCCAAATTGCAACATCTGCTGTTATCCATCCTTGATCAAGAACCGTGTAAGGTCCATCCCACACGCGTTAATATCTATTATTGAACCTCATTGGCAAACGCCCATTCGCCATATAACAATAACTCGACTGATGAAAAGCGGACCCATTGGTATTGACCGGTATACCCCCAGGGAACGTTTAAAGCGTAGACGGAATTTATACTGAGGGAAAATTGTTGTTGAAAGGCGTCCAAGAACGATGGTAGCATGACCTTGAAAAAGATCAAAGAATGATAAATGGAAGAGTAGTTTACCTTCTACCACGCCAGCTGCCTCCCCATTCAGCGAATGCACCGCCTCCTCGCCCCCTTGGGGCGCGGCCTCGACGGGAGCCATATTCGGGGCCTTGGTCAACGAAGAAGTCATCATCTTCAAACGTAAATCGACGCATCTCATCACCACCCGGTCGGCGAGTAGGCCCTGCACGAGCAAGATCGTCAAATTTGTCCAAACGCTTATCTGACGCCTCCCTGGAGACCGGAAGGTAATATAGTTTAGGCTTGGCTGACGTGGATAGGAATCGATCGTCGAGGGCTTTGAAGCCACTGGCGGGGAGGTTGGATGGTGGTCCAGCTTGCAGACTGCCTCGACCGAAGGGTCTCTCAGCTCGTGGTCCCGTGGGTGGTTCTCTCCCAAGGTTAAACGACTGATTACGGTTGCGAGCCGTGTTTGAAACTGCCTCCTGAAGGACAGCAATGGTCCCATCTTCCCGGTCTTCATATATCACTTCCCAGCGGTGAGCGTCACGTCGGTTATTCCCGGCTTGTTCGATCTCAATCCATTCTTTCACCTTCTCCTCCGGAACGAAATCAACCCACAATGGCTTCCGTGTTCGCTCCTCGGGCCAAATGGTGGCATGCAGTGCTGTTCGAACGCGGGAAGCAGCGGCGACATTGGCAAAGGTAACGAAGCAGTGAGTTTTAATCGAGTCAAGGAAAAAATCAAGGATAATGTCTGGATTAGGAGTCGAATCAGGCGGTGTGGCCAAAGCGGCGAGATGTCTCTTGAGATTTGCAGGTTGCAGGGGACGCATAAAATCGCGAATGTACAAAGAAGTCGTGGCCGGATGGAGCGCTGGAGCGACAACGCGCTCTTCATCTTCGGCAGGTGGTGGGGACTCGCGACGACCCGGAAGTCCGTTCGCAGAGAACAAACCCTTAAAACGAGCGTCACCAGCAGGCTTTTTCGTTGCGGCTATTTCTTCGTCTTGCTTTTGCAATGGCCCATGCTCCTGAGGTACAGGCTCCTCTTTCCGTTCTGCCTTCTTGCTCTCTTCATCATCTTCCTTAGTACTGGAGTCCTCGGGAACTGAATGGCTATCGTCTTTCGGGGGCTCCGGTTTAGGACTCTCTCTTGATTCTTGGCCTATTTTTGGTTGCGCTTGTAGGTCGTCGACCTTGGTAGCATCCTCCTTGGTTGAAGTCTCCCTATGCGTCTCTAAAGTATCAATTTCCATTGCTTCTGGCGCCGCTGGGCGCTGTGTAGCGGTTATGAGCTCATCCGGGCTTTCATTTTTCTCAACCGAAGACAGGTCTTCCTGCAGGATAACGCGAGGATGGCCATCTTCTGCTCTAGCTCTCTTCTGGGCGGCGCTTCTCGGAGATGGGGGTGGGCTTTGGCTGCGACGCTTTCTTTTTTTCGAATCATCTATCTCTTCTTTTTGAATGTCCTTTTCGGTCGAAGGGGCTTGGGATGGACGTTCATCGGAGGGTTGAGTAGACTCTGTCTCGGGGGGCTCCGGCAGTTTCGCTGGTTCTTTCTCAAGACCAGACACTTCCTCTCGGTCCTTTACTGCCACCGGCTCCCGGGAAGCAGGTTCAAGATCTGGCTGGTCGTTTAAGGGCGGAGCGACCTCTCCCATGGTCACATCTTGGGGCTGCTCCTGGGGCTCCTCTTGGGGTGGCTGCGATGGTTCTGGAATGGGTGCACACGCGGCATCACCGGAGTCGGAAGGCACAGGCTCAGCTGCCGGTCGAGTCTGTTCCGGGGACGGCTCTTTTTGTTTTGTGGCTTCTTTTGGGGATGATGTTACGGTCACTTCATTTTCGGCCTCAGGAACACCTTCACTTGCCACTTTTTCAGCGACATTCTCGTTTTGTCCAGATGCGTCGGACTCCAGTAATCTGTCAATAATCTGTTGTTTCAATCGGAGGCGAGTCTGAGGAATACCGCGTCGTTTCAATTCCGCTTTCAGATCAGCGACCTTCCAACTATTGTAGTCGGCCATGATGGCGAATTGAGCGCGACGCGCGTGACCGAGAATCGGACTCTTCCCCCTAAAGACGGTTGAGGGTATTGTGTATCAATGCGATGTAAGAATAGCCCCACTAGTTTCTCGGTATATCGATAGAATACTAGAAAGAAGCATATATTTAGATAGGGCTGATGAACGAATGGAGGAAAATATGCACGAACTTCATTTCCTTCAAGCGAAGAGCTTCAAAAGACTTGACAAGCTTGCGGACGGGGTCTCGTGCATGGCGACGCTAGTCCCAACTAGGCCCAGCCGGTCTTGGCGATATTGCCCGACGACCCAACATCCACGTGACCAGGGAAGGCCTCGGAGGAATATCGGCCCGATTGAGCCGCCAAGATTCCAATTTGGGTGATGCACCGCTAGACCGTGAACGGACTAGCGTGATTTACAGTCATTTCCTTCGAGAAACTTTCTGAAACGCGCGCATTTGATTGGCCAGGGGTGGTGTCATCGCCGGCCAAACAGATCGCAGCCTGACTTTCCCGCCGAAAAGTCAGTTCCCGACAAATTTTCCTTTAAAGTGAACCGGATCTCCCATCTGGCTCGGTTATGACTGGTTGAATTGCCCTCCTCTCTCTTCCTTCTCCTGCGAAATCCATACTCCGGCCAAGCAAGAGGTTACTGAACTCCCCTCGTTGACCCTGGAACACCGATTCCCTGATCTACATACATATATTCGGAGTTCATTCGCTTTGATCGAAGCGTTGCAATCCGCAAGATGGGGAGCGACGCACTGAGCGTCGCACAGGGAGGACCGAAACTCCGTCAGTATTCCCTTTATCTTTGTTTTTTTCTTTTTTTTTTTTTCTTTTGCCCCTGCGCGGGCCAACCTAGGCTCCCCTTGTCCCTCGCATGAGCACCTGTTGGACAGCTACTAAATCCCGTAGAGAGAGTCGTGTCGCAACCTGAGAATCCCTTCGCGAGCCTCATCTCCGACCAGTCTATCGCAATCGTCCCTTCTTTCACTCTCGAATCTGGAGTTGTCTTGTATAACGTCCCTGTCGCCTACACGACTAGAGGAAAGTTAAATGCCGCCAGAGATAATGCTTTGGTTGTGTGCCATGCCCTGAGCGGCAGCGCAGATGTCAGTGACTGGTGGGGTCCACTGCTGGGTGGTCCCGGTCAGGCATTCGACACCACGAAATTTTTCGTGGTATGCCTCAACAGTCTGGGAAGTCCCTATGGCAGTGCTAGCGCTGTCACGTACAAGGATGGCGACTCGAGAAAAGGTCTCTATGGACCAGAGTTTCCGTTGACCACGATAAGGGATGATGTAAAGTATGGCATTCCGATATCCGTATTCGACACTGGGAACCAGTCTGACATGGCTTTAGTATCCACAAAATTGTTTTGGACGATCTAGGAGTTCGACAGATCGCAGCCGTTGTTGGCGGTTCGATGGGTGGCATGTTAACTTTGGAATACGCGTTCCTTGGAAAAGATTATGTTCGTAGCATTGTACCAATCGCAACCTCCAGTCGCCATTCTGCATGGGGAATAAGCTGGGGTGAAGCTCAAAGGCAGAGCATCTACAGCGACCCCAAATACGAAGACGGTTACTATTCGTTCGATGACCCACCGGCCACGGGACTTGGTGCGGCGCGAATGGCAGCGTTGCTGACGTACCGAAGTCGAAATTCATTCGAAGCGAGGTTTGGCAGAAACGTCCCAGACGCCTCCAAACGCCAGAACATTAATAGCACCGCTCGTCTTCCCACACCTCCAAATGATCATTGGGCTGTTCATAACGACGGACACAAGTCAACCCGGACGGCCCCAGTGCAAACTTCGACTGAGATTCTTGCTCCAGTTCCCCAGTCCGAGATTAAATTTACCGATCCACAGTTCAGTGGTGCCACCCTGTTCAACGCTCCTCCTTCACCCGCGCTTGATCCTTCCAAGCGTCCGGCTACATATTTCTCCGCCCAATCATATCTACGATATCAAGGCCAAAAGTTTGTGAAACGTTTCGACAGCAACTGCTACATTGCAATCACGCGAAAACTCGACACACATGATGTTTCGCGCCACCGGGTAGATGCATCTTCGCTCACGCCGGTAAAAGATGCACTTGCGCAAATTCAACAGCCGGCTTTAGTCATTGGAATTGAGAGTGACGGCCTTTTCACCTTTGCCGAACAGCAAGAAATTGCAGAGGGCATTCCAAATGCACAACTGAGAACAATCGACAGTCCAGAAGGCCACGATGCATTCCTGCTGCAGTTTGAGCAGGTTAACCGTCACATTCTTGAATTTTTCAGGGGAGTCCTACCTGAGATCATGGCCGCTGATGGTGATACCGATTCCAGCAAGGACCATGTTGCTCAACTGACGAAAAGCAGTACCTTCGGCGAAGCTGAGGTTGAAGATATCACTGCTTGGTGAAACCCGACATTCCGCTTCCACCCGTCAGAAAGGCCTCGCAAGTCCCACTTTTTCCCGTTCCCTCCCGATCCTTTTGTGTTTAGACCTAAGCTAGATTGAGCATCCAACTGCTCTTCTTTGATATCCAGAGATGTGTCTCATGTTCTTATGCATGTTATGAGTGGTGGCGTTTTCATCGTGCATCCAACTGCACTTGGATTTTCTTTTTTTCCCTTTTTTCTTTTTTTGTTCTTTTTTTCTTTTTATTTCCTTGATATCCACCTGCTTTCTCTTGTATACGAGAAGAAATAGCCTCTTTTCAAGGCGCATACTTGCCGCCTAAGACTTTTTGCAGCACTGTTATGATGTTCAAGAGTAGAACTGCCCTGAGAACTGCCTATATAATGTATGTATTGTACATGTGTGAAAGTCGAGAGACCCAATGGATAAACCCGTCGGGTGTACGCATCATCCGTGCAATTATTCCCTAGCTTCTACCTTAGTATCCCGCCCAAGCGTTTAGTTTAAAGCTGATTTACACTTCTCGCCTGAAGCCTCCCAACCCCGCCTAACACAAAATCATAAGGTGGGGACGGCTCCTCGTACCTGGTCACCGAGCTGGAAAGCTCCAGGATTCCACATCGTAGCCCAAAATTGTCCGGAGCCCCAAGTTTAGCTCTTCGGTCCATCGCTTCCATTTGCCCGGAGCACGGGGTACTCCGGGGTGGCGCGACCGAAGAAACATCGTTATTAGTAGCTATTTTGAAGCGCGCTTTGGAAGTTAAACCCCGCATAAACTCGTTAGGTTGCCCAACTACATGACGGCCGGGCTCGGCAGGCTAGGCGCGATTGTTAATCCTTAATTTGTTGCTTATTTCAACGGAAGAAGGAAAAAAGTGACGATCAAGAGAGAGAGAGAGAGTGTGTGTGTGTGTGTAGGAGGTTTCCCAACCCAATTTTTTTCTAAACAGTTCTGCACAGTCTCCAATTTTGGTTACCGGGATGCATCCCTTAAGGGCTCTGAGGCGCATTCTCCCAAGCATGCTCCGTATGTCCATGGTTCGGGGATCATCCCGTATCACCGCCCCTTTTAGCCTGAGGAAGATCGCCGTCTTCCCTATGCCCTGGAGGATGGAAGACCAACAGTGCATTGACCAAGGTTATTCATTGGCTGGGCCTGATCCATTCTGCCGGCCATGTGCCTCCAGAATGTTACCTCTGTGACCTTGGTATGTGGGGATTCTGGGCCTTACAACCATGGACCTGACGTGGTGATCCCATGTTTAAGACCAGTTGACTTGAGTGATCTTTGGAGTTTACATCGCTGCGCAGCAGGTTAGCCTAAACCTTGCTTTTTGCCATGTCAATTGCCGTGACTTCGAAATCCCTCATCGCAGTCTTAGCCTACTTTTTGATGGAGTCTATGGCTCATCAACCTCCTGCAGAACTCAATGCTCTGGCCCATGGGGTTCCCGCCACGGGGTGGTGGTTTTACTTTCTCTTATTCCGCAGAAGTGCGGAATGGCCGAATGGAGAGCGCCTGGACCAGGTCTTCTCTTTGAAGATCATAATCTCTACGGAGGCGTTGGAGGGTGGCTGCATGCCAATGCAATGGCCAAGCAATTGAACCAGCCCAGAAACGGCTGCCCATGACCATTCCGGGGCCTCTTATTAGAGAAGCATGTATCCCCGCGATTACACATGGAGAAATCTCAGCTTATGTTCCACTCGGACTGTACTCTGTACAATGGTGGTTGCCCCAGCCCTGTTACATACAGCGGCATATATACCCAAAATACCTACATTCCTACGCACGTATACATACATACATACCTCGCGACGTTGCACCCTTTCTCGCACAAAGCGAAATTAACCCCTTGCATTAAAAAAAGATACATCCCCCTGCAACCGAAGAATATTTTATAGCCTAGGACTGCTTTTATCTTATCTCTTTGGACAGTCAGGATGGTGTTCACTGAGCAGCTTCATCCTAAAGGTTTGGGAGATGTTGTTGATCATATCAACACTCCCACAGAAAAAGATGAAGGCTCAATCAAAGTTCAGGACATCCAGCTGGAGGATGACTTTAGCGATGTCGATGAGAAGAAGGTCCTGCGAAAGATGGACCTTCGCCTGATTCCCCAGCTGGCGTTGCTTTATCTACTTTCCTTCCTGGATCGAGGAAACATTGGAAATGCAAAGATTGAGGGCCTGGATAAAGACCTGAATTTGCAGGGCTCGCAATACAACTGGACCTGTAAGTTTTGACGAAACTCTTCTTATCAACTTTGTCATTTCTGTGTACTTTTTTGGGGAAGAAGCTGATTCTGATTTTGTAATTCACAGTGACCGTCTTCTTCTTCACTTACGCTACTTTTGAGATTCCCGCCAATATTCTCCTGAAGAAGCTTCGCCCATCAATATGTACGGTGTCCCGGGTATGCCTCATTTTTGGTTTCCGGAAATGCTAATTCTGATTGCAAAGTCCTACCCTCAATTATGCTTGCTTGGGGAACCGTGATGGTAAGTAATAGTGTTCGGCAGAGTACCAAAGAGCCAGCTAATTTTATTTTCTTTATTCTAGACATTGATGGGACTCGTGAAGAACTACCATGGTCTTCTAATTTCACGCCTTTTCCTCGGAGTCACAGGTACTAGATCCCATGTGCATTGCACTTTTGGTTAACTGGGCTAACGAAAGGCAGAGGCTGGATTGTACCCTGGCTGTGCATATTATATCACTATGTGGTACTGTGCGAAGGAGGGCCAGTTCAGACAAGCACTGTTCTTCAGCGCTGCTAGCATTGCGGGGGCGTTCTCAGGGTTACTAGCTTTTGGAATTGCCGTGCGTCCCTCCTCCTTCTCCTCCTCCTCCTCCTCCTCCTCCTGCGGATATCCTTAAGATTTAGCTGCCCTAACTGGTGAATAGAAGATGCACGGAGTCGGTGGATACGAGGGGTGGCGATGGATTTTTATTCTAGAGGGCCTTGCCACGGTCGTCGTCGCGGTGGTATCATTTTTTACCATCTACGATTTTCCTGAGACCGCACCCTTTTTCACCGAGCGGGAGCGCGCATTCGTTATCCACCGGTTGAAGTACCAAAATTCGAAACCTGGTTCTAAAGTTGCACAGGACGATGAATTCCGATGGAAATACGTCATCGACGCATTCAAAGACTGGCAGGTCTATGTCGCTATCATCAGTAAGTGTCCCTGGTGATCACTGTTCTGGACTGGTTTTTGCTGATAACCTTTCCAGTGTTCTGGGGTATTGTTTGCCCACTGTATGGCCTTTCACTTTTCTTGCCATCCATTATCAGAGATTTGGGTTTCACGTCCTCTACTGCCCAGCTGTTAACAGTAAGTCTCACACGTTTATATATATATATATATATCCCTCTCTCAGGTGATTTTGCATTTTTCTGACATTGGACCCTAGGTCCCTGTTTACTGCACAGCTGCTACTATCGCAATTATTTCAGCATGGGTGGCAGATAAAAAGGGGTCTCGTTCACCTTTTATCCTTTTCTACATGTGCATCATGGCTATTGGATTCATCATCTGTATAGCAAGCGCCGGAAGGGGTGTGCCTGGTCTTGTGTATGCTGGTGTTTTTATCGCCGTGTGTGGTAAGTAATGCGCAATGATGCTCCCCCTTTTTCGCCTAGTATCTTGCCCGGAAAATTGAACTGACACTGCGAATAGGTCTTTACCCTGCTTTCCCAGGGAACGTCACGTGGCTTAGCGGCAACCTGTCCGGCAGCTACAAACGCGCAACGGGCATGGCCATTCAAATCGGGGTTGGAAACCTGTCAGGCACTATGGCGTCCAACTTCTATAGAGCCAGCGATGCTCCGAAATACTACATGGGGCACGGGATAGAGCTCGGATTCGTCATCGCCGGTATCATTGCTGTGCTGGTTCTGCGATTCTCTTATCAGCACATCAATAAGAAGAGGGATCTAGAGGGAACCGGGAACTTAACCGAGGAAGAGATGGCCGCAATGGGCGACAAGTCTCCTGCATTCAGATACTCGCTGTAATCTTGTTGCAGGAGAAAATGTGCACACTGAAGATCGGACTTCTGAGTTAGACTTGAATTTCTGCACAAATCTACTACGGAAACGGGTAAAAAAGTGTTGAATTTGTATGGCCAATGGTGCTCGACCTTGGCTTAAAAAAAAGGGTTACATAAATTCCGAATCTTAAGAAGGTAGTTAACTAGTTACGCGTTAACAGGACAATTCGTATTTACCAGGAGGCCGCCGTTTTTTCGGCAACCCCCCCGTGTTGGGTTTAGCGCCCGCCCGTCGCAGGCCCGGTCCAGTTTAGCATCATCCCAATCAGGGATGGCTTCCCGCGCTAGCCCGCAACGAGCAATTTGTCTGACGGAAGCCCAAGAAATTTTGAGCATAGCGGGCTGGCGAAGTCAAACAACCCTGGCCTCTCGAACTCTATCTAGGAGCCACCAATGAGCATATCGTTTTGGCGAAATGCAATCGGGCAGAAACAGATACCAATCATCCTCCTCGTATGGAGCTAAGCAGTTAGTGCACTTGAAAGCTTCGCAGTATTCTGGGTAGAATCCACTGTATTCCCAATCAAGAAGCCCAGTGACAATCCATTGGTTGCAGTCGGCCATGTCTACCGTAATGTTGTCCGGTCGAAGGTCACCGTGCGTGAAAACAATCTTCATCTCCGTGGGTTGAGTCGGGTAAAAGTTGACGAAGCAGCTCAGTGAAGACTTGACCGCCAGGATGAGGGCTCGAGAACAAGAATTCTTCAAATTCGACAAGGCTCCGAATCGGCTTCTCACTCTTTCGTAGATGTCTTCTGATGTCTTTGCAACCTTCACCGGCCACACCTCCAAGTGCGGAACCATCAGTGTAAGGTATAGACCTCAGATTTGACATAATCGCGCCCAGCTGATCTCTGATGGAAGCTTTCTGGTCGTTGTCCATTTGAGGCCACACTGTCGCAAGAGTCGTCGATGGCTTGTAGGTCTGAAAAATGAGAGTTATGCCACTCATTCGCACATACCCTAGAGGCCTTGGAGCAGGGATGTCAGGTTTGTGGCATTCGAGATATTGCAGTGTCGTATATTCAGTGTCGTCATCCACACGCCGTATCGCCTTCACAACGACATCGGTGTCACACTTGAAAACCATCATTTGGTCCGGGACCGGGGACTTCCAGATAACCTCGCTTGTTCGCACGAGGTCAAGCATCCGTTGAGGCAGACCATCTGGTAGAGGTTCTGCAATTTGCGACGTCTCTTCGAGTAGTCCCAATACGGTTGAAGATACGAGGCCATACAATGTCAACGGGGTCCGAAGGTCGAAGGCAATCACGGATGTCACCTTCACGTCTTTTTGTGGTCTCGGACTTCTCTGCCGAAGAACATCTATCAGCCTTGCATAGGTATTGGCCTCCCATCCGGTCATACCGATTATTTCCTTGCTTTCTTCTCGACACTCGCCTTGAAATTCGACCAGGCGGATAGAATAGTCCAGGGGCATTTGCGTTATCAAGTTGATCTCCGGGTCATTATCGACGGCGGCTTGTAATTTCCTCAACATATGAGTGTTAAATTTCGCGGCCTTTGATTTCAGAGGTGTTGAGGTAATCGAAGCATCGTGTCCTTTGTTTAGGGTTTGTGTCGATGGTTGTGTGCTGCGACATTTCCGATTTTCCAACTTAGTTCCCAATCTTGCGGCCCTAAGTTTGGAGGTTGACATGACACCCGAGTCGTCTATGCTTCTTTTCCGGGTCATGAGTCGAGATGAACAATGTCGATAACCGCGGCCAGCCCTAGTAGGAGAATAAGCAAATCCTTCGTATCTAACGGTTGCTCTTAAGCTTTGTCCGTGGCTTCTTTTGCTGCAAATATGTCGTGCATACACGAGAGAGACTGGCCCCGTCGAACCTTGCCACTCACTAAGTTAACTGCATAGCTAATAACTGTGGGCTCAGTGCGGGAGTGCCCGTCTGGGGTTGACCCTGCTTGGCCTCCTTGACGATTGGCCGTGGGAGCCGCCTGACGGAATGCGTCGGGCCGAGGATTTTGCCACGTGACCATTCGAAGGTTCCAACCAACCAAGAGGCAAACTCAAATTCGACGTGGCTTTCGTGGGTTGCAGCTCTGCGGGGATTCTACAGAGTAAACCAAGACACTCAAAACTCAGCCTCCACTATTGCCCGCTATCCTGCCTACGGGATGGACCAACAATCGGAGTATATGAAACAATAAAATTCCAATGCCACCACCAAGTGCACAGCTAGAGACGTTTAGCTTAGCGAGAGTATCGAATTTCTGGCTTTCTTATGAGGCTGAATCGGCTAGTTACCGAGGCAGTGGCTTGATAACGCTATTATACAGAGGTTGATCCTGCAACTTTGGGGGTATCCGTTCCGTTACGGTGTCCTTCGGCCTGGTGTTAGATTTCAGAATCATATCGAAATGTAGATGAATTGGTCATGAATATATTTACGGTTTCCTATCCTTGAGAACGGTTGCAACTTTCAGCCTTTCTCCGAGTGGTTTTCGAGGCCTGTTATACGTGCTTTTTATCACTGCATTTACATTTCCAAAGCGATCTGGCGCTTTGCATGGGGATGTCTGGCAATCATCCACAGCAGATATAGTAAGGTTTGATAATATACGTAGAAAATCAGATGAGAAATATAGGAAAAAAAGAAGTAAGATTTGATGCAGCTGGAAGATTTTAACTATCCAAAATAAAAAGTAAATAAAAAATAAATAATCGGCGGCTTATTTACAGTCATTGGGAACTTCCTTGCTGCCGGTGCGATTGTTGCGATTGTATCTGGCACCCGTGCCCAATTCACGTTTGGCAAATGCCGTCCAGATCTCACACTTGTTTGCACCGCCAGTAAGAGCCTTGTCAGCATCAAGGATCGCGTCACGAGCCTGGACGAAGTTTGGATTGCAGGGTTGGCTGAATTTTCACCACGTCAGTAACTGCTTCGCAATTTACAAGGTAAACGAGAGTAGAAAATTAGGGCTCTTCCAACGCACATTTTCATGCCATCAAGGACAATCTTCATCGCGAGATATTTGCCATCGGTGGGAACACCGTCCCGGAAGACAGGCTTCGGGCCATCATTCTTGCCATGCTTGTCGATCAGGTTCCACAGCAATTCATAGAGCATTGTCGCCCACACGGTGCCGACGGCGTGGACTTCATTCAGCTGATTGACAGACGTGTAAGTGAGCGGGTTGATTTCGAAATCAGTTGAGTAGGGATACGCCCGGACACCCCCAGGGTTGTTGGAAGCCCATGCGCTCTTTGCGTAAACCGTGTTACGGGTGTCATTACGCTTGAGGCGAACGGCGGTGGCATAGAAATCCCCCCAGCCTTCTCCCATGCCGCCGGATTCTAGGCCGTTCAGACAGCGTGTGTTGTCCGGCCCGCCTGTAAGTCGGTTCGAGACTAAATAAAACGAGTGTTTAGATCAAAAATGCTTTGGCTTTTAAAGATGACTTCGTTCGTCCTGCAAGAAAACTGAAAAAGCAGCGGAAAGACTTACGGCCATGTGTGTATTCATGAATAACAATGCCTGCCTCGAAACAGCCGTCACGAGGAGGGTTAGCTCTGGTCCAGATATACATGCGCATGCGGCCCGGTCTGCCATCAGGAGGTGTAGCAAAATTGGCATTGTTGGTGCCGGAGCCATCTTGAGCATTCAAGATCACATAGTCATTACCCTTACCACCCCGATTGCCATTGCTGACCTGAAAGTTTCCAGCTTCTTCGGTGAATCCTAATGTGTATAAAAGGTCATGGTATGTGTTTGCGGAATAGAACAACTGAGTAATTGATGCATTGGTGTAAGATTTGGGGGGTTTCATAGATGGCGAGTATGGATATTCAAACCTAAGGTTACGGCTGTTCGGCCGGTAATTGTTGAGATACTCAGTTCCACCATCGGGGTTATTCTGCGCAATTCCATTATTACCCCGGGTTGTGGTATAGTTTTGTCTTCCATCGCTAATCCAAGTGAATGGAGATGCAGGAAGCTCCCATGGATCCTTAAAGACCTGACGAGAACCCTCAGTGGGATCATTAATTCCCCAAGGACTGTGAATGCAAATTAGCCTTCGCGACTTTATGCTCCCCAAATTCAAGCTTCGGCCTCAGGGCACATACTAAACTTGGTAGGTTGCATGGGCCACATAGTCGACAACGTTGTGAACTTTGTCGGAGTCCTTTGCATCAATATATGAAAGAAGCCAGTTGTCACCGATGTCAGTTTCCACTCTCCAGGTCAGGGCCAAGCTTCCATCGTCCTTTACAATGTAGACAAGTTTGGCTGTAGGTTCAGAGAGAGCTCCAGAAGTTCCTTTGAACACATACTCTCCACGATTCGTGGCACGAGCGGTCGCCTTTTCAGTCTTAACAGGAAGCTTGAGCGCCTTGCGAGCACCGTTGAGTGCTTGGATGGGGTCAGAGTGGTCTCGTGTCAAAGAAGCACTGGGAACCTTTCCTGTGTAGAAGGAATTGCCAAAGGAGAAGATCTTGCCGTCCTTGCCAACCTATTACGATCGTCAGCTGTGGTGGTGGTGGAGGAACGGTAGATTATAGATTGGAACTCACGTTAACATTGAAATCGGCGTTGTCAACGTCAAGGCCATTGATTGTTTGGCGGAAGTAGACATGACCGAGACCAGTATCGCTGATGTAATGATCATCAACGACGCGGAAGGTCGCTGATGGTATAGTCTGCTTCACAAGCTTGGTGGCCACATCAACATAGCTACCGGCATTGAGAGACAGGATAGCAGAGTTCTCCTGGACATCATTTGTGTTTGTATAACTGGACTTTTCAGGCAAACGGTAGGCGTCTAAATCAACCCCTCGGCGGGAGAGTGCACCAGATGGCTGGGTATGCGCGATAGTATAAAGAGGCAGGCTAAGAAGCCCGGCGGCAAGCAGAAGGCCGTGCATGATAACCCGAAGATTATCCAAAACAGTGAAGGACCGATCACTTCAGAGATAGGAAGCTTATCGGATAGAGCCTATCACTCAAGCCTTCCCAGGCTCTCCAGGAGAGAGTTCTCGACTTTATATTGGGTGGATGAACCCCCCTGCTGTGCAGAATTCAATCAATGCCCTGCATCCAGGTTTGGATGGGAGCCGAGGGCCCTTCATCATGCCGTCTGGGGCACCGTTGAATTGAGACCAGCCCGCATGCTTCCTTGATAGTTGACCCCACGCCGATTTGATCCCCGGCTTGAGTTCACCGGCGAGCATTGCAAGTGGGGAAAGGCGGGAATTCTCCAGGGATCTCATCACGCGAAGCGAAGCCGACTACAACCAAGAGCTAGGGTATACATTTTGCACAGTCAAGCCGAGGAGACTAGAACAAGTAGATGTGTAATATAATGCTGGATTCGGGCTAAAGCTTTGACAAAAAGCAATGGCTTATGGGCGGGACATGGCTGGCCCTGGAGAATAGTTACTAAAGGGCTTGCAGCCAAGGAAGCCAAGTGTAACCTTCTAACTTAGCACGTTGACAAAAGCTAGATCAAGTATAGCCGAAGAATAAAAAGGATGTGACGTTCAGCTATTCTAGTATCTCTACTAGAACAACGGTTGAAAGGAACAGTCTTGGGAGAAGTGCTTCTTCTCGCATCTGCAGACCAGCAGCGACTTTGTTGGCCAAAGGCCAACATGACGAAAAGAGAATCCCTCTACAATCGTCTTGCCAACGGAATAGGAGTACGTGAGTATATGCCCTGCCAATGGACCGGCAGTGACAGGGGGCCATCCTGTACGGTAGGATGAGGGAGGTGAGCGGGAAGGGGTTCTGACGGCAGAGTCGGGAAGATGAAGATGGGCCATAGACGAAAATTTCGGTTCCAGGGGTGACTGAGCTGCTAGAACGGAGGATAGTTAGCTCCATGATCCCGAACCCCATCAGTTCAGATCGGAGATCACCTGTTATCTCTGTTCTCCCGACCAGGCTCCCTGCAAAAGCCAGCCGATGCGGTCCGTTGAGGTATGTCGATCTTGTCACGTGGATCGCTCTACATACCGTGCTTTTAGTCATCAGGCCTACTTTCGGATTATATATTATCCGGATAAAACCGAGGTAGCGTCTTGGCATCGACCTGCACCAAAAGAGGCAGAACCCGAAGTCTTCAAAAAACATCGAGGTTGAATCGGTGATCGAGGGTGAAGAGAGGACCATCCCCAAAGCTTGGCAACTAGCAGGCTGCTCAGGCGCCCGGGAACAATACCAACAATGCCTCTAGACTCCTGGGGCCGGAGATCAGAGAATCCGAAATTGCAAGTCATATCCGCTGCGTGACTGCAGATGCTTCGAGGAGGTTTGCCCAGTCTTTTGAACGGCACGGGAGAGCCCAGATTGGAGCTTTTTTATTCCTCCCGTACGAGCACTTAGGCCTTTCACCTCACGGTCCTAAAACTCCTCGGCCAGAGGCCAAGCGCTCTGAGGGATCTCGCGTTCCGGACCTCGCTTTTGAGGCTCATCTCAACGAGCCCTAGTGGTAAACGCTCCTTGTGGGCTTGAACGAACCTTGGTGGTACGGAGTACGGAGTAGTTAGTGGAGATATGCGCGCTATCGCTACATCAATGTCGGCTACAGCGCCGAACATGATGCATCTCCAATGTGACACGGAAGATCTTCACTCCCAAGGGCTTTATTTGTCATATTTATTGCTCATTCATTGTTCTTCGGCGGACGCCTTCGTAAAATCTTAATTCTTGACCCTGGTTCTTGGTCTTTCGATCCCTTTTCCCATTGGCATTCACAATATGAATGACATCTTCTCGTCCCGACAAAACACGAAGCGCAGCATCCCGGTGTGTATCAACGCGATTTTTTATTTTATTTTATTTTTATTTTTTTTCAATTAATTAATTAATTTATTTTTTGGGAAGGGGATGTCAGTCCCGTGTCGAGAGCATGAGGTGAAGAGGATCACTCTGCGGCACGAATGCTGGTGGTCGATGAAGGTTGTTGGCAATCTTGTGGTGAAACACGCTAGGATGCCGAGCTAAAACAATGAGCACAGCTCATTAGTGAGTGAATCGTTGGGGGAAGAATAGCTTCTCGATCAGCAAGGCCAAAATTCGGTCATCCGAAACTTCTTTGAGCCTCGCGTTTATTCTTGCTGGGGCTGCTGAATTCCCACCGTCAGCTAGCAGGATGAAACAGGATCTCAGACCTCCACGGGATCCTCCCGCAAGCTTCTTGATCTAGAACCCTTCAGGTTTGCTTGGCCTGGAGAAATCACACTGTCATTGGACACCCTATGTCTATTTTTGCGCTCACGGAAGTCTCCAATAGACTGCAGCAGGAATGGAGAGCTGCAAACTTGACAACTAACTACAGTAATAAACAACACATTCGGATCTTCACGTGCCTTGCTACTTGTTACTGGGCTCAATGAACAGGCCACAATTCTTCCTGGCCTGCTCTGAAACTCTCGCACCTTCAATCACATCACTCAGCAAGCTACATCCTTGTTGAGCCAAGTTTGCATTATTAACGGGCTCAGCTACCCCAGACCCAAGTTGACTGTTCCTCTTCTTCCGACATCCAGAGAGTACCTCTAATCTTTTCAGCTCGTGGGCCTGCACCAGTTCTCTTCCTGTAAAGGAACAAGCTTCTCTAAGCTTTGTTGTGGGGTTTAAATAAGCTTGGTCGCGCAGCTTTTCGGCGTGCCGTGATGAAGGGCATTCTAAATTTCCAGCGGCGACGACGTCGTTCTAATGTGAGTTCATCTCTAAGTGCTTTTAAGTGAATATTATGCATAGGTATCACGAGTCTAATACTTTGCCTAATAATAAATAGTTTAAACCACCTCGCAGCCTCGAAGAAGCGGCAAATAATCCGAATAGAAGCTTCAACATCATAGACCCATACGCTCACACTACGCCCGACTCTCCTAACAGTGAAAGACCCTACATCGATCCTCTTACTTCACTATGCCTTCGAAACTCATGCTCGCTCCTTGTTCAGAATGTTAAATGCGGCAGAGGCAGCCAGAATGAAACTAATTCCGTGAACAATACTTTATCGAGCTCTATCGAGTCGCGCCAACCTCAGCGCCATTATCACAGCACACCTCCTATTTCTACAACATATCCAAAAAATATGTCCTCAATATCCTCTATGGCTACCGAAAACGCCAATATAGCACACATCAATCGTCTATCTACTTTGGCCGAAGAACCCACTATTTATAGAGAAGAAAGGAACGATTCTGGGGTGACCATGAGTGTCGGTAGCAATGCTCATGAGCAAAAGGATACTCAGTACCGGCCAGCCACAGCCAGCGCCCTGAACCCAACCAGCCCAGTGAACTGGGAGCACTTTTCGCTTTCTAGATCCAAAAACGCAAACAACATCGACCCCTGGAACAAGTCCACTTCATCTACAGAGGTTTCAGCAATCACCGCACTTGGTCATAGATTAGGAGCTGAGCAGGCCACTGGACCATCGCACGCGAACCCGGACGAGCCTCTCACAAACTTCAGGGACTCCCTCGAACAGCAGTTTGCCATAGATACTTCCATTCCGTTCAACTTTAACAGCGATGACTGCTCACCCCATGATGAGACTTGGTTCACACATCACAGCACCTCCTCTTTTACCAACCCATACGAAGCCCAAAACCGCGCCAGGCAGTCTCGTCTTTCGCTTTTCACCCTGTTCGGCGAACCAACCGAAGACACTCACTCGGCTGTGCCCAACAAACGTCAAAATCTATCCTTTGCTAAACGGTTTTCAGCGCACTTTTCCTGGAAAAGGTATCCAAGAGGCTAGGGAACAAGGGAATCAAGGGAGTTTCTGTGATCGCTTCTCGTCAGTTTTTCGTATTCCCTGGGGTCGGTTCTATGGGTGACTATAATTATTTTTTGTAACCTTCCCGCAGGACAGGCCTTTTCAATTCGTCCTCAATATTTCTTCTTCCTTAGCACATGTAATTCTCTGGGTAATTCTCTTCTGTTTTAAATTTTAAAAGGTTGTCTTTTCTTTCAGTATTTGCATGTATGTGTCCCAAGAGTACACAAGACCTTGCTTTGATTGTAATATTGTTTGCAAAGCCTTGACATGCACACCATTTTCCTTATACCCTCTTAACATTTGCTTCTATACGTGACTGTAAAATAAGGATAATGCTCAGTTAAACACAGTTAATTCCTCATCGATAAATGGGTATTGGCTATGCTTCATAGAAAACCATTACATTTTAGAGTGCGTGGGCTCAATAAACCAGTTAACCAGGAGTTTTCTCTTTCAAAAAGGTCGATGCAAAAAGCACAAGGGCATATGTAGAATGGGGTCAACATACAAGAAGTCAACGCCTAACTCCTGGCACACAAACAAACAAAAACAAATGAAATATCAAAAATGCAGTCTGTTATATTAAAAATTCCCATGTTTCTTTTCATCATTTCCATGCCCAACCTTTCCCTAAATTGTAGAAAAGAGACAAAGGAACTCCATCCCATATCTTCGCACACAGGTGTAAAAGGAGGTAGGCAGAGTAGGCAGTTATAAATCAATTTCACAACGCATAATAAAACAGTGTAAATAATTGAAGAAAGAACCTCAGAGTTAATCCCGGCATGTCTGCTGTGTTTCATTTTAAAATACGGAAAATCACGATAAAGTGAGTGTAGGCGCCTTTTCACCTTCGCTGCCTTTTACTTTCGCTAGGGACTCTCATCGATCCGCTCTGCTCATTTCCATCGTCGCCACTCCCGGCAGCACCACGTCCACGTTTCCGCGGCCAACTGACAGCAGGACTGCCGGTTTCGACTTCTCTCCCACCGGCGGTCCCTCGAGCAGTATTGCCAGTTTCTCTACGGCTTCTATCGCGATCTCTCTCGCGATCTCGGTCTCTTTCACGGTCGCGTGTGTCACGGTCACGATCTCTATTTCGATCATCCCCTCTGGTCCATCTGCGGTCGTCAGATCCCGGAGGCGGTGGCGGCGGAGGCGGAGGCGGTGCAGGATGTGGAGCACCTTTACTTGGTGCAGCACGGACAGAAGACTCGAACGAGCCGCCACTTTGCGAACTAGGACCGTCGTAGCGATCACGTTTGTCCCTTCTTGATCTGCCAAGAGGCTGGGTTTGTGAGCTATCCACGATTTGACCAGCTCTTCTTGGCTCTTGCGGATTGCGCAAGTCATCTCTGTTGTCTGATGGTTCATTAGCACGGCCGCGGTCACGATCGCGGTTGCGTTCGCGGTCTCGATCTCGATCTCGATCACGTTCTCTGTCGCGCTCTCTATCTCTATCCCGAGGCTCCCGCTCTCTGTCGCGGTCACGATCACGCTCTCTTTCCCTTGGGCGTTCTCTATATTCTTCCCTCTTGGTATCACCTCGCCTCATATCTTCATCACCACGCCGGCTTCGCTCACGGTCTCTATCTCGATCGTTTGTACGGTCTGAAATCTGATCTGCGCTACGATCTGGTGTATGAGTGCCGCTGGAACTATGACGAGGTGAAGCTCGGGTCTGAGACGCAGCTTCTTCAATGATTTCACTCCTGCGACCTGTTCGTCCCGCTCTGCGCGTCTCCTCTTCAAGTTCTTGACGATGGGACTCTTGTCGAGGCGTACCGTTCGCTCGAGGAGGGAATAAATCTGGCTTTCCTCCAGCCTGGCTTGCGCTGCTTGGAACCTCGGCGGGAGTTTGCGGCCTAGTTGTTTGCGGTGATAGAGCAGTTGCGGCGCTACTCTGGCGACCAGTAGCGCCTCGACCCCTAATCGTAGTGCCTTGACTAGCTCTATCTGGAGGCCCGGAACCTTGCTGCAACATGTTATTCAAGCCAGCAAACCTCTTGTCACCCCGACCTCGCTCACTGGGGAATCCAGATCCTGGTGCTGAAGTTCGTGTAGGCGACGGGCCGGCTGGTGCTCCACCACGAGGGCCAGAAGGTGCTGAAATGGGTGCAGGGGAGGGTGGCTGCCCACTTGTCCCAAACGAACGATCCGGGGCTTGAAGGGCACGTAGTCGATCTGGATGGATACCAGAAGTGTCAAGTGGTAAGGGGCCACTGGGACCAGAAGTAGGAGGGCCTTGATCTTGGTGTTGTCCATGTCTTCCACCGGTCCAGCTGGACGGCCCAGTGGGAGGTTGGCGATCAGAGTGCAATGGAGGACCAGTCTGTAAGGGTGCTGGTGCCGTAGTATTTCTCGCCCCGCGTCCGGATATTGTTCGTCTTGGGCCGGATGGAATGTCGGTAGAACGGTCAAAACCCTCCTGCGAACGAATATACCTTATTTCTTGATTCAGGCGCCCATAGTTAGGGTCGGATGGCGGGCGCAACTCTCGTGAATCCCGTGGGAAATCTGGCTGAGAACGAATGTCGGGGCCACTGGGTTGAGCTCTGTCACCCCTTGGCCCAAGGGGTACATCGTCACGGCGAGACATTTGCGGAGGAAAAGTCTTTCTATCGTCGCGGTCGTCAACTTTGTCTTGTCTGCCACGATTTTCCTCTGATCGTGGAGTAGGAGGTCGGGAAGCGTGCGGCCTTCTGTCATCTCTCTGGAGCCTTCCGGGCTCCTGACGCTGGGTGTGATCACGGTTCGTGTCAGCTTTACCGTCGTGGAACGGCTGAAAGTTTGGCATTCGAGAGGTATGCATCTCATCGCGAGGTTGCCGATAAGAATCTTGTCTTGGTTGCAAACTATCCGCTTGATTTCCTCTGCTCCTGTTTAATCGATCCGGGCGTTCTTGATCACGTGGAGGCCCCAAATCACGACCGCCAAGTCGACCAAGATGATCTTCCGTGGGTACGCGGCGCGAGAAATCTCTATCCATGCGCCCAGGCTCTCTTCGCTCCCGATCATCGTTAGCACGACCGTGGATCCTTGTGTCACTTGGGTGCGAATGGTCGCTGACCATCTCCTGACGACCATGGTGTGGCTGTCGCGAATAGTCTTGGTATCTCGTTTCACGACCATCGCCTCGAGCATCTCGCCTCTCGGGAGCCTCTAAAGGTTTCACTGACATCCGTCCATCCCTATAAGAACGGGGGGGCTCAGGTTTGTTGGGTAGGTTTGGAGGCGGCTGACGCATTGCTGGCCCCGATTGCCAATCAACTTCCGGTCGTTTGGGAATGTTCGCCGGCTGAGACGCCTCTGATCGTGGTCTTCTTTCTGGCCGAAGCTCCAGCGTTGTATTCCTTGGAGGAATCGGAGATTGAGTTTCTCGAGGTAACTCAGCCGAAGACTCCGGTGGCGCTTTGTTGACTAGCTGTTCATTGGCATTGGCTCCTTGCCTGTCTACTTCAATGGGATTTTGCTCGTCCACGGTGGGCTCCGTGCCACTCGTTTGCTGACTAGGAGAGGGTTGAGCAAGAGGTGTAGCTGAATTTTGAGCCTGAGCAGCTTTCTTCGCGTTCGCAGCCCTTGCATCATCAACCTCTCCCTCCTCTACCTCCGATTTACTTACACCATTTGCGCTGGAACTTGTCAGCGAAAACGGAACAATTTGATGGGAAAAGAATGGATCAGATCTACGTACTTTGCAGGAGCGCTGGTGGGCTTGAACTCGGGAGCTGCTGCGTTAAGACCAGCTTTAGGTGTCGCCGAGCGAGATTGCGGTGTGGCTGATTTGGCGCCAGCGGTCTTTTCAGCTGCCACAGACTGGTTCTATTTCGGGTTAGAGTGCTCGTGTGTAAGATTTATTCGAGGGACTTACAAGCATGAACGCTTGAGGAAGAAGCCACTTCTTCTCCCTTCTTTGTAGGTCACCGATTAACGAAGCTGCTGGAATTTTGACGTCATCACGAGAATCTGTCGTCTTCAGATTATTGACAATGGTGAGCATATCGGTCCCTATCCAATTAAGAGCAGGGAAATGCTGAACAACCGCTTTCAGGACGCTAATTGCGTTCCTGATATGCATATATTCGCCGCAGGTCAAGCATGTCTTCAGTGCCGCGCCAAAAAGTCGATGCCATTTGTATAAAATTCGTCGAAAATCTTCATAATCTAAAAAGACACTGGGTTTTCCCTCTGAGTCAACGGCGGTCGCAAATCCGGGGAGGTCTCGCTTGGCTCCATATGCTTCCTTCTCATAAACCGTTTTATCAGCATGCCATCTAGCTAGATCGCGGAAAACTTCGTTCAGAAAACGACCTAGATTATCAGCTTCCTTCGAGGTGCACTGGAAAATAATACTTGTTAATCGTTGATCACGGAAGAACTGATCCAGAAGTCCAACGGTCCTGAAATTCGGGGTGCCAGAGAAGTGGAGATATTTTAGAATTTTGAAACAGTAGAGAGCGTCAACAGGGGATAACAGAAGGCGAGGAAGCAAGCATTGTTGGATAATGGCGAGATTTAGAGCGTCGTGTTTCCCCCTCATTCCCGCAAACCATTTGTCCCGTTCTTTCTGAAGCCTTGCACGGGTCTGAGTAAATCCCTTGACATGCCGTTTATGTTCAAGGAGAATACGTTCATGTAATTCGTTGACTTGTTTCTTTTCTCGTTCTTTCCTTTGTGTTCCAGCTATGCTTAAATCAGAGCGGTCACTGGAAATGGCGATAACTCTCTTCTTTTGTCGCTCAAGCTCATCCTCGTATGATTTCTGAGGTACATAAATGTCGTTGAGCGATAACTGCCAAAAAGTAGCGTAGAATGGCAGGCCAACAACTTCCCATAAATCATGCGGTAGCTTGGATTTCATCTTTTCCATCATTTCATCAAGAACAGGATGCCAAGGTGTAGTTTCTTCATTGGTTCCAGATGGCGTTGGCGGATTAGCAGAACTTTCTTGGCTGTCTTTTTGCGCCTCCTGGGGGGTGGAGTCAACCGTCATGAAATCGCCAGGTCCAATTTCCTCAGGACTCTGCCCGGCGTCTCCAGATTCCCCCATTTCCACATCGGCATCGAGAGTTTTGGATGGGGTAGCCGCTTCCGATTCTGCTTTCTTCGACTCGGCTTCACGCTGTCTCTTGTCGTGCTCAAGCACGCGATGCGCAATACTGGGGCGAGAAATCCAAAATGCTACTTCTGTCTGAATCCCAAACTCGCCAATAAGGGATGAGACGTCTGGAACAAAGGAATCGAACTCTTCAACGGTAAAATTAGCTCGAAGGAGGTCTAAGTACTGTGTTAATACGCGATGGATCTCGTCAAAGATATTGCCCAGTAACTTGAGTTCGATATCAGCCTCTGATTCCTTGAACACGCAAGTGACACGTTCTTGGGCGATAGCTATTAGAAGCTGACCGGCGAGTTTCGAATCAGTAAGGGCTCTCATAAGACGCTTGGATGTAGTCTTTGATTCGTGGCGTTTGTCCAGGAGCTGTAACATGGTCTGCGACTGTAGAACTTCACCTCCAGCCATCGCCTGAACTTGGGCATCGTTGAAGTTGGTATCGGTGACAATTCCGGCCATAGAGCTAATCAGCTGCTCTAAAACGATAAGATCGGTTGAGTTATTTTGGCGAAGCTGTTCCGCGACATACTGGAGAACAGGGACCGGGTTGACGATGCTCGAATATCTTTTGAAAACCCTGCCGGCGAAAGAAGCTAGAGAGTTCAGCCACCTACTCGTTAGCAAGCCGCTCTCTTGCATTCGACTGCGACCCTTCTGCCCCAAAGAGTTGATCAAAGACCACGTCAAAATGTCGTAGCCCAAGAATGTGAAATATCGTGCGCACTCGACGACAACCTCAATTAAATTCTCATAGGATTCGATTTGGCCTACGGCCACGTTGATAACGATTCCAGGATTAGCGTATGCGATTTTTGCCAGGGTTCGCGCCATCGGACGAACATTTGTCTTGCTCAACCGCTTCAACGCATCCTTCGTCTCGAATCTAGCTTGATCAAAAGCAGATTTAATATCCGGCAAACGGGATGTCTGTCCAAAATACCATTCGGCATATATAGAAAACCGAACATGCTGAGGGAAGTAATTGAGTAATTCGAATACTTCGTTAACCACTCCAGGGTTGTTCTTCGTCAAGCTCAGTGCAGGAACTAATAACCGCCTGCACAAATCCATCCATCGTGTGCGGTTTGATTCTGATGCGTCTTCCTTCAAGCTGTGTTTGCCGATTCTGGCCAATTTCGTTAAGAGGCTGGGATCTTGACCGATCTTCACACCCGATAAGTTTAAGAACGAACTGCAGAGCGCAAAGACGTCATCAATTGACTGACACACTGGAATACTGTCGGTCCAATCATCCCAGTAGAATCGATAGTCGGTTCCGTCATTATCTTGTTTGTCCAGTAACGCCCAGCGAAGTACACGTTGTGGAGCAGCGTCTGACAGCCGTACACGACCTTGTGATACCGCACCTTGTTCCGAACCAACAATTTTCTTGCGGTCCCTCAGTTCGGAACGCGAGGGTAGCGGTTGGACCGATTGATAGACCTTATGCAGGCAGTAATGGAGGATTCGGTGAATGTACTCGGGTAGTTCGGGATAGCCATCAAGAAGCCAAGGGAAACGACCAAGAATATACAGAGATTCTGGAAGAGCACCAATGGCGAGCAAACTTTTTAATAACAGAACCTTCTGGTCGGCCGGTTCTGGGAGCTGTTCTTTCTCTTCGGTCTTTTGGGGAGCTGCTTTGTCCTTATCTTGTTCCTGTTCCTTGGCTGGCGTTGCGGACCTCGTCTCTAATCCACGAGATCTCGCGGGAAGGGTAAGAGTATCATCAGCCAGCGCTCCAGCTGTCATCAATGCATTCATCATGCCAGCACCACGGCGCCCAGCCTTTTCTCTTTCTGCCTTTTCCTTCATTTTTTCCTCCTTGAGTACTTCCATTTCTTCATCTGGTCGCCAAAGATGTGGATATAGGTCACGAAGTGATATAAAGCCAACTTTTATGAGAAGAGCGGCAAGATATATCAAATTGTCCGGCAGAACATCGGTGGCATTCCGTGCATCGGATGAGTAAAATCGGAGCTTGAAACCAAGTAGCTGCGCCGCAACCCTGTTTCCTTTGGGTGGTAACGTGCCAGTTTGTTCAATCCATTTTTGCGTCTCGTCCCTCGTTTCGACGTCGATATCGGAGACAAGCATGTGGTTATCGGAATCAGATGCCAAAGAGCGTCCAATTTCAAAGAATGCTTTGATGCCAACTTGTTTCGCTCTATCCCAGAATAGGCGATCTCTATGTTCATTCAGGCGGAGAGCTTCCTCCCGTTCTTCGTCCGTCGTAGACCAACCAGGGGAGCCCGGTAAAGCCCATTTTGGTAACCCCAGTCCGATTCCACCCTCCGGAGCGTTATCCTCTTTCGGCCACCATGAGCTTGCGCGGAGAAACTTCACACAAAATCTGTACTGTTTGACGAGTACGGCGGCGAAGACATCTAGAGTTACGTCGAGCACCCTCCCGACATCCATGTCGAAGGCGCCAATCATTGCTTTCACCCTTTCAAACGTATCCTCCACAACCTCACTCGACGGTGGTTCGTTATTGCTAGTCGTGAAAAGTTCAGTAAGGAGTTTAGAATAACCCTCTGACTCTTCACGCAGTAGATTATAATTCGATTGACGGTAAAGGATATTTGTCTGTTTCCGAATACCCATGCGGCCGAAGGTATCACGGATTAGGCCCAATGCTTGTAACAGAGGGGTATCGAGTTGGAGACGCATAAGAGATGGAGATATTCCTGTGGCAAAGGCGAGAGGTCGTAGATTTTCGCGGGAGGAGTCGGCATCTGTGAGGATTGATAGGGTGTCGAGGAAAATTGAATGGCTGTCGAAAGCAAGGTATGGTGCCGTTCGGTCTCCATCATTGGAGTCGGATCTTTCGCCAATTATCTGCTTGACGACTGCTCCGCCTTCCACAGGTGGTATTCGGCATTCGAATGCAGACTGGATAACTTCCTGAAAGAGGGACGCTAAAGTGATTGTGTCCAAGTTTGAACAAGCCTCTTTTCCTACTTCGACGACCTGCTGTTTTCCGGTCGAGGACCAATTTTTGATGCGGTCGTCAGTAAGGTAATCATAGGCGTAGGAAGATGGTTCGACCTTTTTCGAAACCTGGGGTTGCGGGGTCGGAGACTCTGTAATTGCGGGTGCTGGCAATCCATTCGTTTGGGAAAGCTTGGGCTCGTCTGCAGTTAAAGGCGAAGCTACCCTTGAGCTTTCTCGCAGCTGGAAACTAGATCCATCACTTCCTCTGCGGTTATTGCGATTGCCTCTACTGGCTCTTCTACCGCCCCTCCCGCGAGTGTCTCCCCCATCCCTGGACTGGTTATAGTATTGGCTCTGCTGCTGCTGGGCAAGGTTGAGATTTGCAGGCCGGTGAGGAGATGGCCGGGAGCCATCATTGTTCCAGTCGCCAGACCACGACCGATCGCCTCGCTTACGTTTGTTGCCGGTGCCTGGCGGCATGGCCGGCGATATAAATCAAAGGGCTCCTCTGGATAGGCAAAGTTTGCTAGGATTGATTCATAAACAGACCTGCGAAGCTGGAGTCAGAACGTTTGCTAGCGGGGAAAAAAGATACAAAGGAGAGGAGCACTACCATCTGCGCGAGCTAGACGAGAGGCATTAGAGTCGCGAGTGAATCGTCAGGTCGTCTGCTGTCGCCTGTGTTGCCGCCAGAGGCCTTTGCCAGATGGTCCTGCTCGGTGCTCCCTGCCAGCCCAGGAATGGCCGCCGCCTCCATCGACTTGCATGCCGCGCTAGTCCTGAAACGGAATAAAGCTTTACTGAAATCACGTGATTGATAAAGAACGCCAAGCCCACGTGGCTCTCAAGTGGATTATTAAGCAGTCCTTGGCAGATCGCCTCACTTTGCATTGTCCATAAAAAAAAAAAGGCGCGCAGCCGTTTACCAAATGACAGAATGGGCGCCGAAATCAGGAATTGTGGTTTTCTTTCAAGGGAAACGAATGATTCAAAGAAATTCTCTTCGGGCTTGAGCCCTCTACTGCTGGAAGAGTTTCCAAGACATTACGCGCGGGATCCTTAGGATCTGTCCTCACCAGCAGCCACGGCTTCACCGAAGAACCAGGACGACAACGGCGCTAGGGCTATGAACGCAGTTTTCCTGGTAGATATTTCCGCCTAATTGAACTAAGACGCCCTCATTTTCTCCAATAACATGCTATAGCCAAATTATACATCTGAAGGCCTTAACTCATTCCAAGCTCTCATCCACTGCCATCATCAGTTAAGGGACAGAAAATCGCCCGTCTTGAACGTATTCTAGGCTGCCCCCCATCGAGGACCCTTTCTTTTCTTTCTTTCTTTCTTTCTTTCTTTTCTTTTCTTTTCCTTTTTTTTTTTTTTTTTTTTATTTATTTTTTTTTCATTCACACCACGGTGACGAACGCCGTCGAGGAGATATGCCAGTTCCCAAAACACCATCCAGTCCTGAGGTTCTTTGTTTTGAAGATCTAATCCAGGGCTTCAAAAGTCAACTTCACGTTTGGGAGCTGCCTTTGAACTTGCTTCCATTTTTATCCCAAAATAATGCTCACATCCCCCCAATCCAGGTGCGTTTGAGTCATCAAAGAGCACCTCCGCTGTCTTCGTCGTGACACTGGCATCAGTGGTCGATCAGCGGAGATTCAATGGGCTTTGATATATAGTAAGTGAAGTGCATTCAACTTATCAGAGGCCCGTTCGGCGCCAGTTCTCGGAGGAGTGGATGTCCTCTCCCCGAGTTCAAGATCTTCTGTAGGTATTGTTTTTAGGATCATCATCTCACAATGGAGCAGAGGAGTTGCCTGAAGCCAACGATTCTCGCTCGCCTTCCCTAGCTAGCGAGCTCTTCCTTTCTCGATTAATAATACCATCCAAGGAAAGGCGGGGCTGCTTCCCAGAGATGTAACCCTTGCTTCCGCCATGCAGGCTTGAGTTGCTGATGCTCTGCCGTGCCGTTCTTCGTGGCGTCCCCTCGTGCGCTCCGCTACTGGGCATGACGTCATAGCTGTCACCTTCGCTCGCGACACGAAACGCGCTCCCCGCCTGGCATGGATACCAAAGCTATCACATTGAGAAATCACTTGCCTGGCTCCCAAGGACAGCAATGCAAACTGTGTGCGCGATCCGAGTGTCTCCATCAAAAATTTCTTTCCCTCAAGTCTAGATCAGCTCGTCAGGGTACTAAATGCAAATGAATTGAGCACTCCGCAAGCTAAGCGCATCTTGGCCGCCTCTAGCAGCCATTCGTATCCCAAGGATCAAAAACCCAAAGTTCCGCTTTCGTATTTTCTGGGGAAGGCTGTGCCTCGTGCAAAGGTTGCAGCCTGGCACAGATCCTTCCAAAAAGGAAGATGTCGTGTTTTCCGAGATTGATAAATTCCCAGCTGATTCCCCCATGAAGATTCCGAGAACGCAGAGGTTCCTCATTTCTACATATACTCGTCATATTTATATCCCTGATCTGCCATTCTAAACAACGATGACAAGCCCCATCGCCTTCAAAGGCGGCTGTGCCTGCTCCAAAGTTCGCTACACCAGCACCGTCTTCCCCGAATGGATAGGCCACTGCCTCTGCACAACCTGCCGCAAATGCGCCGGTGCTCCCTATCAAACCTTCGCCGGTTTCCCCCGCAGCGCCATAACTTGGACTACCGAACCACCCAAATACTTCCGGGCAAGCGACTTTGCCAAACGCGGGTTCTGTGACCAGTGCGGTTCGAGTCTGACCTTCGAGGTTGACTCTACCCCGGACAAAATCTCGCTTTCACCAGGCAGTTTTGACGATTGGGACGTGCAAGGCGGGAAAGACGCCTTTGTGAAGCCGGAGGGTTATATCTTTGCGGCAGAGAAGGCCGTGTGGTATGAGTTACCGAATGATGGGTTGCCGAGACATGAAAAGCTACCCCCTGCGGAGGCTGAGAAAGATAAGGAGGCTGCAGAAAGCAAATGAATCCATATAAATTGGTCATGGTTTAAATGATGTTATCGTTTCCTTTGAATACATAACGGCCAGATGAAGGTGGCGTTTCCTGGTTAGGTGGTTTGTGGAGTTATGTCATATAGTGAGAGAACCTTTGTTGAATGAGAAAAGAAAACAGGCTTAACGCAAGCAATTTACCCGCAGTAACATACAAGTTCTAAAATGAAAGAACTGACCGTCGATGTAACTATACATTCGTACACTATCGACACACTTTAGAAGGCAGCCCTAAAACAGAACATTTTCGCATCACCACAGATTTCATAAAAAGTGCTTGCTCAAGGCACGTCATATCGCTGCAAATGCCGGGTGGGAAATCAATCTTGTATGAGAGCAGCATCGCATCGAGTACACATTAAACAGATTAGAATGTGCTTGTCGCCAAACGACTTGCCGCATTTTTCGCATCAACACGATCCTCATCGTCTTCAATTGTTCCACTTCGGGATCTGACGATACCCGTTCTTGACCCACTGCCATTCACTTCCGCATCCTCTTCGGGCAAGGGAGCAATAAGACTTCCAGTAATGCTTCGATTCAAACTATCACCTCGTCGAGGGACACCGCTCCACGCATCACCCTTGGGGCCTTGGCTGGAAGCCAAACTCGCCCGGCGAGCTGCAGGATGCGACTCACGGCCCAAACGGCTGAGTCCGCCGGAAGAGTCAATCGCACGGACATCAGCACGCACGCTCTCGAGTGTACTGAGGGTGCGGCGTTCAAACTCAATTTGACGAAGTGTGTACTCTTTTATGCTAAGCAAAAGATCGTCTGCCGTACGGTTGAACCAGCGGCGCTTTTCTTGGAGCAGATTGTTGGTGACTCGTTGGGTCTTTTTCGTCAGGTATTCCTCGTGTTGGATAGCTTCATCCAAGGCGGTGATAGCCTCATCAACCTTGTCAGCTCGAACGGATGAGCTAGCCTTCAGTCGGTCAGCGGCAGCACGTTTGCTTCTTGATGCTTGCTGCGCTTGGATCAATTCACGCAAAAGGATATGGCGGTTTGTCAGAGTTTCCTTGACTATGAAAGCATCTGAAGAGTGGTAATTCAAAGGATCACTAAGTGTCGTGGCTTCGGCTGTTCCTTGTGCTGCGTGATAATCGCCGACAGTTTGAATAATCTTGCCAAGCTTCCGGTAAGCGTTTGCCAATCCAGGATGAGTCTCCTGCACATGCATTTGTCCCAACTTGACACCTAAGTCGGATTCGGCGAGCGCAAGCCCTGTAGACCCTGTTTAGCCATGACTCTAGCAGAAGACAACACACATAGACCTACCTCTCCTAGCTTTTACAATGCGATCAACTTTCTGGGCTGTTTCCATGGTTCCAAGGTAAAATCGTTTAACGATGGGTCGCGCATCTAAAAGCTCTGGAGTATCGTCTGGCGGCGGAGCAAACTGCTTCAAATATTTCCTTCGAACACCGGTAGCAGGTTGTTTCATTCTAATCATGGGACTGTAGCCCGCATCGCTTTCCACAAAGAGAACAACCTCTTCATCGTGCATAAGTACATCGTTGCTACAGACATAATTGAGCCACCTCTGCATCGAAGCTTTCACGCGCATCTCATCTTCATCCGTTCCGGCACCAGCCGGTGTGAGCGGCGGAGGAACAGCAGGGACAATCGCCTCGGGGTTGGATGATATTAGGTGGTCGGCCAATTTAATGAACTCGGAATGGGTACGTCGTACATCGCGGAATTGAGTGGTTCTGAACCTGGGTATATTGGTCTAAGTTGAGGAGGCATCGTTAGTAAATCATGTAACGTCTTCTGCCAGATCTGGACACAGGACATGTGACATACGTGCACATCAAAGCGTAGGATTGGATCTTTCTTCCCAACTCTTTCCAGACCAGTGATCTTCGCTTGCAGCTTGTATTGAGAAGCATTCTGTCGCGATTGCTGTCTGGCTCCGGTTTGGTATCTTGCGGGCGCGTGAGCGCGGCCGGGAGTTTGGGGGTGAGGCTGGTGTGGGTGGGCCTGTTCGGCGTGGCCCTCGTCATAATTGGTACCGTCTGTCTGAGAATTCTGAAGGCGATCTGACAAGCCAGAGGAGTTTGTGGCCCCCGTTGTTGGAGGCTGCATATGCTCCGATGCGTCTGTGTAAGGAGAGTCGTGCTGCGGGGGCGGCAAAGGGGACGGCGGAAAGTCAGCCGCAGGAGGGATGGTCCTATCAACTCGCGGAGACGAAGAACCCCATGGTGATGTGCCAGCCGGATGATCTGGATCGTTGGATATAGATGAATAATCCATGGTTAGTGATTCTCGAAATGGTGAGTCTGTGATGCCTGTGGATGGATATGCGACAGGCAGCGAAGGCTAACAAGACAGCCAAGCGATCATCGGACGCGGCAAGCTGCCCTTCGATGTGGTCTGTTAGAGGCAAAGGAGGACGAAAAGAAATGCCTAAAAGAAAGAAATCAATTCGTTAATCATAAAAAAGTAGAGGAGCGAGTTCATGAGACGCCTAAGGATTCCGAAAACCAGCAGCTTTGACCCGGTTTGGATGGCGGTTTGGGTCTTGCGGTCCAGACACCGCCGCCGCACCCAAACGGTTTCTGCCCCCCCAGTCCAACCGAAATCTCTACATTCTCAGCAGCTCCAAACTCAATCTATGAACCAGCATTTTGAACGATATCACTCCCGCCTGTAGCCATTGATAAATACAGCTGTCGTTCTGGCCTCTATAATCGCTCAATAATTAAAAAAAAATTCTGAACATGCTATGATCCTTTCAGCCACCTGTCGGCATGTTCGTTGCTACTCCCTATCCCATCAGATGGGTGTGCTCAAGGTGCCACCGAGGCCTAGGCCGTCGATTGAGGACGTCATTGAGGCCCTTAAGGCTTCCAGTCCGCGGATATTCAACGTCTCCTAATCCAAATGCAATTGAAGATCTGAATCTTACTCGAAATATCGGGATCATCGCCCACATCGATGCGGGAAAGACGACCACAACAGAGCGTATGCTCTACTACAGCGGATTCACTAGAAGGCTCGGCGACGTTGACGATGGATCAACTGTAACGGATTTCCTCCCTGCTGAAAGAGCCCGGGGAATAACTATACAGTCCGCCGCAATTACTTTTCATTGGCCTCCAGTTAACCAGAGCACAGCGAGCTCCGAAGATGCGAAGGCAAAAGGACTTCCAAGGTCCGTTCTACCGCACACTATCAACCTCATAGATACTCCCGGACATGCCGACTTCACATTTGAAGTTTTACGGTCTTTGCGTATCCTGGACGGAGCCGTATGCATTTTGGACGGGGTTGCTGGGGTTGAAGCCCAAACAGAACAAGTATGGCATCAGGCCTCTACGTACAGCATACCCCGTATCGCCTATGTTAACAAACTCGATCGTGAAGGTGCTGCATTCGGTAGAACCGTGAAAGAGATCGGATCAAGGCTTGGTGCATGGCCGGCTGTATGCCAAATCCCATGGTTTGAAGGCGGCGACGGCAAATTCAGAGGTGTTGGTGATATCATTTCACTACAAGGTCTGTACTGGGAAGCTGGCGGAGATGGCAAGCAAATCATTGCATCAGGCTTGAAGGATTTGGAGCAACAAGATGGCCAGTTCGCCCAGGAGATGAAGAATGCACGAATTGCCCTCGTCGAACTCTTGAGTGAGCACGATGATACCATGGTGGAATGTTTCCTAGAGCACGATGAAGACCATCTAGCAGTTAAGCCAATTGAGATCTGGGAGAGTCTGCGACGCTGCCTGTTACGAGACGGTAGCAGGGTCATTCCGACCTTTGCGGGCGCGAGCTTCAGAAACATTGGCGTGCAGCCACTCCTTGACGCCGTCGTTAACTTGCTTCCAAGTCCGACTGAGCGGCCTGATCCAGAAGTTAGCATTGGATCAGTCAAGACCGGCTTGCAGAATCTTCTTGCAGGAAAGGTTTCTCTGGAAAGCACAAATAATCCAACGAAGCATAAGCATAAAAAGAAACACGCATCGCTGCACTCGGACACTACTACTGCCCTTCAGAAATTAGAATGTTGTGCTCTCGCCTTTAAGGTGGTGAGCGATGCAAGGAAAGGCGTTCTGGTATACGCCCGTGTCTACTCCGGGACCCTCAACCGAAATGCACTATTATTCAACACAAACCTTGACATTTCGGAGAGAGCGCCTCGAATTTTTAAGATGTATGCGAACGAGGCTGTTGAGGTGCAGTCCATTCCAGCTGGACATATCGGCGTTATTGCCGGGTTGAAGTTTGCCAGGACTGGCGATACATTGCTATCCTTCACCGGAAACAAGCAAAGTGCACCGGAACCATTGAACACGTTGCAACTTCGCCCTATCGATGTTCCTCCGCCTGTGTTCTTTACCAGCGTTGAACCATATAGTCTTAGCGAGGAAAAGAATATGCAAGACTCTCTGGCATTGTTGCTCCGTGAAGACCCCAGCCTTCACGTCTCTGTTGACGAAGATTCGGGCCAGACTCTGCTGAGTGGCATGGGCGAACTTCATCTAGAGATAGCCAGCGATCGACTTGTTAAAGATTTCAAAGCAAAGGTGTCCACCGGACACATTGAGATCGGATATCGAGAGTGTATCTCGGAGGCTTCATCTTCAACAACACGGATCTTTGATAAAGAAATCGCAGGCCGGAAAGGTAAAGCAGGATGTGCAGCTGTTGTGCAACCCCTTTATGAAGGACAGGAAAACGAACATACGGAAGATCCGAGCATCCTCTTCTCGAAAGAAAAAGATGGCAACCGAATCACAATCAAAGCTCCGGGGCTTATTTCGACGGAGAAGACGAAGCTACCCGGGGACCTTCTTCCGCATCACCTGTCTCTGCCAGTAATTCAGAGTTCTATATATAATGGTTGCCTCGCTGGACTTACACGCGGGCCAAAGTATTCTTTCCCAGTACACAGCGTGGATGTCACCCTGACCTTCGACATAACAGAGCATCTCTTCGGCAGCGATACCACACCGTCCGCGCTTTCAGCCGCAGCTCGTCTCGCAACCCAATCCGCACTCAAAGAAGTCTCGTCAAATGCATCTCTCATGGAGCCCGTCATGAACGTCTCAATCAGCGTCCAGGAATCAAGCCTCGGTGCGGTGGTACACGACATTTCTTCCTCGCGGGGTGGTCATATCGTTTCCCTAGATGATGATACGTCTTCATCAGCAGAAGCTACACCCGACCTGCCTCAGATCGATGTATCTAAGATATACGCCCCACGCGACCCATTCGGGCCATCATCACCAGATGCTGGATTGTCCAATGCGACGGCCAACCAGTCACGTACGATAACGGCCAAGGTCCCCCTGAAGGAGATGGTTGGGTACTTGAAGCATCTGCGTAGTTTGACGGGTGGCAGGGGAACCTTTGTGATGAGTGTTGACCGATTCGAGAAGATGAATAACCAGAGGGAGAAGGCTGTTTTAACGGAAATGAGAGGGTTGTAACCGCAACTTTCAGCGCCGATTATATTTTATTTTATTTTTTTTCTTTTCGCTTTGGACAACGTCATCGAGACTTTTTCAAAGCTTGGGTCCACGGCCAGTGTGCTTCCATTTCTTTTTTGTATTATTATGAAAGTAAAACTAGACAAAAAAAAACGCTGGGCTGTTCACGTCGATGCTCTGTTCTTTACGTCGGTGAGCGCTGAAAAGCACGCCTTCCTACTCTTCTTCGCCGGCGTCTCCGACCCTTTCCGTTGGGGGTGTCGAGTCTCGCTTCCACGAAGACCTCAAGCTGCTGTCTTTGCTCGTTTTGTTCCCTCAGAAATAGGTTTCTCGGACGCAGTTCGTCCATCTGCATCATAACCCAAGGCATAGTTCTTCTGAACCTGGTCGGAAAGGGGCCCCCAAACACGCCCTGCGCCTGATCTTAGCAGCGACACCAAAATATGGATTCCCAAGCACCTGTTACCAACGAATCCACCGCATCCGGTAAAATGCACGGCGAGCCATCACTCATGTCGGTTCTTGCCTCTTCATGCTGGAACTGTGAAGCGCGTACTCGCACAGAGATTGTCTACCTGATTCCTCATCACGATCCGGCTGTAAGTCTCGCCGGAACCCCTGTTTTCGCTGCATGATGGAAAAGCTAATCTAGCCGCAAGCTGGGCCTTCTCTCGAGACTGGGGTTCATCCAGGAACCGCTCCAATCGCCATCCAACATGGTTCCCCTGTGCCCGACTTGCCGTGCAAATTTTGACAGCACCGTGGACCCTGGCTTTGTTTTCCTGCCTGTCGACTTGAAGTATTTCATGCAATATGAAGAAAATGATTACCAGAACAGATGCCAACAGTTACTCTCTGGGAGAAAAATTGAGCCTAGAACATTCCCGACGGCACGGAATTATTTGGATCACCAAATCAAGCAGGGTGTGGTTCGTCCGACCGCGACAGGTGGGCTATACCGCCGAGTCTTCTTTAAGAACTTTCTCCCTCCTGCAACTAATATGAAGCATCTGGAGTTACCCAAGACCTTTAATGGCTCGCCCATCGCAACCATTCGCCGTGCCTTCCAGGCTCTGGGGAGTCTTCGTTGCGGAGCCTGGTCTGAAGTGAGAGACGACCTCTTTAAACTACAGGGTTTATATTCTCGATGCTTACCGGAGACGCCGGATCTTCAAGATCCTGCAAAACCGAAACGATCCGTTAATGGCACTCGTGCTATGGTTCTAAAGGCCTGCCGCAATCGAATAAACAATTTGCCGAACTAAGAAGTTCGAAGGAACCATTTTCTTTTGTCTTTTCTTTTCTTTTCTTTTTTTTTTTTTGAGTGGATGTCTCTTAATCTTTGTGGTCTGCACTTTTTATCTCGTTAATTTCGCCTCCACTGTGGTCGCTTATTCTTATGTTTGGTCGATATATCTGTTAGCCGAAGGTCAAGTTGGATATTGAAGCGAAGGCTCTATAATATTAGCCTATGCAATGACATAAGCGTTGAATTCATCTTAACGTGAAAGAGAGCTGTAATAGAAAAGCAGGCGGAAAGAGGATATTTATATATACGAGAAAGCTGGTATGAGCCCCATCACCAAAAGAAACGCCACCAGAGAGTAATCCAACAATGTGGCCGGGTAAGTCTCAACAATGTCAATATAAGCGTTCGCTGGGCGTGTATATCATGGTTCTATTTTTTTTTTTTTTTTCACCAATTTTCATCCCAATCATCTTTTCCCTTTGGTGCCGAAATTCCGCCAGTGCTTGACCCCGTCGTTGTCGTTGTCGTCGTCGGGGTGTTCTTCTTCATCGCTGCAGTCCCGATTGCCCCGGATTTACTCAGCGGTGGGCTTCTCGATTCCCCAAGGGCAGCAAAATCGTCCCAAAAGTCTTTTCTTTCCGGCTCAAAGCGCCTCGATGCAGATGTTGACCTGTTGCTGGATCCATCTGAGGGACCCTCGACGAAACGATTGAATGAGTCTGAAGCGCCGCGGGCGCCGGATTGGATATTGCGAGATACTTCCGCTGCTGCTATACGGGCCTGAGCTGCAAGATCAGATTCGGCGAGCTGTGAAGCGAAGAATAGGTATTAGCCACACTGTCAGGTATTACATATCTCTTGGAAAAATTGGGATGAACGTTACGCACAGACTTCGCAGCCGGTTGTAGGTAGCTATCATTTACCGTCTTCGCACTCTTCCCGATTGTACTTGTGAACCAGCCGAATCCCTTCGTCAAGGCGGCAACGGGGTCGTTTTGGAAGTCGTTAATTCCTGGTATACTGTCACCTTGAGATGTCTGTCTTGATGCTGGCATTCCGCCTCCAAATCCAGTGTACTTCCCACCCTGCGAGGGAGGCAGGCTTTCGGATCGAGCAGCATTCTCTCCACCCAACTTCGCGAAATAGTCTTCATTCTGCTCTTTCCGACTCCTCATCCTGCCTATGTCCCCAGGAGATACTGCCCTGGATTGATCTGGGCTGATACTCCCCAGCGTACCTGGAGTATTTGTCCGCGAAGTAGCATTCTTCTTCTCCTCACCAGGCACATACTCCCTGCCTTCTACCTTGGCCGTCAATCTCGCCTTCCATTCCTCTCCGACGTCACCGCTATATCTCTCCTTTATCGTAGCATCGTCAAACGTCGTTCCCTCTGCCATGGTTGTAGAGTGACCGTCGAAGAATTGTTTCCACGACTCATTGCCTCCATGCTCCATCCGCTGTATCTCTGCCATCTTAAACGCGTCCATTGTTATGCTCCGGATAAAGGATATATGCACACCGAGTCCCCTGTGTATGCCTGCACAATTGAGACAGATGAACGTACCGAACTTGGGCGAAGCCTACATCACAAAATCCATCGCACCAACACAACCTGTCAGTCATAATCCATTAAGAGAACGAGAAGAAAATAAACCAAAACCACTGTACACTCCATATGAGAAAACAGAGAGAAACATACCCATTGCGGCGACGGCGCACCGCAGTCGCAGCATCGATCGTTCCCCTTGGACTTCTGGATAAGAGCCAGCTAACAAACCCCGGGAATGTCAGCCCACGTATCCAAAAATCTACCTCCCTGCTCCCTTTCCACTCCCAGCTTCAATTATCAGACTTACTTTACTCTTCGTCTCGGGATCGACCTCCCATAGCTTCGACATAGTGTCCGACTCTAGGTAGGCAAAACGCACAGGCACACTCCTGCAGCAACAGTCAGCAATGTACGAATGGAGGCCAACGCACCACCCAGGCGAGAAAGGAGGGTACAGTCAGCTCAACAAAGTAGTTCAAATAGTACCAAACAACTCCCTGCGTATCTCTCCGGGGAAAAAAATAAAAATAAAATAAAATAAAACAAAATAAAAGAGTCTGATGGAAATTGCGGGGGATACTACCAAAAAAACATAAAAAAAAGCTTCCCCCTTAAAATCGCGGTCGATCAGCGGTAAGCCCGCCCCGCTTAGAACCAAGCCGTTCTGCACCAATCAGTTGACAGACTTGATGCGAGGAGGTAACATGGTGGAAGGGAAATTGATAGATGCTGAGAGCTGCAGAAGGACTGGGGGGCTTCTCTCGTGAGGGTCGAGAAATACAAGCAAGTATGGAGTATATGTCTCTACAGAAAGGTTCCACTGGGTGAATGACAACGTGAACGGTTCTCCGTCGACTACTCCATACTCCAACTTCGGCAGCGCTCGCCGGGGCCCGGAAAGCGGCTTGTAGCAATGCAATATGACATGTTCAGGTCTACAGAGGACATGGGTCAAGTCTACATGGTGTTGGCTGAATGGCCAGAAATTTTTGGAAATCATCATCATTTCATCAGAGAATTTTGTCCTAAAGTCATTAACTGACAAAGGAGCACAAGGAAAGCCCCATTTGACTAGTTTTTAGTTAGGCATGCTGATTTCACAACCAGAGGGTCTGCAGGCATCGGATGACACCCAGAGCAATAAGAAATGTCGATCACTCAATGTAAGATATGTTCACGATAAACCCATTTCAGATGGCTCTTCACACCCCACCAACTGATCCATCAACCATCTGTAAGACTGCTGGCTTGTACGGAAGATAAACCGATTTAAGCAGTAGCTGGAGCGGCTTCCTGAGTAGCAGGTTCAGTGGTTTCAGTCGCAACAGCAGGCTCGTCTTCCTTGCCAGGGCTATCAATGGCGACCTTGACCGCGATCTCACGACCATCGATATTCTTGCCATGCATCTCTTCGACTGCCTTCTTCTGAAGGTCTTCAGAACCAAGAGTGACAAAGCCAAATCCACGACCCTTGCGAGCTTCACCGCGTGCCTGGAGTTTCTTGACCATGAAGCGTGGGATAGGGCGGAGAGCAATTTTGGCGGAAACTGGCTCGTAGGCGGCGAAAAGTTCCTTAAGCTGTTATGACAACGGGGTTAGGGCGGTTTTGAAGTAAATCACGGGAGTATGCTAATCTTACCTTGTCCTCGCTCAGATCGTAGGGCAAGTTTGCCACCATGACCTTGGTCTTGGAGGGAATGCCATCTTCAGGTGGACCACGTTGCTTACGGGGACGGCCTTGAGGCTTAGCAGCTGCGTCCTTGCCTTCGCTGCCTGCTTCAGCGGCCTCAGTGGCACCCTCAGCGGTATTCGTGACTTCAACGATAGGAGCCGCTTCTTCACCAGTAGCTTCAGCCTTGACTCCGTTCTGCTTCTTGGTTAATATGGGCTAACTTTGATCGCGTCGATCAAAACAAAAGAGCGCGGCGGAAGACCTACAGCACGGCCTCCACGACCAAATCTACCACCACGACCGCGGCCGCGGCCGCGGCCTCGTCCACCGCCTCTCTTGCGTCCTTGACCTCCAGCAGTGCCTTCAGCACCACTTTCGGCCTTCCCCTCGGCGGGCTCTGGCTTGCGAGCAATCTGCACAGAAACTCTGCGCTCAAGGATGTCCTTGCCGGTCAATGCAGCGATGGCGGCCTGAGCCTCCTGCGCGGTGGCAAGATCAACAAAGGCATAGCCAACAGGACGGTTGGTTCTAGGGTTAACAGGAATGGAAACGCTCTCACTAGGAATGCGTCAAAAGATGAATCAGCAAACACAAGGTAGGGCGGAAAAAAAAAAAGGAAAGGAAAAAAAAAAAAAAAAAGAGAAAAAGAGAGAGAGTGTGTATGTGAGCGTGTGACAGGAAAAGAAAAAAAAAAGAGATTTCCTGCAACAGGACAACCGGAAAAAAGCATGGGGACGTGTTGAAAGCATGAACAGACGCCGAGAAAGACGTGCAGAGAGCGAGAAGCAAGAGAAACATCAGACCGAAGAAGCAGCACTTACACGTTATACCCTTTGAAGAACTCCTTGAGCTCCCCCTCAGTGGTCGCGTACGCGAGGTTCCCAATATACAACCGACGACCTTCGTCGGCACTAGCTGCAGTAGCACCAATTTCGGCGGTGGCGGCGGGAGTACCGTTGGTTGGTTCGTTGAGGCTAGTGTTGGCCATGGTATCGGCAAGTTCGTTGACAGCAGAAGACATGTTGAAGAAGCTGAGTTTTCTTTATCGGACACGGGAAAGAAGAGATTGAGAAGTGACTTGACCGGTGTGTTGATAATTCAACCAGACTCAGAAAAGCTGAGCTGCCTCTGGGACTTGAGAGGGGGGATGGAAGGGTCGCTTGGTGCCCTAGATACTAGAGAGGGGGGGGAAGTTGAAGTGAGACAGTCTGTCTTTGATCAGTGTTTGCAGCGACTCGGTGATGGATGCTGAAGGGGAAGGGAAGGGAAGGGAAGGCGAGAGCGAAAAAGCGAGCAATTAAGGGGGCAACTGCCACAACTGCTGCTTGGCTGGGGCGGTCTGCTTACCTAAGGCACCCGGCAGATCCCCAATGCGGCTAGTGAAGCCCGGGCGGTCTGGAGGGCGGCGCCTACCGCCTTCGTCACGCTAGCACCCAATGCGGCATTAGCGCCTGCTGCTGCCAGTTCCACAGCAACCTTTGCATCATCAACTTCGAAAACACACGCAACTCATAACTAATTCGCATTTTACCAGGTTCAGTGTTTCCCTCTTTGCTGTCTGCCAGGCAGCATTCACGGTCAGAGAACTCACCAAAAGTCAGTTCACTCCTCCTCCAGGTTCTTGCTTGTTGTGTGGGATTGCGTGGATGTGAACTATTTTCTTGGATGGTCATAATAAAGCTGGGTGCTGCGCTTCACACCCTGGGCCAAGAAAAAAACAACAGCATCCAGGTCATCGGCAGCCTAAACTCCATCCAGGCACCTGTTGAGCAAACAGCTTCAGAGGAGGCACTCGATCGGCTTCCAAATCTGGGTCCGAACCCGCACTGACTCACTGAGTACTCCGTACGGTGTGCGGAGTCCCATGCCAGCAAAAACGCAATCATGCCTCTCACCATCCTCCACGTGTCCAAGCCCAACAAAGGACTGAGCTCGGTTCATTCCCGCTGCTTCGAATTTTCTACTATTACCGGCTTGATGCTACTCCGTACGTTCACTTTCTTTCTCTCTCTTTTTTTTTTTTTTTTTTTTTTTTTTTTTCAAATCAGGATTTTACTCTGTATTTTATAATAGCTTCATACGGAGTCCTCTGCAACGTATGCGGAGTACTTCAGGCAAAGAGAGCCTAAGTTCATGGATGCCACCAACTAGTTAAACCGAAATGGCTATAATGGCACCACTTTCGCCGCACCCCGGGGTTGGGAATAAGTACTCTGGCTCCGGCTTTCGCGTGCAATTTTCGAGGTCACGGATCTTCATACCCATAACCAGGCACAACAACCCCCGGTCACTTCGTTTCGCGGGAAATGCGCAAGTTGAGAGAGACAATAAATTTGCCGACATGTGGGATATTACATAACACGTATGTAGGCAACTAACTTTACTCCTCCGTAACTACTATATCTCAACCGTTCCTGCTTCCTCGAGGCACCGCTGGAGAGTAGTGTGTGTGTGCTCCTTCCACTTTCGGGGCTCTGCTTTTATTTTTGGATGTTGTTTTTCTCTGATTTGTGTGGTCTGGATCGCTCTTTCTCTGAGCACTTCGTTATGTTGGGAAATGATTGGTCAAAGCTTCCTTGTTGGCCAAACAGAGCAAAAAACAGTTTAAGGCAGGTACGGAGCACGATGACGTAACATTTTACCAATCAGCATTGGGCTTGGCGGTATTCCGTGCAAGCGACCGATGATTGGACGTCCTCGAAGTGTAGGACCGCCATCCCAACGTCCAGACCAGAGCACGTAAATCTCTCGAGAGCATAGGCTGGCCAGCCTGAGCGGATGATACGAGGCTTGCGGCTTTCGAGGCTTCAAATGGGACGGTAAACGGGATGGAGATGCCTCTCAATTTCGAAACAAAACACTTGTCCTCCTTCTTGGAAATCTAGAATATATCGATTGGGACAGCACAAGCAAAAGCCTAGGAGCATCCGTTGATGGCCTCCGGAATCATGATGCTAGTCTGTGCCCCCTGGTGCAGCGGTCCGTACATCGTCTGCCAGATGAGTGGGATTGCATGATCACGGGAGGGTATGTCTGTATGGGACGGGGTGCATACATAAGTTCCCAAATCACACAATTCATTTCTTTTCCATCAAGCCATCAGCTTGATTCAAAGTAGCATTCTGTGGAAGTCTACTTCAATTTCCTACTATCCTAGCAAAGCCATTCTCCGTTATTCATATTACACGAGGTCTACCGTGTGAACATCACACGGCTTTCCCGATTTTGCAAGGAACAACCCCTTCCACTAATTGGGTATCCTCAGGATTTCTCATGCAAGGCTTCTCGGAAAAGCCCACACGTATCTCTGATTCTCTGTGGGATATTCCTGTTGTTCATCTTTGGATGAACAATCGTACAAAGGGCTGTGTTATTAACACATCCAGCTATCATCATCACTTAATCAGAATCTAAATGACTCGACAGTTTTTCATTAAGCCCATTCCTATGTGATGAATCTGGAGACCTGAATGCTTATATGCCTAGAAAGTGCCCTTCAACAATCATTGCATTCTTGTGTCGGTGTGTACACACCTCTTGCATACTCTGGCATTGTCCTCCATTGACAATTATGGCCCATCCACCACCAGGTTCATTCTACATTGGCATTTCAGCCATCATTAAGCTGAAAGAAGACATCTTTGAATAATCAAAAGCTTTCTATTCTCTCCATTGTTCCCGGCTTCCCCTGAGTCATTCCAATTAGCCATTCTGCCATTTTGTACTATCCTCTCCAAAAAAATTCTTGGCCATGGAGGGACCTACTTTTTCCACCTGCCAGTTCTTGATAGCTTTCTCTACGCCACTTCAGTCAGCTTCGTGAATATCCATCTGAGCTCCGATATCTATATTCCTCCTCAAACTTTGCTCTTCTTTCTTCAGTCAAAGCATCCATACATATTTCTACATACCTGTTTTCAATTCCTTCAGATCTATTGACATGGCACCACGCGAGACAGAACACTTCACAGAGGACTATTTTATCTACATCACGGATAGTTCTTCTGATGAGTGTGCTCCCGAAGATGAGGGTATTTCTTCTGCCTCCTCCGGATACGAGCCTACGGATGACGGCAATATTCATGTAAAACCAGCGAAATTGGAGCTCGAACGTGAGGTTTCATTCTATTCCCCATCTTGCTTTGTCTGTAAGGTACAGGATGGTATGAACGATGACCTGGAGACTGATATCTTAAAAATAGCTATGATCGAACCACCTAGCTCGAATAGAGATAAAGAATCCAAGAGCCAGAGCACGGCAGACTCGCCCAAAGTTGACCACCGTACTCCTACAGGCGATAACGACACAGGTATCAACCAGCCATCGAGCCCAGCCGTTTCCCTGTCATCTCACTTTGACGCGCAATTTTTCTTCGACCTCGCCAGTTCCATCTCTCAGAGTTTTCCTTACCAGCAGTTTGCTGAAGAGCATGGCTGTACCGTTGATGATGTTAACGATGTGTTGGTGGCCAACGTCGTCATCCCGCTGATAAGCATGGCGCCGCAAGAGCAGGCAAAAACTATCGGGGCCGGACCATCGACGACTCCAGCGATGGGAGAAACATCAGACCAGAGCTTCTCGAAAAGAGAAGATGATGCAAACAACAAAAGTGCCAAACCGACCAAGCCGACTGACCTAGAGCAGGAAATTGAAAGTGGTGAGAATGTCGAAAACGGCCAGACCGAGGCTGAAAATCGCACCGACGATGGTAAAGACAGAAGCACACCTGCGTCTGCCGCTGAAAACTGCGAGAAACCGACTCAGCCCGCTGAACCAGCTACACCATCGCCGTCCAGACTCCGCAAACGGGCTCACGAAGAGGACGAAGAATCGACCGATTGGCCAGAAACCAATCAGAAGAACAGATTCACAGCCCAGTCTGCTCTGCTCGACTCGCCATCTCCACAGAAAAGGCTCAAATGCTTTTTCCCTGAACAATCAGCACCCAAGATTTCCCTCAATCGCCCAAAGAAGTGCATGCCCTCCAAGCCGGTCATCCTTCCAGACTTGGACCCCTTGCTTATATATGAGTTGACGGGCGAAGCACCTCCGCCAGCATGCAAGCCGGGACGGCGCCGGGTCTACCGCGATTTTGCAGGTAGTTATCAAGATGTTGTTCCCCAGGAAGGGCCGGCCATCGCTGGGTATGCTGGTATTTTCGGAAAGATGCTCGAGTCGGGGGAGATCCAGGTTGTGGCGGAACCCAACCGTAGGAGGAAGTTCATATTTACGAAGGACATGCAGAGCCAGGAGGGCAGGGATGAGGGAGAAATGGACTCCAATGAGAAGGAAAGTTGCCCCGAGGACCTTTTCGAGGGTGAAGATGAAGAATCCAGTGTGCCAGATGAGCTTTGGTATTAAGAGTGGACGGTAGAATTGAGTGGCCTCGTTGTCGATGACTTTCGTGTTTACCCGGGTTGCTTTTCTTCATTCGAGTTGTAGTTGAAATTGGGTTTGAGGCAAGAGGGCTTTTTATTGTTCGTTATTTCAAAGTGATTGTTGAAGTTTATATGTGGCTTTTATATTCGTTTTTCTCCTATGCCATATAAATTTTTTAAAAAATGATACCGACTTTTTCATATCTGAGGTCCTCACAGCGATGCGTCGTGTGCGATCTTCTAAGAATGTGGGCTGTAGACGGGACTCGGGGCGAACGGTAGAGGATCCAATTGGAGCGGAAATTTAATGGCTTGTGCGGGAAGATAGCTGTAACTTGTCCTGTGGACTTGTTTTTCTTCAGATCTGATGTGGAATTAGTGTTCCTTTTCTCTGGTGGTTGATTACCTATTTAGCTCGAAACACCTGCGACAGGGACAGTTTTGGAGGGCTGTGAGGGACATCTTCACCTGCTTCCAGATAAATTAGTACTTTGAACTTGATAAATCAGTCGCAACATGTGTAATTGATATCAAATGTGACAAGTTTATACACCCCGGCTTCTATGAGCATCTTTGGGGCGAGCGCGAGCCTTTGTTGAAATGCCACATTCATTCAAGCGAATGGTTGGTGATTGTTTGCCCGTAAAAGGGATATAAGAAATGACCACCAGTTCCATGGGTATCAGATAAGAACGCCTTCGCTTCCATTTTTCCTCATGGGTATATGGCATAAAAATGCACAATTGGAATTGAGCAATAAATTAAGTCAGAACTGCACCTCTTGAAGTGTTACCAAGCCACATGATTTCCTCAACGCGACAATATGATACTAAACAGCCATGAGCAACTTTTAAGACATTCAAGAAAGGTGTAGGAAAAACATTAACACATTCCAATTGAAAGAACCAAAGGTGCGATCAAAGACCAACTTGCCCAATGTAAAACAAATGCCCCTAAGAACAGAAGTACAAAACAAAGTACAGTGCCCAACTGATGAATTCCTAAAGGTTTTAGGAAGAGGAAAATGTTGAACGAGGATCTTTGCCTATTTGTGAAACTTAACAAGCAGCACCAGACAGCAGGGGCGTCTGCTTTTCTCGACTCATCGATTGTCCTGTCCACTCCCATAGTCGGCGGATGGCTGGGATGTATGGCCATATGGGCCTCCATAACTTGTGTCGTAGTCATGCATTATGCCGCTACCCATTGGAGCTGGGGAACGTCGAGGCCCAGTGTCTGTGGGGGCTGTCGGATCATAGGCAGACGGAGGCGGGCGGTGGGGACTGGTGTCTTCGATCTCATGTTGTTGCAGAAGAGCATACTCATCCCCGTCGTCATGAGTGCCCAAATGCGATCCCCCAGGACGACCGGTTCTAAATTCTGTATCTCCATCTTCCTCATCGAGCTCGTGGGGGTTAGAAGAGAATGCGGCCTTCGATTGAGCGGCGAATGTGGGGTCAGATCCATCATATGGCATCATGCCGGTACGACGGTAGTCCATCACGTCCTTTATTGACATGAAGCTCGTAATAATGAAAAGGAGACTTGTGTCGATGATAATCAGTAAATTGGCCCGATATAAAATCCAAGGCAAGCCGGTAGATCTCGCTCGCTTTGGGGGGAACGCTTACAAAACAAAAGCACCGAGGACAGCCGTCCCAGTGCTCAGCGTGCATTTCGCCGGGCTCCCATATGCAAATGCATCGCATCCTGTCTTTCCATCTTTCTTGTTGTCCTCGTCATTCGATCCCGCTGCCTTCCCGCTCCCCACATATGTTGCAATCGCGACCCAGGCGGTGAACCACAAGAAGGTATAGAGGCCATCGACGGTCGCGAAGGCGTAGGGATTACCGAAACGGCGAGCTCGAGGCCATATCGGAACAGCGGTCAGATATATCAACCCGGGAATCGAAAACCAACACTTTGATCAACGAAGAAAACAGATTAGTAACAGCGTTCTCGGGTGGAAAAGTTCTTTGGGAAAAGGTTGCTGGGTCGATAAATAAACGAGTTCAACGTACCAACGCGAAATACCACGCGGTGCGGCCGTCAGTTTTCCCATCCCTTGTGAAGACGGCGATGGTCATCGCCCATGCCAGGAATATAATGAAGGCCTGGAAGGCATGAATGATGTTTTTTGTCCGAGAGGTATTGATATGAGGCAATCTCATTCTTCTCGGGATGAAAGAGGTCACGTTGATCCAACCAGTTTCCGGTCACTTCGTGTTGTTGTCTCTGTTTCCAGATCGGTTTGCCTCCGGATCCCCTCAGTCAACTCTGAAATCCCCGTGATAGATCTTCCGCAAATGCACGGAGAGCGATCGGCGTGTCAAGCTCCTCTCAGGGATCCCAAAAATTTACAAAAGCGCTTGGCAAACGAAGGTTTGAGCACTGCTGTACGGAGTATCAGAAGAACAATAGACAGAAAAAGGAAGAAGTGCAGGAGGTCATGCCAGCATCATGGTCGGGTCTCTTTGAGCCGGTGCAAAGAAGATGGATGGCATACAACTAACAAATAGCAATACGAAGGCTGCTCGCCGCAGCAGCAAGGGTGGGTTTGTTTACAAGGCTGAGCCGGGGGGAGGTTTGGTGGTCTGCGTCAGCTCTCGGCGGCCCGTGTCGCTGCTTGGCATAACTACCTCACGGCGATGAACGAACAACCTGCTGTTGTTGAGATGGATCACAGAGCGCAACATGCAGCCGGAGCAGTGCGATGGAAACATGCTGCTCTCTCACAATTCAGGTTTGGTGTCGCCAGAGTCTACATAGCTAACACATATGACCCCACCCAACAACTTATAACTAGTTATATGTGACGAGCTAGCTGAGAGTTACAGCTGGGCCGCCGGAGCCCTACGGATTGCAGCAGATATGACACATATGAGATGTTGAGACCTATGTTTGTTTGGGGTCAATCACTTGGATCCTAACAGAGAAGGTAAGCAATTAAGCTACAAATTTATAAAGATTGAATCTATATACATATAATTCATCTATACTGTTGAGCTTCCTACAAATTAGCTGCAGGATGAGTGCTTGTCTACCAGCATACGTTCTTTGCTACATGGGAGGACATTAAAACAAATCTTTTCTAAAAAGGCCTGCTGGCTGTTTTTATGGATCTTGTGACACCAAAATGGAGATACCATACTAACAGTCTGCAAAGAACAGGATGGGAATGAGATTGTGCACTGTGGAATGGGTTCAGAGCTGTTAGGAAATCCCATCCTGTCCTGAACCCAACAGTCAGTCTAAGCAATACTTGCTTAGTGGAAACTCTACGCAATACGCCTATCCGACAAGGCCAACCAGGATGGAATTGTGTCTCCTGGGTAAGGGTGATACGAAGGCCTTAAGGACGAGCGCCATGGAATGGACATCCTCCGGGCTAGCTATCCGGCTGCCTAACATACCTACAAGCTTCATTATTTTTGGTATCCTCTTGAGAGAAGGCGATGGAAAGGTAGGCTGATGGTCATTATTCAAAGTTAACATCGACAAGCGAGGCCAATGGCGTGAATGAAGAATTGCAAGGGTGTGTGTGTGTATGTGCGCGCGTTTAGTTACATCACAAAGCTGGATCAATCTTTAGAAGCCATTCATGTTGCCAAAATATGGTGTAAATGCCCCTGGGATTGATCACAACTAGCCATTGAATTCTTCAACTATTATTGCTCAGCTGTTTGACATGGATACCCTAAGCTGTGCGACTGCAAGAGATTGATGGATGATAAGACGAGCATCCTAAAAGGTAAAATGTTAGGGCGCAACTACGAGACATGATCTCCGCTAGATCACCAGCCAGGACAGGCAGTATAAGAGCCGGCAAGCTGGCACTGGAGATTGACATCGATATGGCTTCGATCGCACCTTATCAAGCATGACATCTCTGATAGATCTGCCCCTTGATATTCTCCACGAGCTTGCTGCGGTTTGTGCTCCCCCCAGGCCAAAAGTAAATAAAACGACACGTTTATGTCTATACTTTGCTAAACTCTGCGGCAGTTCTGCGGCAAAGCAGAGCTCTTATCCCTGCGGCTCGTCTCTCGACCGCTAGCTTCCTTTTTCCTCCCGTATGCGGACCGACAGCTTGCCCTCGAGATCCGCCGTAGGGCCCATTACCACTTGCACAGAGCTGCGGGAATTTCAGGCTCTCATGAGAAGGCAATGGTACGGAGGTTATTAGATGCTGGGGCACCTGTCAACCAATACGACGCGGCCGGCGAGACTGCTTTACATGTCGCAACTCGTCATGGCAACCTGGACGCAGCACATGTCTTGCTAAGGGCTGGTGCGGAGGTTGATGCAATCACTGCCCACGCATGGACGCCGTTGCATCTTGCCTGTCGATACGGATATGTGGATATCGCGCGAGAGTTAGTAGTCTTTGGAGCTGATGTTAACAAACCCGGTTTCCATGGCTGGACGGCTTTGCATTATGCCGTTCGGGGCAGACACGTTAATTGTGCGCGGGTACTCCTGGAATTCGGCGTTGAGGTTGATATATGTGATAGTGACGGGCGATCAGCACTGAAAGAGGCGAAACACCAAGGATGGGGTGTGTACAGATGCTATTATGTCAAGTCATAGCTTTACGTGCATAGCGTTAACGCTCTTAAGATCTTGACTTCAGATAAACGGCTCTCTATACCGAATTACGACTTTTTAATATACACACTTAACATATCCGTTCCCCTTCCATTCTCATATGACCGCGTCGGCTTTATATATAGCGCCCGCGAAAACGCCCCCTTCTTATCCCCCTGAGCGGCTCCAGCTTCACCAACAATACCGTCACCTCCGTCCACCATCAAGTTCCAATGCACGCCAGTCAATCCCCATGGTGGCCCTGGTAGACTTGGATCCTTCCAAAGGGGGAACTCGAGGCACACAACTTGACCGGTTGGAGATAAAAGATCGACCATCCGCGAAGCCCACTGCCTTCGCATGCTTGGGTGGAGGGCACACAGGAACTGCACATATCAATATCGGGCCCCTCAAAGTAAACTCTCAAACCAGACTAACTAGAGAACCCACCGTATAGTCATAGATAACATCAAATTTGATCATACCTTCCCAGCCCGACTTGAAAAAGTCTGCATGGATAATGGTTACTTCACCGGCCTCCTGCCACTCTTCCCATGAAGACCCAAAGTTATACGACTGAGGGTTTGCAAGTTCATTCTTCGCATACTCTTGTGCAACGGATACCCCCGTCGCAGAGACTTCAAGGCCATACACGTCGTAACCGTGCAGGGCGAGCATTACGACGTCGTAGCCTTTCCCACAGCCCTACAGCCACACACTTAATTTTGACCTGAACATGAGTGGTGCATAGCCATGAGTGTGGAAAATACCGGTACTAGGGCTTTCTTTCTCTTCCCGTCTATTGTAAAGGGGCTGAAGAGATCGCGCCTCTCCTCGATGAGGTCGATCAATGCGGGCGATGGTTTACCTCTATCCCAGAGATCACTATTATCTGTGTCCCAGAGGAGAGACCATCCGTCGCCATGATTCTCTACTGCCCTAAACGTCTATATTAGTCGAGATTGTATGTAAACTAAGACATATAGGGTGAATAACATACCGTGTCTCAAAGTGTTTGATGAGGCGTGTTTGCCCATGAGGGCACTGAATACTTTCAGATCCAGCCATTGACGCTCTTCTAAACTTGTCCAAATGTTTCACCTCACATAATAAATTCACAGTTACTCGTACATCCCATCTTTATATGGTGTTGGGAGTGGCGAATTTCCAGGACAACGGCTCAATTGATCTAGACAGAGAAAGCGTTCCGGCGATGAGGCTGGGTCTCGGGAGCTTCGCCGGCCCAGTGGGTGGCGAGAGCCTTCGGAGAGACGCCTTTTGCATATCCGGTTCGGGTAGGAAATGGGCGCGGGAGAAGCTTGGCAGAGATCAGATCACATCACATCACATCACATCACTTACAAAATAGAGTAATATAAAGGGCGCGATCTTACAAATTTTGGGCAGCACGGTAGTTGGATTCACCCATATTCAGATGTAGGTGGGTGTTAGACCAGCCGCACATGGTTTTCTTCGATTTACCTAGTTAGGTGACTTTCACTTCTCTCGAGATAAACATTTACAGTACTTCTATATTGTTATTTGCTTCCTCTATGAATGCCTGGCAACATTCAGGAATCAACAGCCATGACCCAATATCTCGGCCAGCCCCTCAGTGAATCTATCACAGAGCACATCGGCGCCACACCGCTTGTACGATTAAACCGTCTCCCTGCTTCATTCGGAATCAAAGCCAAGGTATGCGCAAAACTCGAATACTTCAATGCTGGAGGATCGGTCAAGGACCGTATTGCAAAGCGCATGGTGGAACAAGCTGAGCAGGATGGGTTGATTAAACCGGGTGACACGCTGATAGAAGCGTCAAGTGGAAATACGTGCGTGAATCCCAATATACTGCAAAAAGTATCACACAGTCTATTGACATTTGGTGAAGTGGCATAGCGATAGCCCTTATGGCAGCGATAAAAGGTTATAAATGCATCATCACCCTCTCAGAGAAGATGTCATTGGAGAAAGAACAGATCCTCCATGCACTAGGCGCCAGAGTCGTACGCACGCCGGCCGGTGTCCCAATTGAACATCCAGAGTCTATACTAAGTGTTGCCAAACGGTTAAAAGAAGAGATACCAAATTCGTGGATCTTAGATCAATACAACAACCCGGAAAATCCCCGTGCCCATGAATTTGGAACCGCAGAAGAGATATGGCACCAGACACAAGGAAAGGTGAATGCTGTGGTCGCGGGAGCCGGAACAGGGGGCACTATCACTGGCATGGCAAGGGCATTCAAAAAGAAGAATCGAGGCGTGTTTGTCGTTGGGGTGGACCCTGTTGGATCCGTCCTTGCCCAGCCAGCAGCCCTAAATGGGAAGAAAAGCGAGTATAAAATCGAAGGAATTGGGTATGATTTTGTGCCTGGAGTGCTCGACCAGGCGGCTCCCGATCTTTGGGTCAAGACAACGGACAAAGAATCGTTCCAGATGGCGAGACAACTGGTGAGCCAGGAGGGGATACTCTGCGGCGGTTCATCTGGTGCAGCTTTCGCAGGTTTGCGCCAGTTTCTTGAGATCCACCCAGAGTTCAACGTCGAAGACAAAACGATCGTGCTGGTGTTGGCAGATAACCTTAGGAACTACCTAACCAAGTTTGGCGACGATGCGTGGATGGAGAGTAATGGATATGGATTAGATGTAAGTGATAGGTGAGTCGCATCACAAGTAGCACACGCAGACTGTAAATAGATAGTTTTGGCTGAAATACCATATTGATCAAGTTGACTCCATAATTGGAATAAATCAACATATTTGACCAGCCCAAAATGTCGCCGGAGAGTCTAACTCCCTTTTTTCCCAGTCGGCCTAGAGGAGCCCGCCGCCATATTACTTTGTCTATATTCGACGAGGCACTCTGGGCTATGCCATGCCCAACTCATCCATTCGTTCAACATCGGTTCTGAAGAATCTTGAGAAATTGGATTGGTAGTGGCATTAAACGGCTCCCATTGGCCGGCTGACCATGGGAGACAAAAGCTGTAGTCTTCACTGCCAAGGGACTGTGGTGGACCTGATGCCGCACAAAGTCCCATTCCCTCTTTGAATAGCTTCAGCCATTCAGGGTTATCTGCTGCCGTTTGATTCCACGGGTCGTCGTCTCCGTACATGATACAGCGGGCCTCCTTTTGTAGCAATTCATCACTGACAGTGCCCCCTGCGGCCTGGATCCCATTTACGAATCCAGTAAGGCGTGCGGTGAGATATTCAAACGGCGTTGGCTTGGATGCCGTTGATGTGCGCTGGTCCGTTGGTTCTGCTCCCCGAGCGTCTTTGGCAGCTAACCAAGAAGCGCTGAAGGGCTCTATCCCGGTGCACTCAATACCAATCAAATAAGGCGGCATCGCATTTCCCACTGCTAAAGCCACAGATGGATCGAGGCCTCGACAGCCTCGCCAGTCCTTCATTAGTGCCCCTTTCCGGAAGTGCCGGGCAATATGGTCATTTCTTTCAGACCATAACGTGAATGTTTCGCCGCAGAACCCGCATCGCGAATTGATATTTGTCACTTGGGACTTCCAGGTGTCCATCGACGGTATAAGATTGTTGACGCCATGCACCAGGCGCAAATGCTGGACCAAATGGTCCTTGCGGTAAAACGTTCGCAACGCGACAGGTTTCTGCTGGCATAGGCTAAACCGATGGGACTCGATATGGCTTTCCGATGGTTGGGGGCAGTCACAGAAGGTACACATCCTGGTACCGCCTGACGGATCGTTGTAGGTCGAACCGAACGGGGCACAGGTGAAGGTCTCCAGGGATAAGTGCAATGTATTTTCATGCCGCGTCCAGTCATGCTTCGTGCGAAATGTGTCCGTACAGAACGTACATTGATACGGTCTTTTGCCCACTGACCTTTTTGTTGAGGGCGTAGGTAGGGTAGAAGCAGGTCTTGTTTGCCGTCTATGACGGCGCCGAGGGACTTTCTCCAGGTAAAAGCGACCGAAAGATCCATGAGAATGGTTAGAGTCGAAGCTGTAGGCGGATGATCTGGAGCTACTTGATACAGCTGATCCGGACGCTTTGGAAGATACCAGGGATCGAGCATCATTATCCTCCGGCGGTGATTGGTGCTGTAAGTCTCCGGTGGGCAGGTAGCTCGTTCCACTGCGAGCCACTGCACTCCTAATAGCTTCTAAGGATGCAGCTTCGACTTCTGGAGGCGAGTTTCTCCATCGGTCAAGTGGACTGAAAGACGGCCATTGCTCGTCCGAAACTTTGCGGGGTTTATCGGGGCAGCTGAGAGACGTGGACGTCAGGCACCGGTCTGCAGACGCATGTCTACCCCGTCTGCGAGCGTTTGCAAACCAGGTTGACACTTGAGTGACAGTCAGCTCGGTTTGCTCAGCCAACTCCGCTTTTTCCTGCTTTGTCGGATAAGGATGGCGGCAGTTCTGTTTAAGCCATTTCTTTAGAACTTCCACCGCATCCTTAGACCAGTTTGACAATTTGCCTATTGACTCGGGCTCCTGAGGCTGTTCATAACCTATGGTAGGATTGGAGAAGACATGCTGATGGACGGATTGGTCCGTGTCGTACAGAATCGCCTCCGTACTGTGCGTTGACGATGCCTCGGAATATGGGAAGATGGAGTTAAGGTCAAAGGACATGGAGTCGGATGGATTCATATTACCCATCGACTCCTGGATTTCGGTAAATTCGGCGCCCGAGAGCACGTCGAGGCCCGTGCGCTTGGGAATATGCTGCTGTGATTCATTGGACATCTTCATCTATCAGCAGGCTACATATGCTGAACATCCAACACAGCGAGAGCCCTCCAGACGTGTAGCTCTTCCCGGTGGTTGCTTGCTTGAGGGATGGGACGTGCGTTCAGAGTCGCCACCAGGTATCTCGGGTGAGACTGATCAGGGCGCGCCCTATCCATTTCCTCTTTCGGCGCTACTTGACAGCAATCTGGAGTGTCTGTGCATACTTAACCATCTAGCACCCTTTTCCTTTGCTCAGCCCACCGGATCTCTACCACATCATGCTCAGCAAAGCGACATCATTCACGGCTTTGAACCAATCCGCTCAATTTACCCTTCGTGTTGCTGCTACGTGTAAAAAATCTTCATGTCTTAAGCCATAACTAACTACTCCGTAGTTGTGGAACCCTTTGATTAGTCAGATTTTAACCAACGTGTTCAAGGGGGCCAGAGGCAGAGGCAGAGGCATGAGCATCAGCGACAAGCACACACAGTGATGAATAATAGGATTCGATAGTTATACGGAGTGTAGTTAGTGGTATTAGGTGGGTGGGTTGATGTAAATTTTCAACGGGTTCCGGTAGAAGATAAAGCAAAACTGCGCATGGCCGAGAAGCAGCTTCGAATAATCCTCATGTGAGCCGACACCTGCGGAAAACGGTCGGGTGTGAAAATTGCACTCGAGAGGTTTCCCAATCTGCTCAATCCTCTTGATCTCCCTACTAGCAAAGCAGTAGAGACATCAGCACGGACACGAAGGCCGGCTAGGTGTATGGCAGAAAAGACTATTCTCCAGTAAGCCCGCCGAAGATGTCCAGTAATGGGGACGAACGGAACCAGGACCAGCCATGGACTAGCCATCCGGCCTGTGTATCTTCATGCACCAGATTGCGGGAAACAAGGTTAAAACTGTTGAAGGGTTAAATACATTTTTAATTATCTCTGGACACAGTTTTTGAAGGCGCAAGTTTCCCGAAGTTCCGAAATTCGCACAGAGGCTCCGTTCGCAGCTCGAAAAACCGATGAAGGGTGGCAGCAAAGGCTTGGCCCGAGAGAAACTTGGTGGACCAGCGTTCATCCCCCCTGGCCGATTCGGAGGAAGCTGGGATCGTCGACCGGATTTACCTCTTACGCGTGGCTCCTCATGTTTCTCTCGCAAGGACGACAACGAGCTGCCCCTCACACAAGAAAAGAGAGCTTCATCGTCCTCTTTAGGACCTGGAGACGGCCACGGGACATCAATGCGAGGCGTCGTTAACCATCAGGTCAAGAATCGCCGAGTTGGTTAACTCTTGCAGGGTTTTCGTCCCGACACAAGCTTTGCCCCTTCTGTTAATGTCTCTGATTTCGAGCATCACGTTGACGAAACGAACGCTTCGATCTCGAGATTCGGAATCGGGGTTTTACCGATCGATACCCCTCAACACGACGATTGCTAGGGTTATCGCGCACCAGCGGAGCGTTGACCATTGCACGGCTTTGTCCGTGGAAGGTTTAGCTTCAGCACAACCCTTACCAACCAAGCGGCTGGCGACTTAAAAAGTAGCCGCCGTCGCTTACCCATGTTTGACAAATGACCGGTTAGCTGCAGGGCCACTCCGTCGTGTTCGAGCATTTGACCTTGTTGGAGAGAATCGAGCCGGTAAGAATGGCCTCATGCGCCTCTCGTCACAACTAGCCGAATTCTCGGAATCTGTGCGCCTCTAGATCTTTAAGATTTTCGCGGGAATCCTTGCTGAGCAGAAGGTTCCTTGTGCTGTGCGGGGGGTGCTGAACCTCGTATGGATTCCGCGTAGATCAAAAAGGTGGCAAACCCCATGGGATGCGGCTCGATGGAGCGCATATGGCGGCCGCTTGTCCTCCATAGTCCGCACCAACCCTGAACGTGCAGAGCATCTCGGGACAACATGTTGACACCGGGGAAGAAGTTCCATTCTCCGTCGCAGCACGTAGATGTTTTTGACGCCCTAGTCCCGCTGGTAGCGCATCTCGGAGGCAAGATGCATCTTTCCGTCGGACAGCCAGGATGTTGGCAAGGGAATTCAACCCGTTGGATGCTCTCCTTGAACCTAGCAATAGCTGGCTGGTCCCTGGCGCCCTTTCAAGGGTGGCTTCTTGTCCCGTCTCCATTTTTGACTTTCTTATCCGTATTAGCATCCTTCTATGTGGAAATTATCTTACATTGCTGCAGATGCGGCTGCATTTATAATAAGCTGGGGCTCTCGGCTGACGCGCATCCTGCTGGGGAGGGGGGTGTTTTCCCCTCCTCCATAGTCACATTCTCCTTTCAGATTCCCTGAACTATGCGCACATAACTAATGATTCCGTGGGCGTCCGACAAAAGTTTGTTATGTTGGCGGAGTAGATATAGTACCTTATCTGGTTTGGTATTTCTCGCGTCGGCAAACTCCCAGGAGAACTCAGTCTTCCGTTCCCCTTCATTCAGCCACATTATTCCATCAACAAACAATGATGGAAAACGGACCCCCTAGTGAGGAGTATTACCTTCCTCGAGACTCGAGGCAAAGGAGACCTGTAGGCTTTGCTCGTGACTTTTTGACGAGAGGCACCTGAAGGCAAGCTAACAGCGCGTTATTATAGGACGACCGACGCGAGATCGAATTGCTCCACTATGTCTATAGCCGGCCAAATCTTGAGGAATTAAGAGGCTGTCCAGAGAAGGTTCTGGGGGCGATTGATGAGTTTGGCAAGAAAAAAGCATACTTGATGAATGTAGGCCAACGCAAGGGGAAAATTGTTACCAGCCTCATCGAGGAGGTTAAACCACAGGTGATGATCGAGCTTGGGTCTTATGTCGGGTACTCTGCCATTCTGTTTGGGGATGCTCTGCGTCGTGTGGGCGGCAAGAAGTACTACACCTTGGAGAAGAGTCCTGAATATGCTGCCGTCGCCAATATGCTGCTTGATCTTGCCGGCTTGCGAGACTTTGTTAAGGTCTTGGTCGGGAGTAGCGACGTTTTGCTGCATAAATTATGCACCACCGGCGAGATTATCACAATCGAACTCATGTTCCTCGACCATTTCAAGCCTGCCTATACCACTGATTTGAAACTCTGTGAGCAACTCGGCATGGTTGCAGCTGGGACCGTCCTTGCCGCTGATAACATGATCATGCCTGGTAACCCGGTATATTTGGATTACGTGCGAAGCAGCGTTGAAACCAAGAGGAGCAAGGCGAAAACGTCTCCTAGTGGATATGAGATATTCTCTCAGAACATCATGTCTTGGTATGTCGACAAAGATGCGAAACCAGCGTTCGATGCCGTCGGTAATCCGAATTTGATTTACGAAAGCCGGTTGGTCGAGAGCTTTGAACCATCTGGAGAGCCCGTATGTTAGCCCTGGCTATATTCCGTTTGTAATATTTCTTTGTGTCTATGCTGATTGTTGTTACACCAGGATGGAATTGAAATCACCCGTTGTGTTGGCGCCCAAGAACCGAATCACTTATAAGTATTCCGTACCGGAAATAACACTGATGTTCCACCGGCAACCAGCTATGCCCTCGATGCTTCACCTGCGTTAAACCACTTTCGAACAAAATTGCAACCGTGGAATGCGATAAGACCATCGAATTGCGTGGTAGAGTGATAAACCTCGACAGGTTGTATGCTATTGATTAAGAGACGGAAGCAACCCGGGTCTATCATGCCCTGCCGCCCTGCGTATTGAATCCATGTGACATTCCAAATATTGCCTTTTACGTCTAAGCGAAGTATCCTCCAAATCACAGTGTTGCGTTAACGGCCTGGCCTGGTGTACACATCATCATAGAAGCATTTAGTTCATGTAAACCAACACGCAAACACTAAAAGCCTAATCCGCTTCAAAGCAGGAGACAGCGCCGGTGAAGTTTTTTCAAGTTAAAACCCCTAATCGCAGCTGGTTACTCTTAACGTACTTACAGTTCTTGATAGAAAATGGACTACTTTACGTGTAAGCATTTCATCGAGACTTAAGAGAAGTCGGATCTTTGAGAGCCGCCCTTGTTGCCAACCGCTATCAGGATTCGAATGCTTTTCGTCGGGGAGAGTTAACTAGTTAACCTAGTATCCTTGGCCCTAAGGTAACTATGGACTCGAAATCGTACATGGCCCGGGACTCGTGGACCGTGGCGGTCTTCATATTTAGCCCCTTCAGAAACCATGACCGCGCGCATTAAGCAACAACTTGATAGCCTTAGGAGAAAGCGGAATCGAATGCTTACTCCTGAGTAAGGTGAATTGTGTCGGCTGCTCTTTGGTGCCATTGCTAACTTGGCTTGTGTACAGCTAGACGACGGGACGCCGACTTTGCTGCCTTTTTGCAGCTGGCGAAGCCCAGTTAGCGTGTTCGGGTGGTTGAGTTTTGAAACCTCAAGCCGGTCCTGATCCCAAAAGGATAACTGGCGGGCTAAACAGGTCTCGTTATGTGATCTTGAATCCCATCCTATCAACTAAGCTGCCCTTTTGCTGGCGTTCCCAAAATTGCCGGCTCCTGAAGAGGAATACAGCTGGATACAAGGCTGTTTTTGTTCTTCACAGAAACGGAGAAAATGCAATTAAGTGATGCAGTACATTATGTCATGCCGTCTTCCTCAACGCTATGACTACATGACTCGAGGGGTGGAGTTAGCTGTACTCCGTACTTCGTGCTATGGGCGGAATAAGATCTCGACATTTCGGAGCGCGCTCCCGCGACCTGGTGATCTTGGCTATGCTGTGGAACCACCTATGGGCTCTCTTCTCCCTCACTATGACGCAAACTTTCGATAGCACGGCACGGTCGTTCGTGGAGCCGTCCCAACGGTAAATGCTCAGACATCACCAGGATTCTTTTCTGCAACATCCCTCCCACCAAGCTTTGCGATAGCAAGGGGGTGTATCGGCGATTTGACTGGGACAGGATCTGTTATTCAACATTTAGAACTTGCAAGAGAGCCCTTGAAGCATCTTCATCCGATAGTTCTGCCGCTTTTCATTTAGGACTTCCCTCAAGTTCGCGGCTCGAATACTTTTGTTCTAGACCCTATTATCCTTTCGAATTCAATGTTTAAGGCGGATCTGAGAAACCCATTGAAGATCCGGTCATTTCCAAAGAGCAAAGTTTGATCTGTCTCAGAGAAAATCGAAATAGTTTAGCGTGGGGATCGCCAGCCTTGTCCGAAGATCTCATTGCCTCTCCCCGTTGTTGGTGCAAGCTCTCGTGGCACGAGAGTTGCGTGACGAGCGAACCTCCCGCGTCACACATACATCGACCTCCAGAACTCCTCCAAACGGAGGACATGTGGAGTCTTTCTCTCAGGTTGTGCAACGTGTTGACGCCACATGAAGTAGTGTATCCTCCAAGTTTGCAACACCCGAACTCCGTACGTAGTATGGAGCACAAGTCTCCCGTTCGGGTCAAGAGTTTATCTGGCTGGAAACCCGGCATGTGTTGCAGAAAAGCTGCATCTGGATACGGAGGAGAAAATGAGAAAATAGCCTTCCCCTTTCCAAAGTCTGCGCACCGCGGTTGGTTCCTTTGTCATTCTCCCGGTTGCTTTGGGAAGTCCTACCGTTGATCCGGCGCTTGAGCCAATAAATGAAGTCTGTGGCTTGAGTTCGACTTCCTTCTTGGGCGGTCAAAGCTTACTCGCGAGTCGCCCTGTCTCTGGTTTTCTGTTTCACGAATTTCTCGCTCTGCATTGTTGCCCGAAGCCCATTGCCACCGCCGCGAGCTCCACGTGGTGGGAGTGGTCAGCCTTCATATCTTCGAGGATCCCCAGAGTCCAGAGAGCCTGCCATGCGTACAAACGTTAACTGCGCGGACTCTCTCTCCTTGTGGGCAGGGCCTGCTTTCGGCCACCCATTCCTTGGATGCAACACGCATGCGATAACTGCAGTATAAGCCACGTTTGCGCGCCCAGCGATGCAGAATCCAAAGAGCAGGAACAATGCACTGTGAACACGGAAGATGGCCCAGGCTTGGGCTGCAGCGATTGGTTGCTGTCGAGCCAGAAGAAAAAAAGAATGTTAAAAAAAATGCGTGACTAGCAAAAGTGATCTGCAAATAGGACAAAGGGCCCGCTTGGGAACAAGGTGAACGGCACAGCCTGCAGATTGGTACTTCTAGACCTTCTGCACCCTCCCCGCCTTTTTTCAAGTGGCGGATCTCGAGCGCTCCTGGATGTCTCCCGCGACCTGCAATTCCTTGGGTAGGTACTCCGTACGGAGTACAGTATTATTATTCTCAGCTTGGCTTGAACCGGCTTCATTTCTAGAGGTCCGTTTGTTGATGCTCTTTGTCACTTCTATTCTCAGGATAATTCTCTCCTTTACACCCTTTATACACATTGCGGACAATGAAGAGCGTGGGGTCTGGCCTAAATACTGGCAGACTGGCATCAGTCCAGCATGTCATCGATGGCATTGTTGGGGGATTTCTCGCTCCTATTGCATCGGAGGAATGAACCAGAGTTCGACCCCAGCCTATCCGACACCTCGAAGGCCCCTATGATATTAAGCATCTCTGGATTTTTCTCCGGCGTTGCCCTCCTCGTTGTTCTCGTGAGGCTTTATGTTCGCATATTCGTTGTGAAACGCTTTTCGCTCGATGATTTTTTCATAACACTTGCATCGGTGCATCCAACTCCTCGTTGACCGACTGATAATGCTTCTATATCCTCTCAACTAACGCTGCCGGTATAGGTCTGCGCCTCTCTCATTATCGGGTATTTAATTTTTGAATCGAAACATGGACTTGGGCGATATACCCAGTTCCTAACAAGATCTGACCTTTCTGCGCTTGTAAAACTCGCGTACTTTCATTTCATGATCCTTGGACTTGGAATCTACTCTGTGAAGATATCATTCGGCCTCTTTCTTCTGCGAGTTCTTGGAAGAGGAAAAAGACGTGTCTTCGTGAAATGTATCCTTGGTATGCTTGCGATTCACCCGTACCATACCCTATATTTGGAAAAGCTGCTTATACTTTAACGCCGGAAGCTGCTCTATTTGTTCTTTTGTTGGCCCATCTCGGGCTTCAAATCTTCCGCTGCATTCCCGTGTCTGCTGGGTGGTCACTCACTGAGAGAGACACGGCGCAATGTTTGTCGAGAGCGGGGTTTATGGTGTTTAATATGATAATCTGTGGTGAGTCCATTTTGTGTATCTCCTCACGAGATGATAAGCTAACTGGAAACTAGGTATCGATGCTGCTATTGATGGTTGTTTTGTAACTTTCTGCGTTGTTTTATTTCATAATCTTCAGAATACCCGACGGTTTCGGTTGGCATTTATAGTGATGGTGGCATTCGGTTATCTGTCAGTTTGAGAACTATGGCCCTGGCTTGACCGAAGTGCATACTAAACTTGGCTTTCTAGGACATGCTTCGCTGCAATAATTAAAACTTCAATGTCGGTGTACGCTTTGAAAGTGAAGGTGAAATACCGGTATGTTTGCCTCGTGTCCATGGAGCAGATCATTCTCAATTCTAACAAGGTTAACATCTTAGTGGTGATGACTACGGTTTATGGTCTCTGTATGTTAGCAATTCCCTGTCCGCGATATATCACATAACTCTTTCATCATTCATGAGACGTTAAGCTTATTTTCCGCCGCTTAGTCTGGAACTCCATCTAGCTTTAATCTCGACATCTCTTCCGACCCTAGGACCCATGTTTAAACGATTTTTCTCCTCCCAAGCCGAGTCAGCCCACCAGCTTACCACCGGCCGCTACACCCGTCGCCGCCCCGAGCGACTCAACCTTTCACGGCTTTCTAGCGCAAAAAGTTTCCCTCAAGGGATTCCCCGCCCCAGCACCATTCACAGCGAGTCAAACGACTTCGAAAAAAACCCGGGAAATCGGCCCGGAATATGCAACTACAAGGTCGAGGTCACCGGCCCGGCTATGCCCAAAAAGATCAGAACCAGCTCATTTGGCGGGTATCGCCCTTCTATTAATAATATTAACGAGAATTGCGAGACTGGAGAGATCATTTCGTGTCCTCCCAGTGCATTCACAGCGAAATTCCGGTCATCCAGAGAAGAAAGTGAAGCGTGCCCAAGCTCACCCACGAGTGGTATTGTACGAAGGACAGATGTTTATGTATGCATGGACGATGCGGTGGATGAAACCTGTGAGATTGAAGGTGAAGGGACAGGGCCAAGGGGATCAAAATGGAAATTACGAATGTTAAAGCAGTGATTGAGTTTAGCTAGTAGGGGTCGGCATTCGGACTTTTGAGTACAACTGTTTGTTTGGGTATCCTTTGTTGGATATGTTGTACTTAGCATGATCATATGCAGGATTTTGCAGTATTGATGAATCAAGGATCCTGAAGGAACTGATCTCCCAGTCCTCGTTGTAATTGCTGTTGATTTTTCAATGGAATGAGAGAAACATTTATAGAGACATAGACCCTTGTTTCTGACTCCTGAGCGACGAAAACTCAGCAAAACCTCTTTGGATTGAATTAAGACACACTGGTCATTGCTCAAACTCTTGTCTCTCTAGATAACTTGTCTTTTCCTTGGGTAAAGCAAGCAGTTCAGG